CCCAAGGTACGGACTGAATGAGACAGAGCAGAATCTGAGAATAAACCAGGCTGAGTTGAGTACTTTGAAGTCTTGTGGATTTCACTGGGAGGGATTCGAACGCGTGCTTGAAAGTCTGGATACGTCTTACTGCACATACAGGGCACTTTGGCACCTGTTCTTGTACTCCTATAGAGTACAAGATTTCCTCCCCATTTTTGTTTCAAGACTAACTTTAGCTAAAGAAATGTTTCAAGCAAATTTAAGATTGGGGGATGGGGTTGGGGTGGTGGCTTAAGGGAAACAGAAAGAAGGCAGCAAAACTTTGTGGTGCTTGAATTTCTAGAAGCGCCCTCTGTCCTCCTGTGGTTTCCAGCAACTGGTATTTAGAGACATTGCTGCCTCTGACCTTGGAAGCAGAGCAGAACCGTCATGACTTGTAGCTATTGATAGCCTCTTGTCCAATCTCCCTTTAAAGCCACCCAAGTTGGTGGCCATCACTGCCTCCTGTGGCAGGGAGTTCCATAATTTAACCATGCGCTTTGTGAATGTGGTACAATAAAGTATGGCAAATCGCAATTGTGGAAAAATGGACTAATAAAATAAAGCAAAAAATAAAACACACTCCTTTGCAATAGGCTGGTTCAGCTTCTTATGAATGAAAGCAGATGGCCCCCTTCAAAATAATAATAATTGGTTAGCATAAATTCTATACATTTCCTTCTCTACAGATTGTTGCCTGGGATAGGAATTTATTATCCTATTTGAATGTCATTTTTAATGTATTGCCTAAACTTCACCTGCTGCATCCGGGTGGGAAGCTCAGGGGTGGCGGCAGCCTGGGAAAGGGCCTTCTCTGTGGCAGCCCCTAAGTTGTAGAATTCCCTCTGCATAGAGATGCCTCTGGTACCTTCTTCCACTTCCAGGGAAGGAGCAGTCACAGAGATATTGTGGGTGGTGTGGGTGTGCAGATCAGGTGTGGGGACATAGTTGCCAACTTCCTGGAGCCCTGGGTGCCAGAGCACCCACAAAATTCCCCATGGAGGGGCCAGCCACCCACAAATTTCGGTGCTAGAGCCATGTGGGTGCAGCATGGCACCCACGGTCACAGGCACCTACAGTCGTGGGGGCAAGTTGGCACTCCTGCGTGGGGATGAGGGAAGAAGCAGCTGCAGAGGTCAGATGGGTGGGGAGAGAAGTGGGGTCACCTCTGCTGCATGGTTTGAGTGGGAGAGGATGGGGGGGGCATCAAGCCAGCAGAGCAGCTAACAAAGAAGCAGTGGTATCAGCTGAGATCATCATGCGATATCGGTGGTGCCTTGAAACTGGCTGCCCTGCTCTCCCTCACACGAGGAGCGAAATACTGCTGCGTATTGCCAGGTCAAAATCGTTATTGCGCTGTGATTTCAAAACCGATTTTGGCCAATATAATGAAAAATCGCACAGTGCTAAAACAGACCATAAAATTTGTGACGTTACCATGCAAAAATTTAGTTGGGGGGAGGCAAGGGATGGGGCCTCAGACCCCTTGGTGCATTCCGCGTACCCCCCAGGGGTCCCTGAACCCCTAATTGGGAACCACAGGTCTAGCCGGTGCTGTTGGTGCTTCTCCCCTCAGTAAAGAGTAGCCCCTCCGCTGAAGCCCTCTTCCGCCTCCAGATTCATATCCAAGAGCAGAGCTGGTGATGAAACCCAGGCCAGGAAGACAGGGACTGATTGAAAGTAGCGTGGGGAGCAAAGCTGAAGGGTGCATACATTTAGAAGGGCGGTGAGTTTTAAAAGTGAGTCAGGCAGCTCTGAGGTTCCACTTTCCTCCTCCTCTCAGCTGCAGGTGCACAGGACCGCTCTTCTGGAGACAGTTCAGGTGAGGCTCTGTGGGGAGAGTGAGTGACAGAAAACCCAGTCCCTATGTCTGAGCGGAAATATTACCGACCTCTGCTGCCACCTAGTGGGCAAATCCATGTAATCGGCTAAGTACCCATCATTTCCATCTTGGTGAGCCCGGTTACCAGAGAGACAAACGGGCAGGCCATTTCCCACCTCACCTGGCTGGATGTCACCTTAGGATGGAGTACAGCAGGACAAAGAGGAGAACTGTGCATTTGAGTTTGCCTGATACTGCAAGCTGGAGACACAGAAATGTGAACCCAAGAGCTGTTGCTTGAGGATCCCCTGGAAACTAATGGGGAAGCAAGATCCGTTGGAGTATTGATGCTCTGAGCCCCTCCATCCTATGCTCAGGTTGTATATATGTGCAAATAAAACCACATATCCTAAAGCAGTGGTGGCCAAACTTGGCCCTTCAGCTGTTTTTGGACTACAACTCCCATTATCCTTAGCTAACAGGACCAGAGGACAAGATGGTTGGACAGTGTTCTTGAAGCTACAAACATGAGTCTGACCAAATTGCGGGAGGCAGTGGAAGACTGGCGTGCTCTGGTCCATGGGGTCACGAAGAGTCGGACACAACTAAACGACTAAACAACAACAACAGGACCAATGGTCAGGGATGATGGGAATTGTAGTCCCAAAACAGCTGGAGGGCCAGGTTTGGCCACGACTGTCCTAAAGACTCCCCAGTCTCCATCAACTGTCATTACAAGGAACCCGAACCCTGGGTAAGCGCAGGAACCTCTTGTTGCTTGGAGAGTGGGGTGAACCAGCCTGGCACTCTCCACATGTTTTGAACACCATCTCCATCACCATCACCTCAGTCCCAGCCAGTGGAGATGCATGATGCTGGAGGACATCAGGTTAGGGAAGGCAGATGGACAAGAAGTGTCAGTCGACCACAAAAAAGCACTAAGGGCGCAGCCCAGACCAAACTGAGCATGTCCAGGTCTCAGTGGGGAAAGAACTGCCATTCCAATGTCCCCACTGAAACGAATGGAGAAGAAAACTTATTGTCCTTTTTTTGCCCCACACTCACAAGTAGCATGTGAGCCAAGCTTTTCTAGTTTCAGGTGTTTACAACTAATATGCCTGTGTTGCAGATGCAAGCCATGCCGCAGAGGAGCAGCTATTTCATTGTGGATAAATTTCCTTTGTAGACATCTCTTTCATGGCTTTGGCTAATGTGATACCTTCAGGGCCCATCTGAACCTTCACTTAATTCTGTTTGGCCCTCACTTGCTCCATCATTAGTTTGCAATTACCTACTGATGTTCCGGCTGGAAGGATGGCATTCTGGTTTTTATTTATTTAAAATCCACCTCCTCTCTTAAGTGGTAGTAAGGCAGAAAGGTTTTTAAAAATCTGCTGCTAAGGTAGCACCGGCAGTTGCTTCCCCCAGATTTTCACTATCAGGGTTTGGTTTAACGCTTCTCCCTCCTGCTTCTGCCCATCTCCTCTGCAAGACTCCAGGCCCCATGGTTGCTTCTGGGAGCAATTATATGATTCTATGACCCTGTTTCAGGACGCAGGTGGTGCTGTGGTCTAAACCACATAGCCTAGGGCTTGCCGATTGGAAGGTCGGCGGTTCGAATCCCTGCGACAGGGTGAGCTTCCGTTGCTCGGTCCCTGCTCCTGCCAACCTAGCAGTTCGAAAGCACGTCAAAGTGCAAGTAGATAAATAGGTACCGCTCCGGCGGGAAGGTAAACGTCATTTCCGTGCGCTGCTCTGGTTTGCCAGAAGCTGCTTAGTCATGCTGGCCACGTGACCCAGAAGCTGTCTGCGGACAAATGCTGGCTCCCTTGGCCTATAGAGATGAGCGCTGCAACCCCAGAGTCATTCGCAACTAGACTTAACTGTCAGGGGTACCTTTACATTTACCTTTATGACCCTGTTTATCTCCAGCTGTCTGGCAACTGCAGTTGTTGATTTGGCAAACCTGCAGACAAAAATGTGTGTATTTGTGAAGAAATTGGCACTAAAATGCTGATGAACTTTCCTTGAGGACTTTAAAATATTTTTTAACCACAAACCAGTTTGGGAACGTAGAGAATTGAACTTAAGATTAGAAAAAGGAGAAACAGAGAAATTGAAACTGGCCGATTCGCCTGTTCCTACAGGCTGATGCCACTCTACACAAAGGGATCAAATGTGGTGCAGTAGCTAGAGCAGAGCTTTCCAAACTGTGTGTCGTGACATGTTAGTGTGTCGGCTGCAGTGTGTAGGTGTGTTGTGTGAATGCTCCCCCATGGAAAGTTCGCATGCTGGAAAGTTTGCATTAACCCCGGTTTCAGTGCTTTTTTTCTGGGGGTATGCATACCCCTAAACATCACAAAGTTCGGCCTCATTGAGGGGCATTTCAATATGAGAAGGAAAATGAGAGTACCCCTAAACATTTTTAAAGAAAAAAGCACTGCCTGTTTTGATAGTAAAACTGAATTACTGTGTCGCGAAATGATGCACGTCTAAAAAGTGTGTCACCAACATGAAAAGTTTGGAAAGCTCTGAGCTAGAGTGTCAGACTTGGACCTGGGAGACCAGGGCTCAAATGCCCACTTGGCCATGAAGCTCCCTGGGTGAGCTTGTGCCAGTCACTGCCTTTCAGTGTAAGTTCAACCTCAAAGGGTTGTTGGGATTAAATTAGGAGAAAAGAATCATGTATGCCACTTTGCACTCCTTGGAGAAAAAGGTAGGAGATAAATGCAATACATAAAAGTAAAAAAGTGACAGAAAAATTCAGGGCTGTCCAATCTCTGTTTCCCACCAGACCTTCTTTGGAAACAAACGATGGAGTGACAGCTCACACAAAGGCTACCTAAAGAGGATGCTGGTTTCTCCCAGTGCATCAACCAATAGCCCTCTTAATTCATGAAAGGGCTGTAAAGTGAGGCTCTCCTGTGTTTTTAGGGTTCTTTGGCAGTTGCGAAAAGGATATTTTAGTAGCATAAAGGAGCATATGCAAGACTTCACCAGTATTGCCTTCCCAAGCAGAAAGAGTCTCCAGGGATGGTTCAATGTGGAACATGGCACTATGAATGGATCCCTCCAACCATCTAGGACTCCCATTAGCCAGGAATGCCATTTTGGAGCACAGCTATCAGCCCCAGACAGCATAAGCCTTGCGGACTAAGATGGCTCAGTTGGTAGAGCATGAGACCCTTAATCTCAGGGATGTGAATTTGAGCCCCATTGCAATTTGAGCCTGCATTGCAAGGGGTTGGACTAGATGTGGCCCAGTAGTGTTACCTTGGTTCAAATCCGCACTCAGCCATTTGGCTCACAGGGAGACCTTGGGTTGCTCACGCTCGCTTTCAGCCTAGCCTACCTTGCTAGGTTGTTGTTGTGAGGATAAAAAGGGGACCCACAGACTGATAAAATGTAGTTAATGATACTAAACTCCTCATGAATAGTTCTCAGTATGGGTAATTGTTTTTAGATCTGTTTCAAAACAGTGGGTAATCACCAACAGTTCTACTCCAAATAAGTGTGTTGAAATTTATGGGCCATCAATTGATAGGTTTACTCCGAGTATGGCAAATGTTGGCTATAACTTGGCACCTTTAACACAGAAGCGAACGTGCTGCCAGTATCAAGAGCTGTGAAATCAGAAACATCTCTTCACCATGTCTGGAGCAACCCAGAGGCCTTTTGCAGCTGCCATCATCCCAACTCCTAGCATGGTGTTGAAGCCTGGTGTTCTTACACTACAGGAAAAGGGCTTTGGAAGTGGCTGCCCACTTGCATCTCAGCCCCAAATCTCAATGGAAGAGGGGCGGAGGGATGCTGAAATGCAGAAGGGTGCTGGATTTCACACAATCCCTCATCAAGGAGCTTCACGTGGTAACCAGTCCAGTGTCTGTAGCAAATGTGCTATGTAGGGGCGTTTTTAAAGCTACACCTCTAGGGCAGGAGTAGGGCATTTCAGGCCTGGGGGGCCAATTCTCTCAAGGCCACACACTGGCCTGCATCCCTAAACTGTGATTGCACCTCCTGCATGATGGGTGAATAGAGACACATTGGTGTAGAAACCTGCAGCTTTTGTGAAGCTGGAGTGGACAAGGGTGAGAGTCGCATCTGTTGCTCCGCCCACTTTTGCTTCTGGCCCCACCCACTCCTGGCATGCGGCCCCTGACAGGTTGCCTTTGAAGGAATATGGCCCTGAACCCTGAAGAAAGGTCCTCCAGCCTCTCTCTAGAGGATGCTGCAACTACATTTTCAAGCTTTCATTCACTACTAGGGCTATTAATATACACGATTTGTTTTTTATAAAGAATTGTAAGGCCCCACCATAATTTCAGGGCAGTGTATAGGAACCTATGGACAACATCACCTATATTTAAACCCCAACATTTGAATGTCTGAGGAACCATAGAGAGATTCTTAATTTTTTTAAAAAAAGGAAAAGAGCAGAAACAGACTTTGGTTAAGTAACCACGCTTTTAGAAAGTAATATATCATTTTTTAAACATATCAGTGCATACTTCTTATATGAAAATATACACTATTGTATTTCATTCTCAAAGAAAAAAAAGGAAACATTTAAAAACCAAAAGCGAACCAGCCAAACACAATATATTAGCCATTTTTGTTGTTTAAATTTTTTTGTGTGTTTTTCAAAACGCTACACTTTGTTCAGGTTACACTTTTTTGTCTTTTTTTGTCTTTTTTCTTGTAAATGTTTTCTCTTCATGCATTGTACACTTTTTTTGTAGCCTTTGAGAATAAATAAGCTCCATTTCCCCCCCACATCTCTAAAAACTGCAGCATTTTCAACTAAAGTCATATTTAAATCGTGCAATTTTGTGTTTCTTTGCAACACCCCTTTTTAAAAATGGAAAATATATATAATATATATATATTTATATTTATATATAGATAACTTTTTAAAACTAAAACCCTATACAAACGCCAAAAAAAATTATTATTTTTTTCCAAATTAAAAAAAAAATATACACAATGTAACTGTCAACAGTACGGATGAACACAAGAAATAAAATTAAAAGATCTTGAGAAATATATTTATAGAAATACAAACAAGGGTGTTGATTTCAGATTGTCATTCTTCTGCTCGTCTTTCAAAAATGAGAAGGTGGAGGAGGAGGACGGGTAGAATTACACAGTCCCAGGTGTGAAACAATGAATTAACCCAGATGGATGGAAACACCACAAAGGCCTTCTTTCCAAAAAACCAAGAGTGCAAATGCCAGTTCCCTCTGCAGTGCCCTCCCACAAATGGTAAGAGCTGCCATATTGCAAGCCTGATCCGCCTTAATAAAGTTGAGTTGTTTCTACCCCAGATCCCCAATGAACCCACTGCTGACTTTTGGCCAGCTGGCTCTTGGTCCTTCCTTCCTCTGTACATTGCTGCCCCACAAGCCATGGGTCCATTTCTCTCTCTCTCTCTCTTGCTCAAACACCCCCCTCCATTCCAAACCAGGGCTCCCAAGTTGTAAGCCACACACAACTTGTAAGTCAGAGAGCAAAACAGCCCCTCAAAAAGAAAGTATGAAAACACCCATGTTTCTCCACCCAAAGTTACATCAACTTTGGTGTTCAGGTAGGCTTATTTAGCCGATGGGGGTGGTTTTCTCGTGAAATGTCCGCGATTCCTGCCGTAAGTCTCCTGACAAGAGGAGGAAAAAAACATTTATTTGCAGGCTAGCTGGGGGAATATGCAAAGCTGTGCGGGAAGAGGGTGGGTGGCCAAGGGAAGTCAACGTGGAAGATTCACAGAGGATTTGTGGATGCACAAAAGACAAAACCAGCGGCAGCAGCTTGCAAAGTCCCACTGCAACGGTGGCAGGGCAGGGTGGGGGGATATTTGCAACGACTGGATGCACACACACTCTGAGCTACGCCAGGGGAGTGGCAGAGCAGTCCTGCTCTCCCCATGTACCAAGCCACCCCCTTTCTGCCTGCCCAGAGTTGCATGCCTCTCTCCCCAACCACTATGAAAGCTTTTCGGGGGGCTACTGCAGGAGAAACAGCTGTCCTCCCCACAGGAAGGGCAGAGGCAGAACGATTCCATGCCAAAGGACGCCCTGCGTGTTAAGACAGCCAAGGAAGCAAGCCTGCAGGTCGTGCGGGGCTTGGAAGCCCACAAACTCTGGACAAGAATGAACGTAAACAAAGCCTAACCCCCTACCCTCCCAAATATTTTTAAAAAAACAACACACTGAGCCCTGATACCCCCTGCCCCACTTGGCAGCTCTCAAGTGGAGGAATGCGCCCCACCATCCCCCTCCAGGAGCTCCCAGACAGCCCTTCAATACAAGATTCCTGAGCTAACAACATGACTGCCCTCCTTTCGTAGTTCAATTCCCCGTGGAGGGACACAGGGTTTTTCCGTGGGAAAGGGAAGAGGCAAATCACCCTGCCCACAGGCTTTTTGCTGGTGCCAAATCATCTGACCCACCTGCCCTGGACTCTCAAGGCTCTATTTGATGAGGGATGCCCATCTTGTCCTGGAGCCAGGAGCCAAGACAGGGACTAGCAAAGTGAGTTTGCAAAAGCTGGAATGCTCTGGGACATGTATAGTTAACATGGTGCCCTCTAGATGTTGCATACTACGGTTCCCATCACTATTGGCTGTGGGGACTGGGGTCAATGGGAGTTGTAGTCCAAAGCATCCAGAAGGCAGCAGGTTGACTACCCCTCCTCCTCGTAAGAGGACAACCATGCGACCCTAGATGTCCAGAGAGTCCATTAAGATTTGCTCCCAGGATTGCTGCTGGAAAGATGGGCATGGACTGTTCTGTGCAGCTACTCAGACCAAAGAGAAAGGGGAAGCCTACAAGTGTTTGATTCCCTTATGAATTAATTGAAGTGGGGCCCTTTGATGTGCTTCCTAATCAACACAGACAGGGATATCTTCTTGAGAGCCTATTCACCCAGCAGGTTCTTTTTTTAAAAAATAAACCCATAAAAATCAGGGCTACCCCATTCACAACCACGTTTACTCAGATGTGAACCCTGTTGAATTCAGTGAGACTTGTTCCCGGGTAAGTGAGCTGAGGATTGCAGCCTTAGTCAGGCAATTGGTTAAGTTAACCCATTCAAAAACATTTTAAGTGACTTTATAAAAACCTTGCCCTCTCCATTGCCTGGGCACCGATTATTGAAATAAATACATATTAAACAAAAGCAAAAAAAACTGCCCATGGTCCTTCTCAGAGGCTGCATACTCAGTCCAAGTGAGGCCAGGGGTTGTTGTTTTTTCTTTCCTCCAAAATGACTGTTTTTTCTCCTACTCCAATTTATGCATATTTACTCAATGGCTGGATCAGCCAAAACCTGTTCAAATAATTGCCTAAGATTTCAGCCTAGTAAAAAGGGGGAAGGATGCACTAAGGGTAAGTAGGTATGGCGGGGGGGAGGCAAGCACCCTGATGGGAACTGTGGTTGCGAGTGATCATGTGATGGCAAGTGTGAAGAGGCCTCAAGAAGCCCCCCTGAAGCAGAGTCCCCTGTGATGCAGGACAGCGCTGGCCCATGCCTGGCATCACCACCCTCTAGATTGCAAGGTGCTCCATTTTTAACCTGACCTTCTCAGGAGGACTTCTCAGGGTGTGCTGCCTTGCAGAGAAGACAGCATAGACCATGGGCACACCCTGAAGCTATAATGCAAAGTCGTGACCACATCAACTCAGGGAAAGCTTTCTAGAATGGAAGGACCACCTTCCTTGACTGTTCCCCATCTGTGGATGTTTACACACCCCAGCTCAGTGGCTGCCCCACTTTACCCTCTTCAACTGTTCCTTTGTCCCTGCCAGAGGGACAATTCCCAGTTGCCAACCCTGGGGCGCCACACAAGAGAAAAGGAGCCCAGCATGACTGGGAGCGTTAAGCCATCATGTCGGATGCATCCATCAAGGCAAGGGCAGTGACATCAACGCAAACGAGCGAAGAGCCCTACTGACGTCTGGGTAGCCGCAAAGAGGTCCAATCCTGTGGGCGGGTTGTATCCCGGGGGCCAAATGGACTGGACAAGGAGAGTTCATGCCCCTTTTCCTCGGAGCTGCCCCTTTTTGGAGCTCTATGGACAAAGTGTGCCTCTTGTTTTCCCTCCAGGAAAAAAACCCTGCATCCCAGATTATCAAAAGTTTGGGAAACACCGGATTAGAGATTCAGCTCTCTTAAAGCTATTGCATTTCTCCAGCCTTCGTTTACCTGGATAAACTAATTTCTTTTTTTAAAAAAACAACAACGAAAAACAAAGCAAAACGAAACACACAACCATGTCTCCGTACAAGACATTGTCAGGCGAGATTCGAAGCAGGTGTCTCCAATCTCCACCATCCTTCTGCCAAGTTGTGCCAAACTAGAAACTGCCCCCCACCTTAAAGCTAATGTTCCTTGAGCTGCCTATTGCCCCTGCCACCCAAAGCCTGCAAACACTCTTCCTCCTAGCTCTTTGTAACGACTCTGACTTTCCAAAGGCACTCTTCTCTCTCTCGTCTCTACGTTAGGACCAGCCATAGACAAATAAATGGCAGCCTGCCAAGCCTCGCCCCATCTGCCACCCAAGATACCCCACCCTTCCCACCCCCTCCCACCCTAGACGTTTCCTTTCACCAGCCTCGGCCTAGCCCAGGGCTGGCATTCGCACGAGGGGCTGTGTCAGGTGGGACCCAGGGCCGGGAGAGAGTTTGGTGACCAGTGAGGGGGTTTATATAGTCAGACTTTTGAGTGGCTCTCAAAACGGTCCTCAAGAGCCTTTTTTTTTTTTTTAATGTACTGCATAATGTCGCTAGAACGGACGCCTACAAAATCCTAAAGCTATTTCTCAGGCAGTTTATAATAAGCCCCCCTCCCGCCCACCCGGCCCACCCTGTGCCTCCCCCCTCCCACACCTCCCCTCCTCGTCCCCCCCACCTCCCCAACCACTGCCTCCCCCGCCCCCCCAGACACACACGCAGGAGAGCGGAAACCAGCTCTGACGGAGGGCGCTGGGCCACCGGGGGAGGCAGTTATGTCACCCAAGCGTCCAACCGCATGCGCTTCACGGACGGGTTCTCCCCCTCGGCCTCGGCAGTGGGTCTCAGGAGGCCGAGAGAGGAGCCAAAGTCGGCCCGGGACTGATCTTCCCGCTCGTTGCCCTCGTAGGAGCTGGCGTTGCTGCTGAGGCTGTCGACGGGGGAACGTCCCGTAGGCTCATGCCGGGCCTGGTGAGGGAAGGAGGAGAGCGGGGTGGCCGTGTTGCGTTCCCGGTTGGGTGAAACAGGCTCCGACTTGATACTGATGTTGGGGTTGGTGTTGACGGTCAAGGTGCTGGCGTGGGACAGGTGGGTTCCTTGTCTGCAAGGGGGGGGGAGAGACACAGGCACACAGGGGCTCATTTATTTATCCAGCATATGTTTTGGAAACGGGACTGTCCACCTGTTCTCTGTTGGCGGCTCCCAACAAAAAATAGTAAAAACACAATACAACATCATACACACACATAAAAAGTTGAAGGTTCCTGAGATGGAGGAGGTAGTTTTCATCTATGGGCGCCATTTTGAATCAAGATGGCGGAACGAACCATTCCAAACTTCACTGATTTGGAAATAAGAGGCCTGGGAGGCAGGGACCTGAGATCTCCTAGTTTGATTTCACACCTTTTCCTGAATGCCCCAAGGCTGGGACCACCTACAGGGGGAGTGTGGGCCTTTGGGGTTGATTTGCAAGGGGCAGCTTCAAAAAAGAAAAGATAGGGTGGGAAGCCCACAGCGAGCAGTCGTTTACAGAGAAGTGCATTTAAAAAGGAGCGAGTGAAGAGAAGAAAGAGCAACTGAGTGAGAACTGCAAGCCTGAGTACGGAAAGAACTAGGGGCTGACTGAGAAATTATTTGGGGGAGGGGCACACAGCAGCAAAAGAAAAGCACATGAAAAAAACCTATTTTCTTCTTTTGGACTTATTTTAGAATTCCCCTGGCCCTGCCTACTACCAGGTGTGGTGAACACTAACATGTAACGCTATGCTTTGGTTTAGTGTTACACGCAGGTCCCGCTATCCAAATGCTTGTTATACAAAAACTGACTTATCCAAACATGAGGAATTAGTACCCACCCTTGGCTATACATACCGCAGACTCAGACAGCCAAACAGCTGGACCTGCATGTAGGACTGTAAACAAATAAGCAGCCTTAAACAACCCGTATTTTTTGTGGTTTGTGGCAGTCATTTTGCCAGAAACCATGTTAGAAGGGAGGGAGGGAGGGAAGAGGAAGGAGGAGAGAGCATTTTTCCTCCCATTCCTTGTTTGCCCTTTTGCAAGGTTTTGGAGGGTTTCCCCAAGTTTTTTCATTATTCTGGGGGTTGAAATTCCGTGGTCGGGAACGCATTAGAAATCTCTCCATAGGAATCAATGGAAATCGTCGTTATGCAAATGCTTGCTTAACAAACAATTTCCTGAGAATGCATTGTGTTTGGATAGTGAGACCTGCAAGTGAGACCAGAGATGTCCACATAAATTTCCTGGAGCCAACAAGGGATTCTCAATGTCTTAGCGTATATACTTTTTAATTTGGCATTCTTATGATCTCTTCAGCTGCAGGTTATTTTACATGTCTGGTGTACTCTCTATAAATTTGCAAGGAGAAACAAATGCAAAGCAGGTGGTCTAGCACTGAGCTGTGGCCTTGAAAATGTCAGCATTCAGAGAGTTGCCTTCAACTGCATCAGGCCCTGGGTCCATCTAGCTCCGGATTCTTGGGGCTCTCCAAGGGGTCCTTTGCCTAGAACTGAGGTCCCTTTTGTTGGGAGATACCAGCAAGGAAACCTGGGACCTTCTGCAGGCAGAGACTGTCCTCTGCTGCTGAGCTCTGGGCTTTGCAAATGAGCTGCAGAGCTCCTGGGGCAAAAGAGGCGCCTCTTCCACTAGATTCAGTCAACACAGAGTCATTTGGCTGGCCTTGCTTATGTAACCAACCAGCCCTTGGCCTCTCGCAGGTCGGAAGTTGAGACGGTGACCGGTTGGGTTGTTTGCTCCAGTGACAGATTCGTGTCAGTTCCCCCAAGCTGCCCGTCAAGAAATTTCTGCCAGCAGCACAACATGTGACTGAGGAGAGATCATGGCTGAAGGATACTCTGGGACAGAAAGCAGAGCTCAGCACTGACATTTTTTGGTAACTGTAGGCCAGGATGTAGTTTCCACCCTGCCCCATAAAAAAGCCTAGTTCTTGAAGCAAGCAACAGCAAAATCTGTGTTCCAATTAGATCACATAACTTTGGATCACAGTCTTGCAAGTGGCGGGAATGTTCTGACCCGTTCCACCTCATGGTAGTATTGCTTGGGCTCAGCCACCCTCTACACATACACACACCATCCAATTTGCTGACATGGCACACACCAATCTTATTTGACTCAAGAACTGCACACTGGGGAGAGATTCAGAGGTTTTATGGTAAGTGGGGAGCTTTGAGGGCAGAGCTGCATATGCACTCAAAAAGCAAGACAGAATTCTACATTCTGAATTCTGCCGACCTGCCTGAATTGTGGCAATTTGCCTCTATTTGTGCATCACTTATGCTAGAATGGCAAAAGTGTTGTAAGAGGGCTGAAGCTTTGCCCCAACCTTAACTGCTATGTCCCTCTTCAGGCGGCATACTCCATATGTTCTGGATCACAATTCCCATCAGCCCCAGCCAGTATGGCCAGATGATCTTGTGGCTGAGGGGAATTGTAGTCCAAAACAGAGGGCACCAGGTTGGGGACATCCTGTTAAAAAGTTATCTGTTTCCACATGCTGTTTGCAATTCACTGGAATAATTTAGCATCCTTCCTCCTACTGTGACTTTCCTTACCTGTTTCCTCACATCTCTCAGGACAAGATGCTATCAAGTCTATGACTGTTATTGCTGCTGTAAAAAATTACATCAGTGCCCAGCAGTGGAAAGGCAGGGAGGAGATGAGATGGCAGCAAAAGCATGCATGAAGAAAGCAAGGTCTCAAAGGAAAATCTCAAAGGGGCAGAGAGGATGGTTTGTCTCAGGGATGGGGAACCTCAGGCCTAGGGGTCAAATGCAGCCTTCCTGGTCTTGTCTCTCCAACCCTTTAGACTCTCCAAGGGAGAGAAAGAAAGACATTGAGTCCTCCGCGCCTGTATGTTTGGTGAGGGTGTGTGCTGAATGTGCGTGTATGGTGATTGTGCGTAGCCTATATGCACACTCTGTTATTTGTTTGCACACATGTGTAACGCATACACATTGGCCATGCCACTATTCTGCCCTATTTTGCAACAGGGGTGGATTATTGCAATGCACTTACATTAAGTTACTTAGTGATACAGGAACCAGATGCTGTTGCTGTTGCTGTTGCTGCTGCTGCTGCTGCTGTTGCTGCTGCTGCTGCTGCTGCTGTTGTTGTTGTTGTTGCTGCTGCTGCTGCTGCTGCCAAGCAGAAATGTTGCTCAGAGACAGACCAGTGGGTGAACTGAACGATGAGAGGGATGAGAGATCCGCGCTGGTCAACTGGTAGTCTGAAAAGAAAAGGGGGACAAGGTTTCAAAAGCCGAAGACACACCAGTAGGGCCTTTGCAAGCAATTTCCCCTAGTATGATGTATTCCTACAGAATCATAGATTCCTACAGAATCATAGAATCGTAGATTTGGAAGGGACCCAAGGATCATCTAGTCCAACCCCCTGAAATGCAGAGATTGCAATATTTTCTTGCATGTTATTTTCATGAATATATACATTTTTGTGCATGCCTTCCCCACAAGAACACATTTTTGTACACTTTTTCCATTTACAAAACTGCACTGCAAGATTCAGCAGAGTGCAAATTTCAAAGGACAGTGGCATTTCGGTTGGCGAGTTGTTTCAATAAGGGGAAATTTGGTAGGCTCCCATTAAAATGCCAACGGAGCAAGCCTCTGATCTCTCCAGACCAGCCTCAGACACACCAGCATTTGGAAAAGGGGCCCCTTGGAAGGCAAGGGTGTCCCAAACCCCGTGCCAAAAAACACCCAGACACTGTACTAACAGAGAGCCTGTTAAGTGTACCAGAAGCCCAGTTCATCAGATCTAGCAAATGCAAATACACACACTACTGAAGAGAAGGCATGAGCAAGGTTTATAAAATTACCTACCACAAGATGGCACCCTATGCACATGCCCATTGCTAACATTAGAATGGAAAAATAGACACACTTTGCTTAAGGTTGAGAGGGGAGGGAGGTGGGCTGCTGAGGACCTAGTCATGTGACCATCTGGATGCAGGATTGCTGCCAAAGAAGCCTGCATATCACAGTTTCCCCCCTCCAGCTGTGATGACGAGGGGGGTCATGTGCAGAGGACGACGTATTCATGAACGAGGCAGGAAGCTGCCCTGCTGTTGGTCCAGATCTAGGCTTCCTCAAGTCCAGCGTTTGTCTTCTGTGAGCAGCCAACTGCCCCTGGCAGCTTCACAAGCAGAGTATGTGCAGGAATCCATTTTCGGGGAACATTTAGGAGTATTAGCAATTGCGTTTCCCAACCTGCTCTAAAAGCAACACAGCTGGATCACGACGGGCTGAAGAGCAGCACACCGTGTGCACTCTATGAGCATTTTGTCACAGTCGCCTGCGACCACAAACAAGCCCAATGAGTCAAAATGTTCCTTGAGGTCTAGTAGTGACATGGCTCCCATCAAACAAAAGGTAGGAAGTATTAACTGCAAGATTATGCAGCACAGGAAGTGTATTTTAAATTGCAAATTCGTTCATTGCATTTATATATAACCAGCCACACCTCACTTGGAATATAACAAAGAGTGAGAGTTGGCAGGTTGGTTTGGTTATGAGATGCAGTTGAACCTCTGCCATTAATCAGTTGCTTAAACACAGAGGAAGAATGAATACTTTGTCTACTAAACAGATACGCTTGGAGGATACAGATCTACAGCTACAAACAATTCGCAAATAAGAAAGTTCTGTTGGTGGTCGTGTTAAAAGTAGCAGAGTGTGCAGCGGTAGCCTGCAGAGATTTTATAAGAACTAAAAGAGATAAAGAGGGCAGTGCAAGAACAACTGCCCCAACGTGTTGCCCTCCAGGTGTTTTGCACTACAACTCCCATCAGCCCCAGTCATTACGACCAGGCTTCCATCCAGTAGCAGCATCATATGGCTGGGACTGATGAGAGTCGGGCGTCCAAAGCAGCTGTGCCGGCTGGAATTGATGGGAGTGTTCTGGTCCAAAGCGACTAGCAGGTTGACAAAGGCAACTTGGACAACAGGGGAGGGGATAAAGGTAAGAAAGGATGAACGTGGGGAGTTTAGTTACAGAATTAGGTAGATGCTGGGGAAAAAGCTGGCTGATACAATGGGTTATTTATTTATTTTAAATAAATTGTGCACTTCATATACACCATGGACTGTGGTTCCTGGCTCATTTCCGGGGCCAATTCAATACACTCATGTAAGTGTTTAAAGCCTTAAATGACTCAGGCCCTAAATATCAGCAAGACCTTCTTCTCTCCAAATCCTCTAGGGTGCTACGGTCAGTGGGTGGGGGGCCTTGGTTGTTCTACTGCCCTTAAGATGTTAAGGGTGGAGATGACCTGGGAGATGGCTGTCTCTGTAGCAGCACCTAAGATCTGGAACTCCCCACCGGGGTGCGCCTGACACCTTCACTTAACAGCTTCCATTGAATGCTGAAGACACCCCTCTTTATGCTGGCCTTTGGCACCTGAGAGGTGTTGTTTCTAGACCCTGCCTTATTTCTGTGGCTGTAAGTAAACTTGTTTTTTTTATGTTGTGTTTTAATATCGTAACCCACCCTGGGACTTTAGGGTGAAGGGCAGGCAATGAATTATCACACTCCTCAGCATCATCACCGCTGGCATCTCTAGGTTGGGCTGGCCAAACCATGGGCAGCCACTGCCAGTCAGTGTAGGCAATATAACATCAAATGGCACAACCCACACAGTTCAACAGGACAGGACTGAAAAGTGTGCTAACTATCTCACATGAAAATCAAGGAGAGTTATCAAGGCTGAACAGGCCAAGGTTGCCTGAGAACACACCATCCTGAATCGCCAAGACAGTAAACAGAAAACTGCAGTGCTCGGGGCTGGGGAAACAATAAGGTTTGGGCCTGTTTTTCTGCATGATTTATTTTTCACACTAAATGCCACCCCCCACCCCCAGTGCTTTGGGGTGGGAAGAGGCACCAGCGCTTCTTAGACCTGCTGTTGTAATTCCGCTTCATGTTGGTTTCAACACCCAAAGTTTATAGAAATTAAAAAAGCTTTTTGTGCTTTGAAAAACGGGTCTCTGTCTTCCTTGTGTGAAACTCCCATGACAAGGAGAGGAGGGGAACCCTCTTGGGGTTGCAATCAAACCCCAAGAGACAATGCCTCAAATATTTGAACAAGGGGAAAATTCACTTGCCTCTCAAGGAGCTGTCAAGCTCCCATCAGGATTCCCTAGAGGCAGTTCTGCTGAGATGCCTTTCTGGGTGTGATGTGAACACAATGCAACTTGAATGTCGGGTGTCCCGTCCTGTCCTGTCTGTCCGTCCATCCCCCCACCCGTCTGCTTGGCTGCACTGTCCCATTCTTGCTTAGGGTGTCTGCAGTTTCTGTCACCCCTCCCCTCCTCAGCTGTCAAAACTGCTTGAGAGCAAAGCGTGAACAGCTGCCAAAGCCTTTGCTGGGAAATTCTGAGGCGACCTGCCTGCCACCCACCCCGCCCGGACAATAGGGTGCAATAGGGTGGATGGGATCTGCGAGATTCTCTTCCACAGCAAGGATCAGCGAGATGGGAGGGAGCACCTTCTGCGCTTGAAAAGGCAACAGAAGCAAAGCAGGAGTTAGTGTGTCGAAGACAGGAAAGGGGGCCATCCGATTTTACTTCTAAAGAATCTCAGCTGCCTTCTGTTTTTCAAAATCAGGTTTTTGAAGGTATGCTCATCAGTTGCTGAGCAAACAAGGCCTGCTGATGTCTCAGAAGGCAGAGAGGTGGCTGTGGATGGTTTCTAGTTGCTCTGAGGGTCAGGTTTCGATGCTCTGCATCACACCAGGCATCTTATCCACCTCTGCCTGCCAGCCCATCAGAGGAGAAGGGCCAGCGTGGACGACGGAGAGAGAGAACAGCCGACTGTCTTAAAGCAAACACCCTGCATTGCAAACTATAACCAAGGCACACATGTGTTCCTATATGAACGTTATCAGCCATGCAAAGAAAAAGAGAGAGAAAAGCTTGAAGCAACAACCAGAGAAAATGGCAGTATTCACCAGCATGCTGTTCTCCAGATGTTTGGGATGACAAACACCCAGGCAGCCCAGCTGCTTTGGACTACAACTTCCATCAGCCCGAGGCAGCATGGCGGTTCTGGGCTCCTGGCTGGGGCTAATGGGAGTCGTCCGAACCAACTGGAGAGCTCCAAGTTAGTGAAGGCGGCAGTACCATAATAGAAACAGCAGCCACTTTGGAGAAAGTAGCTCTTGGGCTTGGGTGTCAGCTTCTAGGCACCCATTTTGGCTAGCAGGCTATGGCCAACGCTGAGCTTTAGCCCCATAATTATAATGTTTCAAAGGGGCGTCTCTATTTGCAATTTACCGAGCCCCACGGCCCAACTGCTCTCACACACCTCAGGATGATTTGCCGTCACCCCGAGAAAGGCATCGCTTCTGAGCAGACAGGTGTCAGCTCCGTCTGTTAATTAAGATGGGTGTGTTTGACCTCGCACCTCATTCCATTCCTCAGCATCAGAGCTGCTCCTTAAGACCGGCTCCCTCTCATTTTCTGCGTCAGCTTCAGGCTTCTAGTCCTGGTTTCTGAAACCATCCCCTCTAACCCCACAATCATGCAAGAACGCTGCAACATAGGAAGCTGCCCTATTGTACTGAGTCAGCTAATTGGGTCCACCTAGCTCATTACTGTCTGTGCTGACTGGCAGTGGCTCTTCAGAGGTCTCAGGTACGAGTCTCTCTCTCCCAGTCCTGCCCAGAGAACCCAGGGATTGAAGCTGGGACCTTCTGCCACTGAGCTATGGTCCAAAATACAACAGGGTTCTCGTCCACATAGTTCTCTCCACTGAGCAGTTACTTTTCCTGTCCCACTGCTTTTCACTTGTAAAGAAAATAGGTCAAATTAAACCAGCTTTTGCCAACCTGGTCCCTGGCAGATGATGATGATGATGATGATGATGATGATTAGACTACAACCCCCATCAGCTTCAGCGAGCACAACTGTGCTCCCATCAATTTGCTGGCTGGGGCTGAAGGGGTTTGTAGTCCAGAATATCTGGGAAGCATCAGGTTGATAAAGGGTGGTATAGATCTATAACTAAGGACCAGAGAGAGGCAGCTGGTGGCTATGGGCTTCCTCTGCTTGGCTGCAGCACCTTCCAGCTTGCTCTGTCTGCCTCGAGGGTGGCAGGATCTCCAGATGTTCATCACACAGTCTGGCTTGCACACCGTGAACGCAACACACAGCTAGCCCCTCGCCAAGTGGGTTGCCGTCTGCTTTCCGCAGGACTGCTTTGGAAGCAGAAGGGTGTGCAGGAGAGTTCCCTCCCACTGTGTTTCACGCGTGGGCATATGTGGCAGGCTCACCTGTGTTGTACGCTGTCGGCATTGCTGAGAAGGGCAAGCCTTGGGTCAGGAGGCTTGGAGTCGCCACCGAAACAACCGGTGTGGTCAGAGAATGAGTCGCCTGGGAGACCATCAGCCTCTGTGTGTTTTGCTGGGAAAAGGAAGAAGAGGGAAAGAGAGGGAGAGAGAAAGAGAAAGGAGGTCAAAATATACGGAAGGAGGCAATATACGCTTGGAGGCAAAGCAACACAGCCACTTTAAGGAAGTGTTTGAAAAGGGTATAACGTAGCAGAGGTACAGGCCAGGCCTGTGAAACCCTTTTGCTTTATTCAATCAATTTGAATATACTGGGTGGTGGAGCTGATGGGGTCTCTCTGGGGGCCACAGAAAAGCTCACTGGGGGCCTTATATGGCCTGAGGGTTGCAGGTTTGCCAGCCCTGCTTTTAATTTTGTTATTATTTAATTACATTTATATCCCACCTTTCCCCCCAAAGAGCTCAAGGAGGAGTACACGGTTCTCTTCCTTCCTATTTTGTCCTCAGGACAACCCTGTGAGGTAGGCTAGGCTGAGAGACCCTGGCCCAAGGTCACCCAGTGAGCTTCATGGCTAAGTGGGAGATTCGAACCCTGATCTCTACCAGGTTCTAGTCCAACACTCTAACCATTACCCCACAGAAGTGACACAGGGACACAGGAAGCTGCCTTATCCTGAGTCAGACCCCCTGTCCCATCTAGCTCAGTATTGTCCACACTGACTGGCAGTGGCAAGTTTCAAGCATGGGGTCTTCCCCAGCCCTACCTGGAAATGCCGAAATTGAACCTGGGACATTCTGTGTGCAAGGCAGAAACTCTGCCACTGAGCTATGGCCCTTTTACTACTGGGGCTTTCAAGATGAAGGAAGAAGGTGCTGGCAGTGCTTGTGCCACCCTGAAGCACCCCTTGACTCCCAATTACAGAGTCAAGATGAAGCTGAAGATAAGCATTAAGCCCCTGAGCTTGGAGGAGCCTGGCAAGGCACCTGCAGCTTACAATAGCCTGGGATGTGATCACTGACCCAATAGGCTTAGGGGTATTTAGAACAAATTCCCTCTTGGTGCAGCTGCGGGGATTTCCCCTGCCCTCTTCTTCGCTCAGAAGGTCGTATCAGGTCCTTCAAGTGGGAGGCAGAGGTGGGGAGGAATGGGGAGATGGCAGGCAGGCTCTTTTAAGATTCATAGCAGAACATATGGAGAGACTGGCTACCACGGCTGACGGAGTCGAAGCATTTCTATCTGGCCCTGCAGCTTACATATCAACAAAAATAAACACAGTCCCTCCTCTCAGGCTTACAATCTAAGAAGACACCACACAAAAGGGAAAAAAAAGTGATGAGGAGGGAAGAGGAAAACAAACAAACCCAGGCAACAAAACAGAACCCTGTTCACAAGGTTCTTGTAACAACCAGCTGGGATGTGAATAACCTGCTCACTGTTCAAAAATCAGGCCTTACCAGGATCTGCTGAGAAACAGATGCAACTTTCTTGGAAGTGGCTGTAATATCGCTGGAAATTATCTAGCTGGAATCTGCTGGCCTTATGGCCACTCCTGCCAAAGGCCTACCTAGACCAGCTTCCTCTTTCCTGAGGTGGTCAGGTGGATTCGTCCAAGAAGCCCACAAGCCAAAAGTTGCAAGGAACACCACCCTCCCCAAAGGGCACTGAAGGGTAGAAGGAGTCCCCACTGGCCCCATCAGGCCTCCACGAGAGTCTCAACCTAGGAACTGCCACGTTTCTTAAGGGATACCCGTGAATGTCAACGAAGGAAGAACCAGAACAGGAGGCAGTTTCTCCCACCACCTTGGCCACATCGTGAGTAGGAAGTAGGATTAATAACAATATTAGGAACAATAAATAATAATAATCCGGGATAGCTCAGTTGGTAGAGCATGAGACTCTTAATTTCAGGGTTGTGGGTTTGAGCCCTATACTGGGTGAAAGATTCCTGCATTGCAGGGGGTTAGACTAGATGACCCTCGGTTCCCTTCCAACTCTACAGTTCTAATAATAGGAATTCCTACAGGGCCAACTCCTTTCAGCCCCCTGGGGGTTGTTTTGTACTGCATCCCCAATGCTATTCAACATCGACACAAGGCCTCTGGGATCGGTCATTAAGAGATCTGGAGCACAGCATCATGAGTAAGCTGATGACACACAGCTCTATTTCTCTGTAACATCTGAACCAGGAGGTGCTGAGCCAGTCCTGAACCAGTGCCTGAGCTGGATGAAAGCCAATAAACTTGAAATTGAATCTCGGCAAAGCAGAGGCCCTGGAGGGAAGTGGTGAGTTGCCTGTTCTGGATTGGGTTGCACTCCCTCTGGAAGAACAAGTGTGTAGTCTTGGGGTCCTTCTTGACCCAAGTGGTCACTGAAGTAGTGCCCTGGAGTGCTTTTCACCAGCTTCGGCTGGTGCACCAGTTACAACCATTCCTGGGCAGGGATAGCTTGGCAACAGCGTTCCACGGACCAGTAACCTCAGGACTTGATTCCTGCAATGTGCTTTACGTGGGGCTCTCCTTGAATGTGGTCCAGAAGATGAAGCTAGGGCAGAACACGGCTGCACAGTTGCTCTCTGGAGCAAACTATCACCAACATGTGACATGGCTGTAGAAAGAATTGCACTGGCTGCCAGTCTGCTACCAGCCCCTTAGGATTATGGACCTGGGTATCTGAAAAGCTGTCTCTCCTACTGCATCCCACCCTGGGTCATGTAGACCTGCCCCTGGGGTAAGGCATGCTGTGGCTCAAGCCATGTGCTCTCAGCATTGTGGCACCAGTTCTCAGGAATGCTCCCTCTTTAGAAGCAGAGCAAGCACCAGAATAATTTTCGGCATTTGTCAAAAGATCTTTCTCTTTGCCTGTGCCTTCCCAAATTAGTCTATTTTATTTCTGCTGCAGGTTTATTTTTCTGCATTCTTCTAGGTTTTTATGTTTTAATACTGTTTTTAGGATCTGTATTGTCTGTATATGTTTTATTTCTATACATTCTCTACCTCACATGCAACACGCACACATACACTTCATTAAAATAATAAGAATAAGCTTTATGGACTTGCTCAGTCTGCAATGCATTTCCCCCCTATAAGTTGTTGAGCTCTAGATTTCAGAGTCCACTTTTGGTTGCAAAACACAAGAAGTCACGCAGTCATGAACACAAGCAGGATGTAATTCAGGTGGGAAAATAAACTTGGATAGGGGAAAGAAGAAAGTGGGGGGGGGCAGAGCAGCAGCTAGACAGAGCATGCAGATGAACACAAAGGCAAGGCACTCCCTTTGCCCATGCAATCTGGGGAGTGAAGTATTGATCAGGGGACTGCGCTTCCATCCAAGGCTCATTTATAAGCGAATCCTAATTTTATTGCATTTATATGATGCATCTTTGGGGTGTTTTCCTTTTTCAACTGTTTGATTGTTATCTCTTTGTTGATAAGATTTTATTATGCCCGCTTGCTTTTAAGTGTGATCTTTTGGGGGTACTTTTATCGTTTTATGAAAACTGCTTCAGAAGTTTGCTTGTTTTTACTCGGCAGAATATAAATCCCACTGGACAAGTAAACAAATGGGGTCAGCCTGATCCCCAGGGATATCTGGGTGGCTGTTCGAGGCAGAATGTGAGAGGGAACAAATTAAAGTAGCTCATGAAGGTGCCAGCACCACCACAGGGACTCACTTGAGAGCCAAACAGGCAACTTCGCACAGTTCTCTGGGTGCTGCTGTTGTCCAGAGTGAGGAGGGAGATGTGTGGGGTGAGAGGGCCTTCTCTGTTGTGGCACCCACCTCCCTCAGTAGGCTCACCATTCCCCCCCACCACCCCAGATTAGCTTTTGCCAACCTGGTGGGAACTCCCACAATCTGCAGGGAAATGCATCACATGCAGTGACAACGCTGAACAGGGGTAGGAGGAGGGCTGTTTGAAGGTAGCCCCTCAGCAGCAGAAAAGATGGGGCAGAGTACCCCACACAGAAAAGGCTGTTGTGCAGACAGCTGAAGGAATGAGGCAGAAGAGACCCATATCTAACGCCAGATGGGATGGACAAAGGGGGCCTTGCTTAAGCAGGCCCAGTGACAGCATGTGAGGGGGACACTTTCCATTCTCGCCTGGTTTAGAGTTGCAATTCCACCACTCCAGGACACAGAAGAGGCAACGTGCAGGCACACATACCCATTCAATGCAGCTGCTAAAGTCGTGCCAGCTGTTGGGAGGGCAGGCTGCCAACCCACCTTCCTGGACCAATCAAGGCACCCTAGAAGAGGCCTGAAAGCAGACTGAGTTTCCTCTAGTAAGTCCCTACATTCCCCTGTCTCACAATTTCAAGACAATTATTCTTTTTAAAAAGGGAACAGAACCCAAAGACACACATACACACACACAGAACACTTGCAAGCATGGAAACTCACCAGATCCAAGTGATCCTCTGTCTGGGGTGTGGAATAAAAATGAAACCAAAATGAAATTGTTACATTTAATGCTTAATTTTGATGCCACTTTCAACACTAATTGAGTATCCTGTTCTGTATCACGCAGGGCAGACCAGAAGTTCAAGGGTCTGCTGTGTGATACTGGTTGAAAACATTGGGCGGGGGGATGACGACAAGGGAACACCACAGAAAGAACAGGCTGTGCTTGGGAGTGCCAGATAATATCCAAGGTGGAAATGGCTACTAGCTAGGATGGCGATGATACAGCTCCACTGTCAGAGGCAGTATGCCTCTGAATGCAAGCTGCTGAGAGTCACAAGTGTGGAGAGCAGAAAGGTATTTTCAGTTTCACACATGCTGGTGTCGTATATTTGGAATTCTCGCTGCAACATTTAATCAATTAATTGCTTAGATTAATAGATAATAAACCTTTCACTGCTTGTCACCAACTAATTGGCCATCAGGTTTTTAAAAAAATTAGAAACAGGCTCTTAATTTTTTAAATCAATCTATAGACAACTCAGTATGTATTTTAAAAATATCTAAGCAGTGTGTTTTTTATTTCAGAAGTTTTATTTGTTTTACAAGTGGCATTCCGAGTGTGTGTGAGAGAAGAAGGGGCAGATTCAGCATCTCTACACCAGGTAGCCAGTCTTTCTTTCTGATAAACACATTTATGCAGATGCAATTGATTAACCAACCCGGGATGGAATTCTGCTTGTTAGGCAATAATTCCCATTGAACTCAGAGGGACTGGCTTCTGCATAAACATGCTTAGAATTGTGCCGTAACAGCCCTGCTTGATACACTTATCTGCAAGCACAGCTATGGGATTTTTGCAGCACCAGTCTAAACAGTTACAATCATCACCAGCTCTCAAGAGTGTAGCATGGTCGAAAACGTCATGCGTTCTTGTGAAACACTGACAAAAAGATATCCTGAGGATTGTGGGAAGAGGTTTCCATGCAGACCAAAGTCAGGGCTGGTATCTCTTCCTTGGCTCAGCCTTTCAGTAAAATGGAGGGTGGTGGATCAGGCCCAGGAGCCTGCTGAAGTTGGAAACACACAGGATTTCTCTGCCCTAAGTTGGACTCACCAAATGGTGCATGAGACCCTTTCCACTCTGTGAGGTGATGACGCGCAAGTCCGGTTTGCGGTTGTTGGCAGCCAGCTGAGTGCCGTGGGAGGGTGGTGGCGGCGATTTTGCCGGGATGACCTTGCCTAGGCTGTTGCCATTCGACACGGGAAGGAGACCCGGGGAGGCTCTGGCGCTGACGTAACCATTCCCTGGAGAAAAAGGAGAGAGAGGGAAAAACAGATATTATTTTTCAAAGAATGGACAACGTTGGGAAATATCTTAAACTTGTCCCCATGCCCAAACATAAGTCAAAGTAAGTGTGCCTCAAGTAATCTCTATTTTCTCCCGGTTTACACAGGAAGCTGCCCTTTCCAAAGTCACGACTCTTGGTCCATTTAGTTCAGTATAGTCTACACTGACTGGCAGGGGCCCTCCAGGGTTTTAGGCTGGGGAAATGGCCAGCTCTTCCTGGAGCTGCCAGGGTTGATGATGATAATTTATTACATGCCCTTCACCCTAAGGTCACAATGCGGGTTACAATATTAAAACACAATATTATAAACAGTTTAAAACAATTTACAAACACAGAAATAAGGTGGGTCCCAAAACATACACATCAAGTGTAAAAAACCAGGGTAAAGAGATGTGTCTTCAAAATTTGTCGGATTCTGTATAATGAAGGGGGGGGGGAGAGTTCCGCAACTTAGGGCTGCCACAGAGAAGGCCCTGTCCAAGGTTGCCACCACCCTCAAGCTTCTGAAGGAAGTGAACTAGCGAGAGGACCCCCTCTGCTGATCTTAGCACCCAAGAGGGTCTGCAGGAAGAAGGGGGTCTTTTGGGTGTTTGGGGCCTAAGCTGTACAGTTCTTTAAACACTAATGTGAGCACCTTGAATTGGGCCCGGAAACGAACTGGGAAGCATTGCAGCTGTTTTAAAACACGGGTTAAGTGAGATCAAAATGGAACCCTAGCCAATAATCTGGCTGCTGTGTTTCAATGTCACAATAAGGCTAGCAGGAGAAATCAAGGCAGGTCTCAGATCACCAACCCGCCTCCTGGCTTTGCGACTGGCACCAAGAGGAGGAACAAGAGGCTAGGAGAGGGCGGGTGGGGGGAGGGGGGAGTGTCAAGTCTCCCCACACCCCACAGGTCCTGAGAAAGTCCCAGGGCTTGGCGAGGTCTCTCTGAGGGCCTACCCCCTGGGCTCTCCTGCTTCCCTGCTCCTGTTTCCTGGAATGAGGGGAATGTTTGGGTGACGTCAATGATGACATTCACAGGGCCTGCCAAGTTACAAGCCGGAACAGCCGCGCACGGCAGCTGACATGGGGGCTGCTTTGGAGACAGGAGAGATGCTTGGGGAGGGGGAGATGAGGGGAGAGGCAGGACGTTGTGTGTGCAGAAGATTGACAGGGACAGCAAGCGTGCCTAGGAGTCTTGGGAAGGGCCAAGGCTCGGCACTCAGGGATCTCAGGTGAAGTTAAAGCAGTATCCGCCTCCCCTTGCCACACAGTCTGCTGCAGTTTGTTAAGAGTGCTGAAAGTTGTGAGGAGACCCCAATTCCCCTCGTAGAACTACAATTCCCAGAGTTCCCTGCAAAGAGGGACAGTTTGTTACACCACTCTGGAAACTGCAGTTCTGTGAGGAGAACAGGGGGTCTCCTCACATCTCTCAGCGTCCTTAGCAAACTGCAGCTCCCAGAATTCTTGGGGGGGGGGGAGCCTTGATTATTTAAAATGGTGTCATAGTGCTTTAACTGTGTGCTGTGAATGGGGCCTAAGAGGCATTCCCTCCTACGTAAGAAAGAAAAGGGGATACTTCTTTTAAGATGCTGCTGTTATTTATGGGTTTTTAAAAAAATAAAATACAGTGGTACCTCAGGTTACATACGCTTCAGGTTACAGACTCAGTTAACCCAGAAATATTACCTCAGGTTAAGAACTTTGCTTCAGGATGAGAACAGAAACTGTGCAGCGGCGGCATAGCGGTAGCAGGAGGCCCCATTAGCTAAAGTGGTGCTTCAGGTTAAGAACAGTTTCAGGTTAAGAACAGACCTCCAGAACGAATTAAGTTCTTAATCTGAGGTACCACTGTAAAGTTTTTTATTTTCCAATGAGTCTGGTCTCTGAATAGTCAGCACACCTTTTTAAATTATCTTCAAAAAAGAACACCCAATTAAACACTGCAATTCTAAAACAAGCAGTAATTGCCTCTCCACCATGGGGATCTGTCTTTGAGGTTTGAGGCCTTCCATCCAGTCACAGCCTGAGCTTCTCATCAGCCCTTACTGTCATCCCTTCTCTCTACCGCCTTAGGCAGAACAGGCATATATCTATATGCGTTTCACTAGGATGTGTAAAATGTAACGTTGTCATCACACAGCCCCCAATGGAGGATCTGTAGTGCCACCTCACAATCCTGGATTGGGATGAAGTCAGGATGGGGTTGGGGAGCAAGCTGAGCAAGGCTGGCAGCCCTATTATGTATATACGTATGACATGTGTATCCATATAAACACACATTTATATATCCACCTTCCAATCTGCCTCCCCCACTGGATCCTAAGTGGGGCACCAAGGTGCAGCAAAGGGGAGTGTTGCCAGACTTGCCTTTAAAAGCAACGGAAGCAGACAGCCCTTGGGAGGGTGCAGCTTCCTCGCCTTCCAGTGCTATCAAGGTGGGAGAAGCCGCACCTTCAGAAATTCTCTCTGCTACACAATTATTAAAGCCACGAGAGGCAGGACACCTTGATATATTTCATCTCAAGGCCAGGATGTCTCAATATCCAATTAGAGCCATCCCTGCCCATTGCCATGCGACAATTAAACCAAACAAAGAGTCGTTTAAAAGGGATTCAGGCATGGTTTCTGAAGCCACCCAGAAGGGTTGTCATTTTAACAGGAGTTTTAAAACAAGGGCTGGTTTTGAAACTGACAAGGTCAAATAAAGTGATCCCAAGTGCAGCGCAGTCTCTAATTAAAACTGGCGCGGAAAGACTTGCTTGTCTGGACTCAGCCTGGTTTGGCCCTATAATGTGGGTTCCACCCCTTTCCCTCCTCTAAGGGCAGATTTCTGAAGTGGGTAATTATGTCAGCCTTGCAGATAAGTTTTTCAGAAAGTGTTTCCTAACCATTAGTCGAGCCACTGTTGCTTTGCCATATTTTTAAACTGTTATGTTATAGTTATTAAATGAGAATATATTGTGTGATTTATTTTGTTTAATTAACTGATTTTGGGGTGGGGGTGGGGGACTCTTTTCTGGGCAACCTTCCAGAAGTCACAAGTCAGTGCTGGGCAGGACCAGAGGCAAAAGTGGATGGAGCCACTAATGTGAAGGTTACCTCTGTAGTATGGGCTAATTTCTACACACACAGTCCCAGCTCTCTGTTACGTTCCTCTGACCAAACAAGCATCCATTCCAGCCAGACAAAAAAACTCAAGGAAGGTACAAAGCAGGGCTGGGGAGGGATGTGACCTGGAGAGAGTTCTGGGGGCCAGTGAGAGTGGTCTGGAGGGCCTGAGGTTGGGGCTCTCCAGGCCAAGCTTTCTCAAGGCCCACTTTGGGGAGCATAAGCAGCTGGCTCCTAGATGCTGACACTGAAATGCATCTCTGCATGACCAGCCCTGGGAGAAAACCATCAAGAGGCCTCCTTGACTCCACTGCCATCTACCCGCTTGCGATGTGAAATTTCTCAAGCTGCTCTGTGTCACCCACATAGATCAGCAGCTCCTTAGATCAACATGTGACCTTATGAGTCATTACACCCCAAACTGCATTAAGTTCTATTTCGGCTCTTTAAGCTTGGAGCTCCTTCCTCTATCACGAGGGCTGAAAGCTCTGCTGCTCCCTTATAGTCACAGCGCCCAGGATGCAGCTTGCACACTGACCCTGGGCTGAGTTTGCTGCGTGGGCCTCATCTACGTGGGACCCCCATTCCCAGTCACCCCCTTTCTTGTCCCTGTGCATGGAATGGCTTGGGCCCAAGGCCAACAACCTTCCCACCACAATTCATCCAAGGGAAGGCTCTCCAGAACCCTTTTCCTGACATCTGGCTGTTGGAACAACAAGCTTCCACTTCACTTCTACTCACCTACTGGACTCGGGCAGGCTCCATTTGTGTTGTTGAGGTCTCCTCCAAGCATTGCCCCTAAAGAGAAGAATATGGGCAAAGAGAGTTAGACTTGACGTTCCGCCACATTCCAACATGCTGATCCAGAGGAATGGAAGAAGAGCCTGCTGGATCAGGCCAAGGGCTCATCTAACCCAGCATCCTGTTCTCACAGTGACCACCCAGATGCCTGCTGAAATCCCACAAGAAAGATTCAAGAACAAGAGAACCCTCCCCTCCTGTGGTTTCCAGCAACTGGTATTAAGAATCATTACTGCCTCCTACTGTATGTATAGGCAGAGCATAGCCATCATGGCTTGCAGCCATTGATAGCCTTCTCTTAATTTATACAATCCTCTTTTGAAGCCATCCAGGTTGGTGGCCATCACTGCATCCTGTGAGAGTGAGTTTCATAGTTTAACAACAACAACAACAACAACAACAACAACAACAACAACAACAACAACCATCACCTTATTTGTACCCTGCCCATCTGACTGGGTTGCCCCAGCCACTTTGGGCGGCTTTCAACAGATATAAAAACCTTTTTAAAAATCAAACACTAAAAACGTCCCTATACAGGGCTTCCTTCAGATGTCTTCTAACAGCTGTATAGTTATTTATCTCCTTGACATCTGATGGGAAGGCAATCCACATGGTGGGCACCACTACCGAGAAGGCCCTCTGCCTGGTTCCCTATGCACTGTGTGAAGAAAGACTTCCTTGTCCTGAATCTTCCAGCATTCAGCTTCATTGGAAGTTCGTGAATTCAAGTGTTACAAGAGAGGGGAAGAACTTTTCTCTAGACACTTTCTACATGCCAGGCATAATTTTATAAACTTTTCGGTACCCATGTCACAGAATACAGTTGCTAGGAATCACAAGCAGGAGAGGAACATTGTTCTCATGTCCTACTTAAGAGAGACAGGATGCTGGACTAGGGAGTCCTTTAGTCTGATCCAGCAGCCAGGATCTTCCGATGTTCTCATCCATTTGTGAAACCAGATATGGATAATCTTTTTGGTCATTTACTATGGTCACAGATATATATGGAAGAAGTATCAAATAAAACACAAAACATTGTGTAACATTGACCCAACAACATTAATAAAATGCTGAAAAATAATAATTGAAATATTATATAATATGCTTTAACTGTTTTAAATTCTGAATTTTAAAATGTCGTAAAGTGCCCTGGGACCTCCTGGTGATGATGATGATGATGATGATGATGATTATTACTATTATTATTAACCAAGAGGTCCCAGAGCGAGATACAACAATTTAGAATTCAGATTTAAAAACAGCTAAAACATAGTATATTCATGAGAAGAGTGCAGGACCAGAAAACACACATCTCAGTTGTCACATACAATGCTGATGTCTTAAGCTGATCTAATGGTAATTGATTTTCAATGTTCTTAAATATAACTGCTTTTAGAATGTTTTTATCTGTTTTAAAATGTTTGCTTTGTTTTTGTTTTAAACGGTCCATGTTCTTTGCTGCCCTGGGTTTCTTGGGGAGGAAGGGCAGGCTTATAAATTCAATAAATAATAATAATAATAATCTGTGAAATATCTGGTACTTGTTTTATTAATGCAATTTAATTGATGTTCACCACCAATTGATGTTCACTACCATGATACCCCCCTCCCCACTTGCCACAGCCGCCAAAGAGTTCACGGTGCAGAAACTTTTGTAAATAAAACTAGATAAATAAAGAGCGAACCTGCGCTAGCTGGCCTCTGCGGGAGGCCCGGAGAGACTGTGTTTCGCTGGAGCGTTGGTTGCTGCGGTGAGAGGAGGCGCGGGTCAGTCAAGGAGGAGGTCACGAGGGACTGGGTCACTAAGGTGCCTCCTGGGTTGCTGAACTGCAGCGTGTTCTGGTTGGTCACTGGAACCGTAACAGGCATGGCAAAATTTGGAGCCGGAACTGCAGACTGAGGGGAGAGAGAGACAAGCATGTTTAAAATAGGAAGCTGATAGGAAGGGGTTTTGGTGTTAGGTTTGGCAAGCAGCATTCACAAGACCACAAGTGCATATTGGAGCCAAGGCTTCCAGCTGGATGCTTTCTGTTATCAGCCACTATCCCTGGACTGTTCCAGCGACAAGAACAGAGAACCTGCAAAGGCAGGTTTCACCAACCAGATGCCTGCCAGGCGTAATGGATGACATCTCCCATCAGCCCCATCCAGGGCTGATGGGAGATTTAGTCCAAAGCAGCTGGGGGTCACATTCACACCATATATTTAAAGCACCATGATAACACCTTAAAACGTAATGGCTTCCCCCCAAAAAATTCTGGGAGTTGTAGTTTGTTACGGGTCCTGAGAGTTATTGGAGACCCTAATTTGCTTCACAGAATGACAATTCCCAGAGTTCCCTATGAAAAGGGATTGATTGTTCTGCCAGGTCGTGGTCCAACACTCTAAACACCACACCACACTGGTTGTCTTAAGAGGGAATGATCGTTAAACCAACCCTGGGAATTGTAGTTCTGGGAGGAGAAGTGCAGTCCCCTAACAACTCACCCTTAACAAACTGCAGTTCTCAGGATTCTTTGGGAGAAGACATGTTTCATGGTGCTTTAAATGTATGGTGTAAATGTTGCCCTTAAGAACACCATAGGGGTTATAGTAAATTATCATTTGTTTACCTGACATGTTTTGATTACAATCTTCACTGAGGGCACCATGAAACTCAGCAATGTTTTGATGGGTACAGTTTCAAATGGACCCCCCACATCGTGTAATAGCACATGTAAAAAATATGGGGTGGGGCCGGGTTCTGCAGTGCCCCCAGCAAAGATGGTAACCAAAATGTGTTGCCTGAAGGAACATCTGTTTAATAATGTAAGAAGAGCCTGCTGGATCAGGCCAATGGCCCATCTAGTCCAGCATCCTGTTCTCACAGCAAGCAACCAGATGCTTGTGGGAAACTCACAAGCAGGACTCAAGCACAAGCTCCCAGATCTCCCCACAACATCAGATTGCCACTTGAGGGTGAACTGAAACCAATGTGCTCAATTCGTGCCTGCCCCTTTCCCCACTTGTCCATAGGGGAGTTGAAAAGATGCTTAGTGTCATTGAAAGGAACAGGAATGGGCTTCCTAGATCAGGGGTGGGGAACACCAGCCTTATGGGATGGTGGTGGTACTCCAGGCATCCCCACTGGGCTCACGAGAATCTCCCCAGGATACACACTCTCTCCACCCCTGCGTCACGCCCTCCCCAAGTGCTTTTGCCTTGCCAGAGTATGTCCTTGAACTGTGAAAATGTGTCTTGCTGGCGTGGACAGAGGATGGAGATATTGGTCTGTGTGGAAACCTCTGACTTTTGCATGACTATAGCCTACTGTGGAAAGATGAGAGTTGCATCCATCACACGGCTCATCTTTTGCCTCTGGCCCACCCACTTTTTGCTTCTGCCCATGCCCACCACTGGTGTGCGGCCCCCAAAAGGTTGCCCATGACGGGATGTGGCCCTTGGGGTGAAAAAGATTGCCTGCCTATTTGTATCTTAGCCAGATACTACAGAAGTCGAAGAAAAGGGAAGATGAGAGAAAGGGAAGGAGGGTCTTATTTCAGAGCACAAGGTCAGAAAAGTGTGTCAAACAATGAGGATTCAGAAGCAGCTGTTTTGGGATCTGTCAGGGAACTGACATCGGAGCTAGAGGTGGAGGCAAGGCTCCCAAGCGATGCTGGAGAAGGGCCCAGCAGGGAGAGAGGCAGCTCATCAGTTGGGGAAGGAAATCAGCGTAACACCAGGGAGATGGGGGAATCGGCGAGGGGGCTCCAGGACTCCTCGCCGGAGACCAGCGGGGAGAGTACGGGTCCTCCGCTACCCACACCCTCCCTGCGCAGAAGACTTCCGCGCAGGGAGAGTAGGAGGAGACTTGGCGTCAAACAGCTTTTATGCTGGAAAAGGTTTAAGAAACGCCCACTGACGGATTCTGCTAGCGACTGAAACAGCCACGAAGTGAAGGGCTGTCCAGACAGAAAAGGTTTAACAAGGCAACCTAGCCAGGAGTGGCGGCAACTTACGCACGAGCAACCCCTATATTTATTACAGGATCATTACCTCGAGATCACAACTCCTGGCTTAGTGGGCAAGAAGTACCAGGAATTTTCAGACATGAGTCTCTGGGTTAAGGCCATAACTCATCAGCAAAGTATTTTTTTTAAATCTCATAGCAAAGAGGGGGAAAGACCTTGGAGAGGTCCTACCATCAGAGAAGACCAGACGTTAGCCACCTTGGTTACCTCCAGATGTTGGTGGACTACAACACCCATGAACCCCAGCCAGCACAGCTGTAGTCCAAAACCCCTGGAAGGGTGCCAGTGCGGTGAAGGCTGTAATAAACAGTGCCTTGCTTGGATAGACCAAAGGTCTCACCTTGCATTAGGCAGCTTAATGTCGAGAGATCGCTCTCCTATGGAACGGCAACCAGAGAATCCCCCGAGTCTTTCTGCTCAGAAACCACATTTGACTTGCTCAAGAAAGTCCCAGGCTTGGGCGGGGCACGGCCTGGTCCATCTCTCAGAAGTGCTTGGGGATTTATTTAGTCAGCCAGGTACAAATTTAGCCACACCAACAAGGCAAATTAAAATCCTGAGAATGAGGGAGCTGTTCTTGGGTTACAGGTTAGTTTGGCCAAGGATTTGGGGTTAGTTCTCATGAGAAGCACATGCTGAACCCAAAGGGTTTGAAGCGTGTGGATTTAACGTCACACAGATTGCACCCTCTTCCTTCCGTTTTTAAAAAATGCTGCCTTGTTGGGACTAAATCATTACTGGTGCTCTGTTCTTGCTTTTTACAGGGTGATTATTTGACATGTCTGTGTTCTTAGCTTCATATGACACTTCTGAAGTAAGGATTGTATAAGGATTATTCTCCGCCGCCTCCCCTGAAGAATGGAGCCATCAAACCTCAAACAATGAGATTAATAGATTAATAAATCTTCTGTTGCACCTTTTATAGATGCTAGCACTGTCCAGCTATTGGCACTGGACCAGTTTAAATCTAGTAGCTAGTCCGCTGTTGGTGCAGGGAGCAAACAAAGCTTCAGCTTTTCCCTAGAATAGTTCATCACACTATTGGATATTGTCTTGATCCTTTGTGCCTCACTAGTGCTAGCTGCTTTGAAATCCTGTTAATGAGATCCTTTCCCCAACCTGGTGCCCTCCAGGTGTTGTTAAGACTACATCTCCTGCCGGCACAGCCATTTTCGACTACAGTTTCCCTGAGTCCCAGCCAGCATGGTTAATGGCCAGGGCTGCTAGGAGCTAGAGTCCAAGACATTTGCAGAGCACCGGCTTGAGGAAGGCTGCTCTAGTGGAAGAGGGTGGGAAACAGATAAATAGAAATGTTTAAAATAAAATAAACATCCTCATCCTACTCCTATGCTGAGGGGATGGGAGAGAGGTTTGTATTTCAGAGGTTTATACTAAGGCCTGTCCTTCAGAAGTATTTTTCAAGAGAGCATTTGCAAACAAATTCGCAGCGCTGCCTAGCAAGGCCTCGGCGTAACTAAGCATCCCTCGCTGTCCAGTACCTTAGCAACGAGGTACACATTGCCTTCTGGGTGTCAGAGGGACTTTCTCCTAACCATCTCCTTTGCTTTAGGGGTGCAAATTAGCTGAGGCTCTGTGAAAGCCAAACCATGCAAGATTCCCCCCTCCATAATATTCTTTTTCCCTCCCTCATGGGTTAGGGCAGCCAACTTTTGCTTAACAAACAAAAAATCCTGGCATCTGGGCATGTTCTGAGTGCAATTCCTTCATGAAGGGAACTGGCTATTTTATATATAGCCACAACTATATATGTATATATAACTATATATGTAGCCACAACTACATTGGCTTATGGTCCTGGTACCTCTGAGCATGTGCAGAGTGCCTCACCATTAAGACAGCAAGCATGTGCAGAACCATTTCCCTGGAAGGGTGCCATCTCTTTTTTGCTGCTTCTGCGAGATTGCTTTCTTTTGTTAACTATATGAAGAAGGGAAATAATCTCAAAATTCTCCTAGCCCCCATCTTCCTCAGTTTGCTTCCTTGTGTTCTAAAACCGAGTAAGAAATCCAGGCCAGGCCATCAGCATTCAGGGCAAGCGGCTTGACCAGCGCTTAGGCCACTTCAACAGGACAGTTATTCGTATTATTAAGAAATATTGGGCAGGTTGGCAGCCCTATCCATGGGGCGGGTGGGAGGGGGAGGCGTTGGCAGGCCACCAGCTGTTACTCACTGTGAGCCTGTAAGTCTGCATCATTTTATCAAACTCCTCATCAATCTTTTTATATTTCTCTTCCGTCTGAGGCGTCAACGTAAACACGTCGTCCCCGTCAGGGCTCTCACACTCTCTATGCTTCTTGTTCAGCGCCTGTTACGTGGCCGGGTGGGGGAGGGTGGGGGGAGGGTGGGGGGAGAAGGTAGTTTGGGTTGGGAGGGGAGGGATAAATCCAACAAACGAACGAACAAAAAAAGAAAAAAAAAGAGACAATGAAGAATTTTTTGCCTGGGGTGGCGAGCTACTTACACCGTAGCGCTTGAACAGGATGTCAAGATCCTCGCTGGCTTTACGGTATTTGTCTTCCATCAGAGGGCTCTGGTCAATGGAGTCTTCCCCGTCGGGTTCTGGACTGTCGCAACCATTAAAACCTTTCTTTCTTAATGTCTGAAAGCACAACCAGGAGAAGTTTAGGTCCAGAGATAAAACCAGAGGTGGAGAGTGATGAAGAGATAGTGGTCTGGTTCACACAGACCACTAAACCATGGTTTGTTTAATAAGCAACCTCAAGCTGTCGAACGGGTGATCAAATAAACCATGGCTAATTTCTCCAACAATCAGTTTTTTTCTTGCAAAATAAACCACAGTAAAGGAAGGCTGCTGAGTTCTCATGTAACACCAAGCCACAATTCAAATAAAACAAAGGTTTGTAAGGCCAAAATGAGCAATGGCTTCAGATTGTAGTTTGCGAGCAGTGAATAAACCCTAGTTAAGCTGATAGACAGGATTCAGATGACCAAACAAACCCTAGTTTAAGAAACCAAGGCTTAGCATTATGTGTGAATCAGGCTAGAATGGTTGCTACGATGACAAGTCCCACTGTTATGACTGGCCAAGTATGTTGATGGCAGGAAGGAGTGGAAGCCACCATGTAACTGGATCAGTTCAGATGCCACCTTGACCATGGCTTGTAGTAACTACAGGTTTTAGAACTCCGGATCACAGGCTGAACTTCCAAACAAACAACAGGCAAAACAGGTACCATGGCTTGTCTGTTTTCATTTTCCATCTACTTGACACTCCCATATTTAGGTGCACCAACCCTGGAGGGAAAGTCTGACAACAGTAACTCTGGTTTGTCAGTTCACAAGTGGTGCCAAACTGGGTTCATATAAAACCACTATTTGCAAATTCCCTTCACAACGCCATATTTTATTCCAGTTTGCTGAGCCATGGTTTGTAAGCATCCTACATCAGGGTTTGGAGTGAGGAGAGCCAAACTGAGCTACTTCAGATGTTTTGCAACCCCAAACTACAGTGATTCTAGCTCTGAGGTCACCACTGGCTTCTGAAGCAGCTAATAGCAGAGCTAGTTTGAACCAGGGACCATAAATCTCCAGAGGTGGAATTAACTGGAGACTTAAGACGCTGATACTGGGGATTTGCAGTGATCTTAGATTTCCAGAATTACTCAAGCACTAATGAACTGTGAGAGAGGATTGCACTTTTCTCTCTCAAGGGTCACCTACCACTATGAAGAAGAGCAATTATACATTTCATATGCATGCTGGATCTGCATCATTAAGACCGGGCTCGGAGAGTTGGGGCAGAAAACCTCCATCAAATACCGTGTCTAAGAAGTTTTGGTTCCACGCGTGGCAGCCAATTTGAAGATTGCTTTCCTCAGCCACACTTAATCATTGTATTTTCAAAATACCAGAAGCAATTAGCCCATATTATGGGATCATCACTTGCCAATTTCTTTTAAAAAGTCAACGCTGCAATGTTTCCTGGAAGTCTTGGGCTCTTTCCATGCCAATAAGAAACTGAAAGGGGCATGAGTAAAAGAGAAAATATAAAGTTCTTCCCCGCCCCTGACTTTCCTAACTACGGTAACCATTTTAGCTTAAAACCCAAGTGAGCAGTCTCTGTGACCAGGCCAGCCACTTGTACGTCACCAAAGAAAAAGAAATGCATGAAAAATGCATATGCTAATATAGCTGTATAGCTGAAGATTTGGAAATAATGGGTTATATCCAACATTAGTCATCCTCAGAGTGGACCCACTGAAATTAATGAACGTTATTAATCAATCCCTATCCCTATTTCCTCTTTCTCTCAGCAGTTTCAGAAATGGGGCTAGGAATCATTTTTAGAAATGGGAACCCTGACTGCTTTTGTCTCAGCAGGAAATCTCAAGGCCCAGTGAAATGAATGGGCATGATGGCGCTTCTCCATGCGCAGAACCCATTGATTTGAAAGGAGGTGGAGCCCTCATAGAGCTCCAGTCCTCAGAGTGGTTCAAAATTCAGTTCCTCTTCCCAGGGAACTCTTGGGACTTGTAGCTCTGTGAAGGGAATCGGGGGCTCCTAACAACTCTCAGTACCTTATACAAACCACAGCTCCCTTTGGGGGAAGCCATGACTGTTTAAAGTTGCACAATACTGCTTTAAATGTATACCGCAGAATGATCCTAATACTTTGAGAAGAGACGTGGAAAGCAATGGATTTATACAAGTTTATAAAATGATGCATGGATAAAGAACAGATAAGAGAAGGGACTTCTTCACACGGCACAGCGCATGGTTAAGACAGTGGACCTCACTCTTGGAGACACTGATGGCCACCAACTTGGATGGTTTTTTATAGAGGGTTAAAAAACTTCACGGAATATAAGGCTACCAGTAACTACTAGCCACCGCTCTCCCTCCACGGTCGGAGGCAGCAAGGCTTCTGAATATCAGCTGCTGGAAGCCACCGGTGTGTGTGTGTGTGTGTGTGTGTGTGTGTGTGTGTGTGGAGAGGACTCTTGTGTTCATATTCTGCTTGCAGGTTTTCCCATGGGCATTTGGTTAGCTACAGTGAGAACAGGAATTAGACTAGATGGGCCACTGGCCTGATCCACCAGGCTCTTCTTATAGAGTGGTACCTCAGGTTAAGAACTTAAGTCGTTCCGGAGGTCCATTCTTAACCTGAAAATGTTCTTAACCTGAGACACCACTTTAGCTAATGGGGCCTCCCGTTGCCGCCACGCCGCCACTGTGCGATTTCTGTTCTCATCCTGGAGCAAAGTTCTTAACCTGAGGTACTATTTCTGGGTTACAGAGCCTGAAGCGTCTGCAACCTGAGGTACCACTGTATTTTTATGTTCAGGTTCAAGGAGCCAGAGACTTGTGTTGTTTCCAGCAACTGGGAGTCTGAAAAGGAAGACTTACCAAGGACCACACTCCAACCAGAGCTGCTACCCGCAAGGATTGCTTGCTCTTGAGCAGAGCTGTGACTCCAGGTTCATACCCACATATGAAAGTCTTTGCCCTTCAGTCTGACCTGGTCCTGCTTGCAGGTTTCCCGCAGTTATCTGGTCAGCCACTGTGAGAACAGAAGGCTGGGTTGGATGGATCCATTGGCCTGATCCAGCAGGCTCTTCTTATGAATCTTCAGCATAGAAATTCAGATTGTAGGCTCCTCATCAGAATCATCTCTCCCTCTCTCCACACACCTCCATTTTTTAAATTGCTCCTGTTACTTTGCAAACCACCACAGAAGACCGTATGAGAGCCAGTTAACAACCGTCCAACTTCCGCAGCTGTCTGTCTTTCTCTGGGCACAAGGGACAGCCAGTGTTTGGTAGCTCAGCCTGGGGCAGCAGATAAGGGCTCAGCCATGTGCAATGCAGACTGCAGATTCCTTAGGCCCTGCTAATGGGGCCTGCCACCGGCCGGGTCTCTGAGCAGCTGGCTTGGAGTCGGAAGGAGGGAGCTCCGGCCGGGCCGATCCAGCCCGTTCCAGCTGGCAGTCACTACAAGCAACATGCTCTGCTACAGAAAGACGCAAAGTACTTTTATGTCAGTAACCTGAGCAGAGTGTCAACACAAGCAAAAACAAAGCAAAAGAAGGGGCAGCCTGCCATTTCCTAGATCTCACCACATGGGAATTTGGGGGGCTCAGGGGCTTTTGTTAAGGCAGCAACAGATATAAGACCATATGGACACCAGAAGAATCCTGCTGGGTCAGGTCAATGGCCCATCTAGTCCAGCATCCTGTTCCCACAGAGGCCAAACTTGTAAGTAGGCCCAAGTAGAAGAACTCTCTCCTCTCTTGTGCATCCAGCAACTAGTATTCAGAAGTATTACTGCCTCTGATTGTAGAAGCAGATCATAGACATTGTGGCTAGTAGCCTTAGCCTCCAAAACTTTGTCCATTCCTCTTTTAAAGTCATCCAAGTTGGTGGCCATCACTGCCTCCTGTGCCAGGGAGTTCCACAGTTTAACAACGTGTTGTGTGAAGAAGTACTTTCTTTTCTCTGTTCAGAATTTCCCAACATTCAGCTTCATTGGATGTCCGTAAGTTTTCTCCATGCCAGGCATCATCTTATAAGCGCCAACCATGTCGCCTCTACCTCACCTTTTCTCTAAACTAAAAAGTCCCAAACGCTACAACCTTTTCTCATAAGGGAGTCGCTCCATCCCTCTGATCATTCTGGTTTCCCTCTTCTGAACCTTTTCCATCTCTACACAGCTTGTGCAGTGCATGGGGAAGGCCCAAATGCAAATCCCTGCCCAGCCGTGAGCTAGCAAATCTCTACCTTTCAGTCAATCCTCCCTTACAGAGAGGAAGTGAAATGAGGATCACTCTAAATCAGGATTCCCCAAACTTGGGTCTCCAGCCGTTTGGGACTCCCATCATTCCCAACTAGCAGAATCAGCAATCAATGATGATGGGAATTGTAGTCCAAAAACAGACAAAGTTTGGGAAACCCTGCTCTAAACCATGGTTGGTGAACTTCAGGTCTATGGGCCAAATGTGGCGTATCCCAGGCATCTCTATGTGGCCCTTGCGAGTCTCCCCAAGGTCAAGTCTCTTCCCAGGCCACACCCCTAACCTGATGCTGTCCGACCCCTTCCTTAAGTGCTTTTTGCCAGGCTGGAATGTGTCCTTGCACTGTGAAGTTGCCTCTGGACGTGCCTGGATGGAGAGAGGGGTATGCAGGATTCTCTGAGTTGTGTGTGGCTTAAGCGTTGCCTACTTTCCAAAGGCAAAATTTGTGGCTCCATCCACTTTTGGCCACGCCAAGCACTCCGATGAAGCCTCTAGGAGGTTGCTCATGAGGAAACGTAGCCCTCAGGCTGGAAACAGCTCCTAGACAAACAGGGGCTGCAGAATGTTCTAGTGCTTGGATGGTGAGGCTCTTTGAGCACTCGCAACTGCTCTGGCACCCCTGGGGTCCTTGGTATCCCATGACTGGATTCACACCACACCACAGGGGTGGGGGGTTGACTTGTTTCACCCTATGTCACCACCAGGCACCTTCAGTATGTGGCTAAAACAGCCGTCCGGGGCACCCAGAGAGGAGAGCACAGCCAGGCCAGGCCACTGAGGAGCCCCTTCTGAGCCACTGGGTCCTTAGGCCAGGGCCTGACCTGGGCTACTGCTGGCACCAGGCTTTTGCTGAAGTCAAATCCCCTCAGCCATGAATCCACTGGGTGACCTTAAACAAACCATCTCAAATCTTGCGGAGAAGTAGGATATAAATGGATTAAATAAATCTCTCAGCCACGATCCTCATCTGTGATAAGGGGATGATGACAGAGGGATGTGGGGTGGGGAAAGACTGCGGTGGAGGGTTGGTGCTTTCTTGCCCTGTGAGTGGGCTTCCTGGAAGAGGTATCTGCTAGCCACTTTGGCAAAGGGTTTGCTGGCCTAGATGGTCTGACCCAGCAGCAGAATCTTGGATCTTTGCAGGAAAAGGCTTATATAAGCTGACAGAATTATTCGTGATAGCTAACTTCCACGTCCCGTTGCAGTCTACCACTGAATTCCAGGTGCTGGGGAACAAGCCACAAGGGATGGCCATAACACCCTGCTTTTGGGAGAATCCCAGAATCCTCTGTCTGACTCTCTGAGAGACAGGGTGCTGGACTAGACTGGAACTTTGATCTGCTCTAACAGAGCTCTTTTTATGTTTCTATTCTGGCTTCCCTTACCGGGTTGTAGAAAGGGTTCCTGCAGGCACTTTGGGCAAGTCATCATTGGATGGTCTTGCCTTAAGTGTCCAGATAGTGGATTCAGAGGTGGCACAAGGGTAGAAGAGTCAAGTGGGTATAGCCAAGGAGGCCCCCAGCATTTCAAGATCTGTGAAAGATCTCTGAGGTGGAGGGAGGAGATGCAATCTTAGAAAAGGTCAAGAAACACTGGTGTAATCAAATTAGAAGCTGAAGCCAGCAAAGGACTCATTAAGTCTTGAGATAATCAGTCATGTAAAGAAGAAACCCAAGAAACAATCACCTAAACCAGCTTTCCCCCACCTGGTGCCCTCCAGATGTTTCGAAGTACAATTTGGGCTTTTAGAATGGTGACACTGACCCTTTCCAATTCCTCTGTTATCTTTTCAGTGCCTGATGAAGACCTTTGAAAAGCCTTTTCAGGGGGGATCTTCATCCAAGGCTGCAGCTGTTTTGGAACTATTCTTAACTGGTTTTAGAAGTTTGTATTATTTTTATATCGCCTCCCTGGCCTCCTTTGGGAGGAAAGGTGGGTATACATTGATAATAATAATAATACTTTGTTTTTACACTTTTATTGTTTTATACTTGTGATTGTTATATTTGTCTAATTATTGTAAGAAACACAATATACAAGCAAATCAACTCCCATCAGCCCAGAAAGCATAACCATTTTGGATTCAAACTCCACGGCAACACTGGCTGGGCAGTTGTAGTCCAAAACATCTGAACTAGGCTGGGGAGGGCTACTGTAAACAATTACAGTGGCTCTAGAATCTCCTAAGCGCACACCCACCTGTATTTCAACAGCCAATGCTCTCATTTTACCAAAAGTTGAAATAGGACAATCATCTCCCATGTTCCGGACAGGGCATTTGTTTTACAGTGATACCTCTGTTTACGTACTTAAATTGTTCGAGAGGTCTGTTCTTAACCTGAAACTGTTCTTAACCTGAAGCACCACTTTAGCTAATGGGGCCACCTGCTGCCACTGCACCGCCGCTGCGCGATTTCTGTTCTCATCCTGAAGCAAAGTTCTTAACTTGAGGTACTATTTCTGAGTTAGCAGAGTCTGTAACCTGAAGCGTATGTAACCTGAAGCGTATGTAACCTGAGGTACCACTGTATTTTTAAATCGGTCTTCCATTTGCTTAGCACTTTGTGCGGAGAGCACAAGCCCTAATTGTCAGTGGACTTCTCTCTCCTCCTCCTTCCACTGGCCCTACATCTCAGAACGGAAAAATAATAGGCAAGAGCAAAGCCCCGAGAATTAGCTATGTGTAACATCACGGCAGCTGCAACCTCTCGCGTGTGAGGCAGATGAGAGCCTCCTTTGGCTGACAAACAGCGGTGGAGGTTGCAATAGGGAACCGTATAAGAAGCGAAGGGCAAAACGATCACAGGAGACAAAGTAGGTCAGATATTTTTGGGAAGAGAACCACAGAACCAGAGGCCTGCTCATGGCAGGCCTAGCCCTGACCCAGCACGGGAGATGGACTCCTCAGAGGATGAACCCAACATGGAGAGACACACAACCAAGGACCTTGGGGAGCAGGCAAGGTCCCCCAGAACCAGCATTGAGTATCCTCCTGAGGGAGTGTGGTTAGAGTGTGGTCTGGGAGGCCACACCATGCAAGGCCTTCTTTTTTAGACTCCCAGTTATTGGGAACAACACAAGTCTTTGGCTCCTTGAACCTGAACACAGAAACATGAGAAGAACCTGTTGGATCTAGCCAATGTCCAAGCTAGTCCAGCATCCTGTTCCCTGGCCACCCAGATACCTGGGGGGAAACCTGCAAGCAGGACCTGAGCACAACAGCACTCTCCCTTCCTGTGGCTTCCAGCAACTGGTATTCAGAAGCATTACCACTTCTGAACCTGGAGGCAGAGCATAGCCATCATGGCTAATAGACCCTGGTAGCTTAATCCTCCATGAATTTGTCTAATCTATCCAAGTTGGTGGCCATCACTACCTCCGGTGGGAGCAAGTTCGATAGCTGAGCTATGTGCTGTGTGAAGAAGCGCTTTCTTTTATCTGTCCTGAATTTTCTGACATTCAGCTTCAGTGGATGAAGATAAGAGCAAATGTGTTTCATTTGCATGAAAGGTGCAAGGTGTGGGATTCAGCTCTGCAGACTCCAGTGAGACTCACTGTGTCAGGCTCACAAAGGGTGCAAGAATTGGCATGAAAAATCAGAGCCCAGAAGCTTGTCCTCAGTTAACATCTTTGGAGGCAGCCTCACATGGTAAACCACAGAGGGTTCCTCCCAGTGCCAAGGACTCAAAGCATTTGGAGAGTTCATACCGTGAGGAGGACAGGGAGACACCATTCCGGGTGCTGGTGATGCTTTTGGGCCAAGACAAATGTGTTCAGTATGGTACACTAAGAGAAGTGAATACCACCGGGCAAAGGAATACATCAAAGGTCGGGAATCTCAGATCTGAGGGCTGAATGTGGTCCTCTACCAGGCCATGTTCCTGCGTCAACCCTGCTCCACTCCTTCCTTAGGTGCACAGATGGAGGGAATAGTACTTCCAAGGAGCAGTTGCTGGAAGCCACAGGAGGGGACAGTGCTCTTGCGCTTGGATCCTGATCCAGTGTTTCCCACAGGCACCTGGCTGGCCACTGTGAGAACAGGATGTTGGACTAGATGGGACACTGGCCTGATCCAGCAGGGCTTGTCTGACATTCTTATGCTCTGCATGGCTTGTATGTGCACATAAGCTGTGATAATGTCTCTAAGCTGCTTGAATGAAGGAAAGAGGTAGGTGTATGCGTGTGCAAAAACCTCCTAACTTTTCCATGGCTGGAATGCAGCCTATTGTACCAAGGGAAGAGTCACGTCCAAAATCTCAGAAGCCCACTACACAGCACCTTCGAGCAGGGCTTTTGGCGCAGCTGCCCTTGTCCTGTGAAAAAGCATTCCTGTTGAGATATGGCAGATGCACACTATCTGTACTTACCCAGAAGCAAATGAAAGCATTTTTGTTTCAACAACCTTTTCCAGCTGGGTGGAAAGGCATTCACTTTGAACTGTTTTAAAACCTGTTTTCAAGCTGCTTTTTTTTGCTGCTTTAAAAACTTTTAAAACCATTTTTAATTTCTCTATAAATCGCCTTGAAGCAGACATGTAAAAGGCAATTCATAAATTAATCAATACTCCATTGCTCCACCCACTTTCACCTCTGGTCCCACCCACCAGTGCCATGTGGTTCCCGGAAGACTGCCCATACTGCTTTTCACAGGCTGAAAGGGGTTCCCAGCTCCTGGCCTACAAAGCTGTGGTCCATCCAGCCTGAAAATGTATGCGTCTCAGATCTTGCCCAGCCCAGCCCAGCCAACCAAGATCTTTTGAACTGAAGGCACTGTGGGTTAAACACGGAATCTTACCCATGCAAAGCAGACCCTGAGACACAACGGCTGGGCTCTGGGACATTCAAGTATCATTTGCTTCCTCCCATCTATTCTATCCTAGGTGGCTAGCAGTGGAATTGAACAGCAGACTCTGTGGTCTAAAGAGGCCCACCCTGCCGAGGCAGCTGGCATCCACCCTGACTCCAGCTGACTACAGGGGATGGGGCAACACTCCCTGCTGACAAAGGCATAGGCAGTACGGTGCAGTGGTTCGACATCAGGGCTGAGGAAACCCAGGTTGTCAAAACCCCTGGACAATTGCCAGAGAAGGAGGCCTCATGGTTCACAAAGTATGACAAAAGAACTTCAGTTAAAAAACAGCATTTTGAATTGATAGCCATTATTTTTATCTTCATATATTCCATCTGCTGCAAATCAATGTTAATGCAATATATAGATATAGGAATGGACACGCACACACATATATTACAAACAATGTATTTACTGCAAAAATATGCGCAAACCTGGTAAGAAATGTGCTCCTTGCACCCCCAAAAGGCGACCCTCCCTGGAATGTCTACTCCTGCCCCCCACACATACACACTCTCCACCGCTGTCCTATTCCATGCCGTCTCAAGCAGATAAATTGAATGACTAAAGGTTTTGCGTGCCTTAATTTCTGCTCACTTGTAATGTCAATAATTACCCAGCCAAACCGTTCATTTGTCTAAATCTTGCCAAGCATAAAAGGGAGCTGCCCACACACAGTTTTTCATTGAAAGGTGACAAAGCAACTGCTCCAATCTCAGCTCTGTCCCACTCTCTGGAACGTAGCGCAGGCAGGAACGAAACCTTTTGTGCTTGCAAATCCGTTAGAGAAAAAAGAGGGGGAGAAGCAGCAGGAAGGGGGCAGGCAGGCGGCCACCTGGGAGGCTGAGGACTAAGACCCCGCCAGTCTCTGCCGCAGGGTGCCCTCACTTCAGACTCACATTTTACCTCTGGCCTACTGCCGCAATTACCCTGAAAGTGTTTCTGCCCCAGACACAGGAACACAGGAAGCTGCCTTGTACTTAGGTCACATTCACACTGTACTTTTAAAGATCTGTGATACCACTTTAATCAGTCATGGCTTCCCCCAAAGAATCCTGGGAGCTGCAATTTATTAAAGAGCTGTTAGGAGGCCCCTATTCCCCTCACAAAGCTACAATTCTTAGACTTCCCTATGAAGAAAGAGAGATTGTTCCACCACTCTGGAAATTGTAGCTCTATGAGGGCGATAGAGGTCTGCTAACAACTCTCAGCTCCCTTAACTACAGCTCCCATAATTCATTGGGGGAAGCCATGACTGTTTAAACTGGTAGTATACTGCCTAAACTGTATGGTGTTAATGTGGCCTTAGTCAGACCCTTGTGTTTCAAGTACAGTAGTACCTTGGTTTAGGAACTTAATCCATTCCGGAGGTCCGTTCTTAAACCAAAGCGTTCTTAAACCAAGGCATGCTTTCCCATAGCAGGGGTCTCAATTTACAAATGGAACACACTCAATAGGAAGCGAAACATGTTCTTATTCTAAGGCAAAGTTCACAAACCAAAACACCTACTTCCGGGTTTGCAGCAACTAAGCTGTTCTTGAACAAAAAAACCACTGTATAGTTTTGCTACCAGTCCTTCCTGGAGATGCTGGGGATTGAACTGGGATCTTTTGTGTACAAAGCAAGTGCTCGACCTACAACACTTGTCTGAGACGCTACAGCTTTCCCCTTCCTATATCCATAAGAACCAGATACTATCCATAAAACAACATGGTCTGTACAGTATTATTACTATAATAGTTCATTATGCTATGTGATATAGGCAACTCTCAACTGATGCATGACTGCGCATCTGCGCATTGCGCCAAACCCAGGAGTGACTTTTAAAATGGCAAAAAGGCCCTAAGAGCCCAGAAAGTGCAAAAAAGGCACAAAAACAGCGCCTAGCAATCCCAGGAGCCTTTGCAAGTGCAATTCTAAGAGCCCTTGCACCAATGGTTGAGGCCTGTGAAGAGTTTTGAGTTTGAGTAAGGAGGTGGTGGGAGTTTGGCAGAGTTTGGCATCTGGCAAGCGCTGCTGGTTTTCTAAAGGGTTTTAAAATTGTTTCCAGTGGTTTAGAGGGTGTTTCAAATGTACACAATTTCACTGATGCGTGTGATGCCTCGGAACGTAACCCCCCTGTAAATTGAAAGTTTCCTATATTATCTTCATCTTTTGTGCCTTGGTAGTGTCAGCTGCTTTGAGATCTTACTAATGAGATACCTTCCCCAGCCTGGTGCCCTCCAGATGTTGTTAGACTCCAACCCCCACCAGCGGGGTCATTTTGGAACGCAACTCCCACCGGTCCTCCCAAGTGTGGCCATTTTGGATTCCAACTGCCCAAAACACCTGGAAGGCACCAAACCACCTAAAGCTAGAACACTGAGCTGTCAACAGCAAAGACAGACCATCCCAACAGACTGGGGTATTGCACTGGCAAATGCTTTGCTAGCTCAACAAGGCTGAGAACCCACAGGTTGCGGGCAGCATGTCGTACCTCAATGATATCCGCGTTGGTCCGGCTCTCGTGAGGTTCGTTATACTCTGTGTATTTGAGGAGGACCTTGTCCATGTCGGTGCTGGCATACTGGAACAGCTTGTTTGAGTGGTTGAAGATGATCAGGGCAATCTCGCAGTCGCAAAGGACGCTCAGTTCATAGGCCTTCTTCATCAGCCCAAACTTCCGCTTGGTGAATGTCACCTGTGGGAAGCAAGTCAAGAAAGCAAGGAGGGTCAAATCGGGAGATAGCAACAGATAGCTCAACATAACTGAATGGCAGATATCACAAATTATTTGGGGTGGGGGTAGCCATAGAGATACTTCCACAATTTCTCTCAGCCAAATTTCTGGTTTTGGTGTCAAAAACAAACCCATGGCTGACTTTATGTATTGTTACTATTATTTGCATTTATATCCCCCCATCTCCAAGGAGGTCAAGGTGGAGTACATGGCTCTCCACTCCTTATTTAATCCCCACAACCACCCTGTGAGGTAGGTGAGGCTGAGAGGCAGTGACTGGCCCAAGGTCACCCTTGGGTGAGCTTCATGGCTGAGTGGGGATTTGAATCCTTGTCTTCCAGATCCTAGCCCAACACTCTACTACACCACACTGGCACACAACATACACACAACAGTTTATTCCAGTTCCCTGACATTTCCTTATCTGGTAATTTCCAGATTATATTTGAGCTTTCCCACAGTGTAAAAGCCGCTTCCATAATATAGTTCATGTTTAGTGCTCATTTCAGTGTCATGTGATTCTAGAAAATGTCCATTTGTAGTCCCCCTGACCTAGAAAATAGAAGGAGTGAAGTACACCAGCATATATATTTATGTCGTGTTGTTTTCATGGGGGAACAGAATCAGGCATGTGCGGAAGGGGTGGGGGAGCAGTGACATTGTCCACCGATGTTGGTTCTTGTGTCACTTCACACCCAATGGTGTGAATGAAATTTAGCGTGACATGCTGGTATATTATAGGTCAAACAGCCACAGTTCCGTCAAACAGCAGGTACAACTGTGCAAAACTAACATTAGAAAACACTAGCATTATAATCAGGAAGACGTACGCAATATCCCCACTTACACCCTAGGTGATTCGGAAGCGGAACTGATGCATTAGGAATTCTCTGTTTCATACCTATATTTTATACCTTTATTTCTTGAGGTGTGGTGCGTGGGCAGCTTGCTGCAGCTTTGAATTCTTTCAAGTCTTTTCATCTCCACATTAACAACGCACTGAAGAACACTACGAAAAGGGCGGGGGAAGCAATCTTTTTATATGTGGTAGGCCAGCTGCATCAAAATTGTTTCAGTGTGATCTTTATCAACGCACATACTGTACATGTAGTCGTAACAGGATTATTTCAAAGGTGTTTGACTAAAGTACAGTGCTAAAGCTTTATGCAAATGAATCTCCCTTCAATAAAGCCTAGAAATTACATTTGGGAAGCCCCATCAAGGCTCCCTTGTTTTGTTTCATTTTACTGCTGCTGGAACAATGAAAAGGACTGTCCCACGTGACTTTGTCCCAGGCAGGGAGTCCAAAGGAGACGACCCAGATATCCCACTGACCAATGATCCTGAATCCAATGCTGAGGGTGGTACCATGGGATATGGGACCTGGAAGGCAAGGTGATTGTGGACGAGCGCCAGCAGGAAGTGATCAGCAGGGGGAGGTGGAATGGCCTGCCTGTCTTCCAGTCCTTGAGAGCACCAAAAATTTCGGGTCCAGGCTAAAGAGCCATGACACTGTATGCCAGTATGGATAGAGTCATGGGTAGATTGCTGGACTAGTACTAGGAGTCCAGCACTCAAATCCCCACTCAGTCATGAAGCTCACTGGGTGGCTTTGGGCCAGTCACTGCCTCTCAACCTAGCCTACCTGAGGGGTTGTTCTGAGGATAAAATGGTGAGGGGGCTAAGTTTGTACGCCGCCTTGAGCTCTATGGAGAAAAGGTTAGATATCAATGCAATAATAAATAAAATAAAGACCCAAGCTGTTGGTCTACTCGCAAGCAAGGGGCCATCCACAAGCAACCAATCCCTAATACTCCTTCATTATCAGCAACTGTGGTAAGGGTCTGGGTTAGGATGCCAGAGTAAATAAGGCCTCCCCCCTGAGGCGTCCAGATGCTGGAAGCAACACAGGTCTCTCTGGCTTCTTGTTCTCTGGCGCCTAGTTCCCAATTCTAATTCCTCCGTCTTGCTAGGCTGTACTTAACCTTAACTCCCTGCTTGGACCTAGACTGATTTTCAACTTTAGATGTTGGTTTGTTCAGACTTTGCTGTACTTGCAAGCCTGCCCTCATTGGGGAGTTCTTTAAAGAACACTTACATTTCCTGTAACTGGGACACGACTTATTTAATTTCAAAAAATCTATATACTGCCTGATTATAGGGGGGACGGGACACTCAATGTGGTTTACGAAAAGAATAAACTAGTAAAATTATTTTTAAAATAGCTATTCTGAAAAATAATTAAAACCAGATTTAAACAGCTGTCAACATTCCACATATTTGGGTGGGCTACATGTTTTTAGCAGGTGCCAAAAAGAGTACAGTGGAGACACCTGTCTGGTATCAATAGGCAGGGAGTTCCAAAGGACACTAGCCCCTGAGGGTGTCCCCTACGTTGCCACACTGCCTTTCTCTGAGGGGCCATAATGCTTTGGAGCAGCTGCCCTGATAGTCAGAAGGACATATTAAGATTTACCCACCACTGAGCTTTTCAAGCCTGGGAAATCTATGCCAGTTGAATCCCTGCCTGGTATGCAGCTGTTGAAAACAGAATACAAAAAAAGAGGTGGCAACTTTAGTCTCTAGAAAAGCCTCCCCCAAACTGCTGCCCTTAAGACATTTTGGATCAGCACTCACATTAGCCCCAGCCAGCAGAATCATGCTATCAACATCTGTACCATCATACAGCTGTCTGTCTGGGAGTGGTAGTGCAAGGCATCTGAAGCTCACCAGGTTGGGGAAAGCCAATCCAGAGGCAACACACAAACATATTAATCAGCAGGAGCATTACTCATACACAGCCATGAACACTGGGGGCTTGCTCCTGTGCCAAAATCTTTGTGTGTGTGTGTTTTTAAGGTAATGCAATGTTAAGGCCTGAAGGGACGCGGGTGGCGCTGTGGGTTAAACCACAGAGCCTAGGACTTGCCGATCAGAAGGTCGGCGGTTCAAATCCCCGTGATGGGGTGAGCTCCCGTTGCTCGGTCCCTGCTCCTGCCAACCTAGCAGTCGAAAGCACATCAAAGTGCAAGTAGATAAATAGGTACCGCTCTGGCGGGAAGGTAAACGGTGTTTCCATGCGCTGCTCTGGTTCACCAGAAGTGGCTTAGTCATGCTGGCCACATGACCCAGAAGCTGTACGCCGGCTCCCTTGGCCAATAAAGCGAGATGAGCGCCGCAACCCCAGAGTCGGCCACAACTGGACCTAATGGTCAAGGGTCCCTTTACCTTTACCTTTAATGTTAAGGCCTACACAGACACCTTGAGGGTAAAAATCTGGGTTGCAAATGCCCCCCCCAACCATCTTCAAACCCCGCTCAAGTATCAACCAATCAAAGTTTATCGTTCTAGCCAAAAGCCTTGCACGACAAACCAGCAACAATACCAATAAAAAATACATCCATAATATGAGCCAACTTCCATGATGTAAGAGGTTACCAGAGACACCAACAAACTCGTATCTAGCTCGATTTCAAATTAAACCTCCAAATCACCACAAAAATTTATAGTGATTTTATCTAACTCATTTTTCCTGATTGATTGATTGATTTTTGCAGCCAGTGCATAGAGGGCCACTCTGTGTTACAAAACTATTATTGTCACTCAAAAGAAACCAAACCGTCACCTGGAAACGCAGCTCAATAAAGGCGTTTCTTAAGGAAGCTGGTGAGAGTTAGGTCAGATAACTAGCTCTAAAATACTCTGTTCTCAAGAGTGGATTCAAAGGGGGAAATCTGGTGTTTTTAATTAGTTGCAGGTCCTTTCTGGATTCTATACAGAAGAGCCAATCCCTTAGTTGACACTTACTCAAGGTCAAAGCAGAACTCATTTCTGGAAAATAATAATAGGCTAAAACATCTTGACAAGCTGCTTTCCAGAGTTGGTTTTCATCCAATTCCATATAGCACAGAGCAGGAAAATGCTCAATAGGCATCATAGCAATTTTTAAAATACTGTATACTTTAACTGAGCACAGCCCACTCTTGTCTCAGTTGTTGGCCACCTGGATTCTGTACAAAGAAGAGCTACTGAAATTCTTGATGGTTGAGAGGATAGCTTCTGAAAAAAAGTATTCTGCGGTTTCTAAAATTTGAATGGAATTTGAATCAGAGCCCCAGATTTCAACAACATATACTAGCATCTGGAAAAACACTCTGCTACCAAATATTTTTAGGGCAGGTTCAACCTGCTGCCCTCCCCTACTGTAACAGAACTTCATCAATGCCCCTATGGTTTTCTATGCTTTGACTTTGACTGCCTCCGAACTGTATGTTACGACACATTAGTGTGTCGGCTGAGGTGTGTAGGTGTGTCGTGAGAATGCTCCCTGTGCTCCTCCGGCAGCTGGAAAGGGGTTAGTTTAACCACCAGTTTGCTAGTAAAATTGAATTACTGTGTTGCAAAATGATGCATGTTTAAAAGTGTGTCACCAACAGGAAAGTTTGGCAAGCTCTGCATTAAAAAGTACACCCAAGTATCTACCGGTAAATGAGTGAATTTGTTCAATAGCCTGATGATCCAAGCACCATATACACCTAGGACTGGGTCTGCCAAAATTCACAATCTTAGAGTAATATATAGATAGGCTTTCCTGTTTACAGTATGTGCTGAACACTTCTAAGAGATTTTTGAGGCCCAATCAGGAAAGAAAGAGAAGCACTAAATCATCTGCATATATAAAGGTTGAAATATTTCTGTTCCTAATTACTGGAGAAGGGGAGATTGCATTGGCTAAATATGGTGCCAAATCATCAATATTAAAGTTAAAAAGAGTGGGAGCCAGAGCACAGCCTCGCTTCACTCCTCGTGACTCCCACTCAAGCAGCCTTGCTGCATTCACATCCTGAATGTATGGAACGTAAGAAGAGCTTGCTGGATCAGGTTGATGGCCCATCTTATCCAGCCTCCTATTCTTCACAGTGGTCAAACAGATGCCTGTGGAAAACCAGCACCATAACTTGCTGCAGGGATGAATTTGGGATTCATTGGGGCAGCCAGGGCTGCTTGAGTCCTGACACCCAAGAACCCACCCTCAAAAGACAGTATGCATGACATTTCTTCCAGTCCTATGGGCCCAGCTGTCTGCTGCATGTAGATGCTGCTTTTGGAGTGTAAAAGAGAGGCCCTGGTACTTCTGTGAACTCCAAGGCAATGGAGTCTGCAGAGTGGGGGAAGGGGAGGAAGAGAGGAGGGGAGAGATTCTGTAGTGCTGAGGAGGAGACAGATGGAAGCTCAGCTGGGGACTCGGGTGAAATTTATTTTCCCTTTGATTCCGGGCTACGTGGCTTCCAATAGTGAGAACAGCCTGTGTGTTTTCGTAGCATCTGCCTGCTGAGGATCTCAAAGAATTTGGTTGATAGGAGAAGAGTGAAAGATACGGCACGCACGAGCAACCAGAGAAAGCAGGTGGGCCAGTCTCCTGCTCCACATTGCAGAGGCTGAAACCAAACTAGCAGCAAATCAAGTGTTAAAGCCAGGCAGTCCCACTTCAGGATGGGAGGCAGCGGAGATGGTATGCTCACAGACATACAGGCTCCTCTTCTCACAAAGACCAGAGTCTTCCAAACTGGGCAGTACCATGGGGTGGGGGAGGGGAGCTGGGGCTGGGATTCCCTAAGGGGGTGCTAAGAGACTTTAAAGAGCTGGTATCACTGGCTCAAGTTTGTCAGTTGTGTTGAATTAATTAAACTAAATAGTTTTAATTGGATTTTGAATAAACGTGCAATGCATTGTTACTGTTTTGAATTTTATTGCAGTGTTATCTTCCTTAGGGGACCATGCAAGCCGTTATAGTGGATAATGTTTTTAATAGGGTAAGGTAGGGGGCACTGGGGATGAGTTTATGGAACCTAGGAGGAGGAGGCTCCAAAAGGTTTGGGAACAACTAACATGGACTATCAAAGAAGAAGGCTCAGATGAACACTTTCCCCATATATGCTAGCTTGCACCATGCAGAGGAGGTTTTGGTTTGAGGGTTTCTTTGGGGGCGAGGGCGGGAGAAGAGACATGTCTAATCCCCAGCTTGCAGGTCAAAGTGGAACAGTCCATACAGCTTAGTTTCAATAACGTTACCCAATACAATGACTGAAAACACTGGGCACCCCTGTCTCCCAAATTCTTTTAATTGTGCATTCTTGATTATTTGTGCTTGTGGCAGTACTGTGACAGTTATAGACAAACCACCTCTAATGCTCTTTGCACCTGCAGGACCTTTGAGGTGGACACACAGCAGGCTCTTCTTCTATTCACAACAACAACAACAACGTGCGGTAGGTTAGACTGAGAGACAATATAACAGTGGGAATTACTTGCATAAAATGTGCATTTTAGGCAAAATTGCATGCACAAATGTGTATATTAGGTGAAATGCACACAAAAATGCTGAGGCCTTAAAAAAAAAAAAAGGAAGTTGATTTTGGAAATGGAAAAATGAGAGAAACTGAAATTGACAATATTTGTTCATCCAAGCAGCAGAATAAGACTGGTTGTCTTGAGTCACCTGATCCCATGTCCAGAAGCATTCTGGGTGGAACTGGCAAGACGCAGTCCTGGTGAATCCCTTGTAAGACCCACCCAGAGCCTCCCACTCCCCCTGAAAGTGGTTAAACCACAAGTAGGCAAACTAAGGCCTGGGCGCTGGATCCGGCCCAATCACCTTCTAAATCCGGCCTGTGGATGGTCCAGGAATCAGCGTGTTTTTACGTGAGTCTCCTTTTATTTAAAATGCATTTCTGGGTTATTTGTGGGGCATAGGAATATGTTCATTTCCCCCCAAAAAATATAGTCCGCCCCCCCCCCACAAGGTCTGAGGGACAGTGGACTGGCCCCCTGCTGAAATAGTTTGCTGGCCCCTGGGTTAAACAGTCAGATTAAAGCTCCGTCCCAGACGCTTCTCTAACCCTGCCTGTGAATTTTCCCTTATTGCCCATCACATGCAGAGGGGGGCCACCCTTCCCAGTGCTGTCCTTTGGCAATGTCACCTCCCCACCCGTTCTCAACTGGACGGATCCTGCCTCCCGCTTTGGCTCCTGACAAATGGAGACAGGCTTGGCTGCCCTTCTCTCCTGATGAAGCCACTTGATCCATGACAGGATGCCCCTGAACACGCCACTGCAGAGGGCAGGCAAGCTGAAACCTGAGACGCCTCAGAGGATTCACTCCTTACCAGGCTCTCTGCCTGTGTGTCAAGGTGGGGCGAAGGGAGAGGAGAAGCAAAGAGAGAAGCAGAGAAAACAACCTAAAGGTCCAAGGAATTAATTCCCTGCTTGTCCAAAGAATTGGTCTTGTATATGACCGTGGCAGCTCAAATAGTAATTGCAACTCAGTGGGAAACAGCCAAAAAATCTTACACTGAACTTTTCGGTACCACTCACTCTGGAATACAGCTATAATGGAAAAAATGGCAAATAATTTGAGATTTTGACAAGGATGAGAACCTCCAGAAACTTTTAATATGATTTGGCATTCCTTTACTGCGTATAAAGCGGGAGAACCCTTGTCACAAGTCTAGCAAATCTGTACTTGATAATCAAATGCTCTTTCTTTTTGTGAAGACATTTAATCTTGCTTCTTTCTTCTATGACTTAGATTTTTTGTTGTTACTTTAAACCATCTGTAACTGTACTTATTTTTTAAGTGCCTATTTTAAAGTTTTGTTTTTCGTCTTTTAATTTTCATCTATTGCTGCTACTGTTCTCTCTCTTTTATATACATTATACAATGGGGAAAAATATTTTTAAAAAACAAAACCCTGCTACAGAAAAAAAAAGTGGGTTGAAGGGGGGTTATAGCAGAGGTGTATAAAATTAGACATGGAGGAAAAGGTTTCCTCACTCTCGCATAGTACTAGAATCCAGTGTAGTGCTCTAAAGTGGCTGTGTATCCAAATATTCTGGAGCCTGTAGTTAAACCCTGGGATTCACTGCCACAAGAGGCAGCAACAACCACCAACCTGGAGTGCTTCCCAGAGGAAATTAATGGAGGATAAGGCTATTAATGGCTACTAGTCACAATGGCTATGTTCTCCATTATTGCAGGTGGTCTGCTTCTGAACACGAGCAGCTGGGGCCTGCAGCTGAGGACAGCACAGTTGCACCCATGTCCTGCTTAGTGGCTTCCTACTAGGACACCTTGGTTGACCTTTGCAAGAACCAGATGCTGGGCTAGATGGGTCTTTTGTCTGGTCCACCAGCCTGGATCCTCTTATTTTATTTATTACAGGTATACCCAGCGTTTGAAATTCGCCTGGCACATTTTGCACCTGGCTATCGGCTGCTTGCGACCTAGAGAAGACACCCGGGTGCCAAGACAGTGCCTGACGTCTCTGCCACATGGAGGTGCATGCCTGGGGATCCTTGGGTCTTGCCTGTTTTCACATACTAGCAACACATCCTGTTACATTTGATCTGCACAATCAGAATGAATTTCAGGAAGTCAAAAGTCGTATTGAAAAATGTGACTTTCAAGCTGTCTGATGCAAAAATGGCATCCCGTTTTGCTGACGGTAACCCTGGTTTAAGGAGCCATTTGTCGCCTAGCTTAAATATCTGAGTTTCTAACACTGGATACCCCATTTTCTCCAAGGAGCTCAAGGTGGTGTACATTGTTTTTCAGAGATGCTATTAAAGCTGGAGCATGAAGCAGCTTTGCAAAAGAGGCCAAGCCCTTAGGAGGTTCACCACAATCCCACAGGCAAAAATAACAGGCTGGTTTTTGTTTTTGCTTGTTTTTGCAAGGGAGGGGGCAAGCTAGGAAAGCAGGGCCCAGGTCTGCGAATGCCTCTCTTTCTGCATTCTGCCAGAAGCAGCCCAGGCCCCACCTCCCTCCCTCCCTCTCTCTCCTAACAAGATTGGGCTCTAATCGCCTCACCCCTTCAGAGCGCAAAGATGGCACACGACACAGCTGTTCCCCGCCACGTGAGGTGGCTAAGCCGCCCCATACTTTGTCTTCTGGGCTCGCTGCCTCAGAGCCAGCAGCAGTCACGTTGCCAGGGTCTCTGGCCTGCTCCGCGTCAAGCGAATCACTTCATTTCAGAATCAAGGCAGGGGTCAGCGGCCAGCTCTGACCTCCTCCTCCTCTTTCGCCAGCCTGTGCCGACAGACAGGCAAGGCTGCTTAGGCAGGCGGCGTTATGAAGGAGGTTTCGGCTGCAGACTGTAGGTTGCCCGTTAAGCCGAGCGGCCTCTTGCTATTTGCCCATCTGGCTCCCTGGCAAGAGAGGGGGATAAAGTGGTTCCACTGTAGTTGCCAAGTGGTTCCACAGAGAACCAGGGGGTGGAGGTGAGGTGCTTCTCAGTCCAAAGGGCACCAGAGTGGCACTCACTACTTCACCAGCCCTGCTTATCTCTCTCTTGCTTATCTCATCCGACATCAGAAAAGCCTGACTCATGAAGCCTGTCAGTAGCTACCAGCCACAAGGGCTATGCTCTGCCTCCACAGCAGGAGGCAGCAATACTTCTGAATACCAGTTGCTGGGAAACACATGGGATAGGATAGGGCTGTTGTGCTGGGGTCCTGCTTGGGGTCTCCCGCGGGCATCATCTAGGTGGCCACCATGAGAACAGGGTGCTGGACTAGATAGGTCATTGGCCTGACCCAGCTGGCTCTTCTTGTGCTCTTATATAACCTAATGCCCCTCCAGATGTTTTGGACAACAACTCCCTTTAAGCTGCGGGCAATGGGAGTTGTAGCCCAAAACATCTGGAAGGCTTTGCTGCAGACTAGTTAATGCTGCACATCAAATCTCTCTTGCCTGCCTTTTCCTGTCTCTCCCTTCTGGACCTTTCCTGTCCATCTATAAGCTGCCCCCTCCAGAGACGCCAAACTGCTGGAATGTTACCAGCCCATCTTTCCTAGCAGTTACTCGCAAAAAAGAATCGAAAATAAAAATTAACTGTTTGGGCAATCCTCTCTTTAGGAGTTTGGTTAGTGCAAAACATTGAACCCTTAATAAGAGCAGCCTCTGGAGAAGAGTTGTATCTCAGTACAGTGGTACCTCAGGTTACATATGCTTCAGGTTACAAACGCTTCAGGTTACAGACTTCGCTAACCCAGAAATATTACCTCGGGTTAAGAACTTTGCTTCAGGATGAGAACAGAAATCGTGCTCCGGCGGCGCAGCAGCAGCAGGAGGCCCCATTAGCTAAAGTGGTGCTTCAGGTTAAGAACAGTTTCAGGTTAAGAACGGACCTCTGGAACGAATTAAGTTCTTAACCTGAGGTACTACTGTATTAGAGCATGTGCTTTGCATGCACCAGGTCCCAGGTTCAATCCTTGGTCTGTCCAAGTGAGGCTGGGAAAGAGTCTCTGTCTGAAACCCTGGAGAGACACTGCCAGTCAGTGTAAACAATACTGAGCTAAATGGGCCAATGGCCTGTCTCTGTACAAGGCCCAGAGTTATGTTGGGTCAGGTCCATCTTTTCTAGCAACCCACTCCACACAGGTACTTCCAGGAGGACAGGGAAGTGATAATCCCTTGTGTTTGTCCCTGACATCTTGAGGTACACTGGTCCTAAATCTGGGTGTTCCACTTAAAGGTAGCAAACTGCCATGGAGAGAGACCTCCCTGGCCTAAAATCTGTTCAGTCCTTGGTGAGGTTGTATCTAGTCCAGGCAGCACCTCTGAATGCCGTTTCTCTGCTTACCTCCATGCCTGGTTTTCAGGATATACTTCTTCAGTACAGTGGTACCTCAGGTTACATACACTTCAGGTTACAGACTCTGCTAACCCAGAAATAATGCTTCAGGTTAAGTACTTTGCTTCAGGAAGAGAACAGAAATCGTGCTCTGGCGGTACGGCAGCAGCAGGAGGCCCCATGAGCTAAAGTGGTGCTTCAGGTTAAGTACAATTTCAGATTAAGTACAGACCTCCGGAACGAATTAAGTACTTAGCCTGAGGTACCAATGTACATGGAAGTACTATTCATTTATCTTGGCTAACAGTTGCTGCTCTTTCAGACATGGGCAGGACTTGAGGAAGACATTTGGTGCCCCCATCCAAATATCCCCTGTGTACCGTCTCCCCGACCCTGCCAAGTCAAGGTGCGTAATACTCAAGGCTGGCCAATATATCTTGGCACTCGGGGCAGAAAATCACACAAGTGCCTCTCCCCAGGAGTAAAAATGCAATAAATTACATAAACAACAATTTGCTGCCCTTTCATGGCCTCACTGTCATATATACAATGGAGCCATCATTTTCAATGCAACCCTCGTCACAAGCCTGGCAAATCTGGAACTAAACTTGATGATCAGATAACGCTGATATTCTTTACTTGGACTTTGTTATTTTTAACCCATGTGCGTATTCTATGTGACTATTTTATAGTTTTGTTTTTCATCTTTTAATTTTCACCTGCTGTTGTAACTGCTCTCTCTGTTTTATATACGATATAAAATGAAATAAAAATTATTCTACCCCCTCCTCACAAAAAAAGCACCTCACTGCCTAATGGTAAGGTCAGCCCTGTAGAAGGAGCACTTTATACGTGCTCAGAGGCACTCTCTCCGTCAGTTTGTCCCTCACCCCTTCCAAAAGAGAGGAGCTGGACGTACTCTGCATTGCTCTGAAGACCTTTTGCTAAAAAATGAAAACTCACATCTCCTTTTGGAGAAGTACTTAGACCAGCATGAGAGAAATATTTTAAAAATGAGAGATGGCGATCCTCCATTGCTCAGTGTCTTATCTGCATGCAAAATCGGCTGACTTCTCCATAGGCTCCAACAGGCCCTGTGTTCTGGTTTCTCTCCATGATCAATCCGAGTTGCTATCTGTAGATCTGCACATGCCTTGGCAGCATTCTCCTTAAGGCAAAATGGTAGTGTTCTCATTCACTCATGGGGGCCCAGCCAACCCTTTCGTACAAAGCAGCTGCTGAGTTAGGCCCCGTCTGCACTACACATTTAAAGCAGTATCATACCATTTTAAACAGTCATGACTTCCCCCGAGGAATCCTGGGGGTTGTGGTTTGTCAAAGGAGCTGAGACGCCTTATTCCCCTCTCAGAGCCACAATGCCCAGAGCTCCCTGTGATGAGAGATTGCCTGTTAAAATATTTTGGTGGCTCGGAAGTAGACGGGTCTCTCTCCAGCCCTACTTAAACTGAGAGTAGTTGGCTAAGATGGGGGAAACAGCATTTATACAGCTGAGAGACTGAAGACAAAAACAAACAAAAAGGTTAAGAATGACTGACTTCCATTTATTGTTGTTCTGAAGACTACACCCAGATTTCTATACATTCTAAAGAGGCAGCGTACTGTTTGGTTTGTTGATGCAAAGGACATTGCACCATATGTAAGATTTTATTAAGGCACTGGTCCACTCTAATCTACAACACCTTATGCCAGCCTTAGCCAACCTGGTGCCCTCCAGATATTTTGGACTACAAGTCCCTTCCAGCCCCAGATGATGGGAGTTGTAGTCCAAAATATCTGGAGGGTGCCAAGTTGGTGAAGGCTGGCTTTGGCCACAATAAAATTTTCTAGCCTTTTTTTAACGGTGCCACAAAACCCTTTGATATTTTAGAAATAATTTAGATACTTCTCAATAGAAAAGTTTATCCTTGTTGTAAATAATGGGGAGTGTTCAGAGCAGGTCTGTTGACATCAAATGGACTTAAGTCAATCATGAATAACTCAAGTCCATTGATTTCAATAGGTCACCTCTGAGTCTGTCTGAGCTGGATACAACCCAACAGCTTTTCATTTCTATCAATATTTAATGATGGTGTATTTATTCATGCAATTTATACATCTATGTATTTCTATCAATATTTCATACACATGTGGTACTGTGCTGTTTATTTGAATAAATTTAATTTTTTTAAAAAAAATCAATTTTGTTCTCCCTTCCTCATATTTGCCCTGAGCACCACTTAGGAACTTTTCAACACAACCTTCTTTTCTTTCAGTTCATTCCCGCCTTCTTCTGCAGGGTTCATGTGCACACATTTGCACAGATAAACCCTGAAAAAACCACCCCAACCAGGAATATCTCAAAACTCCATCACTGCAAGAACAGAAGGGAATGGATAGAGGACTTCTCTACTCCCCTCCCTGCAACTCAGGATTCAGGACAGATAAAGGAACGTATTTCTTCATGCAGCGCACAGTTAAATTATGGAACTTGCTCCCACAGGAAGCAGTGATAGTCACAGACTTGGATGGCTTTGAGAAAGGATTGGACAAACTTATGGAAGAGAATATCAATGGCTACTAGCCATGATTGCTATGCTCTGCCTCCTCGATCAGAGGCAATAATGCTTCCATTTGCTGAAACCACAGGAGGAGAGATGGCTCTTGTGCTCAGGTCCTGCTTGCGGGTTTCCCACGGGCACCTGGTCAGCCCCTGTGAGAACTAGAAGAGACATTGGCCTGATCCGCCAGGCTCTTCCTGTGTTGGTGGCGCTCATTTGACAACAAACAGCCTTTAATCTCACTGGCCCAGTGCTGTGGAACACTCAACCGATAAGAGATTCACGGCGGCACCAACTTTTTTTTTTTTTTTATAATAATATTTTATTAATTTTCCAAAAATAACAAACTTTTAAATCCCAACTTTTAAGCGCCTGCTGAAAGGTTTTCTATTCCTCCGGGCTTATGCAGGTGCTTAAGAGTACATCCCCCACAATGGCCCTTTAAATTACTTTTTGCCTTTAACTTGTTTTTTTAACTTTTATTTTGCTATTTGTTTGGTTTTGCATATTTATATTTTTGTAAACTGCTGTGATAATTTTTTTTTTGATACAGTGGTATATAAATATTTTAATAATAATAAAAAAGATGTTATGTTAACTCAGCACAGCAGAGGCACACTGACTCCTCCAAAGGAATGTGAAAACTACTGGCTACTCCCCTCCACCCCCTTGAAGCAAGATTGCTACAGGCTGGCCACCCAGAAGACTAAAACCTTGTCAGAAGCAATAGAAAATAAATAAAAAATTCAGTGATGAATTTCTGAAATCCTCACAACAACCCCATGAAGTAGGGGAGTGTCAGTCTCCCATATTGTGGGCAGGGGAGCGCTGAGGGAGAACAGCTTAACAAAGCCACCCTCCATGCGAGTTCCTGGCAGAGGCAAGATTTGAAGTAGGGACCTCCTGATTCACAACTCAGCCTCTTCACTGCCAGGATGCTATGGAAACACCGAGCTTGTCAGGCTTCCAAACTCCGTATGCTGCCATTGTTTGCGAGGTTTCTTGGCACAGAGGTAATTATGGTTCTTTTCTATTCTGCAGCCCCCACCTCCCCTCCTAGGGTTCATCTCTCCCTTCCCCCATTAAACCACAGGCTTCCTCCAGTTTCATTTCTTCAGCTGTCAAAAGGCAGCTGGCACACAACCTGTTCAGACCACAAGCAACCGCGCACTCCCTCTTGAAGACTGGAGAAAGAAGAGGGGGTCTCCAGTTGGCTGTGTGGAACTCCTAACCCAGAGAGCCCTTTTTTCCTGTCTTTCATTATGAAATTTATTATAAGAAGGAATTAAGCCCTGGTCACTTCTAGACAACATGTTTATTGAGCATTCATCCAAATATGTTCGCTAAGGAGGTTAGGTGGCACCAGCTATTTACTGCACATTCACTAAGAGAGCCAGTGTGGTGTAGTGGTTAAGAGTGGTTAAGAGCGGTAGACTCCTCATCTGGTGAACCGGGTTCGATTCCCCGCTCCTCCACATGCAGCTGCTGGGTGACCTTGGGCCAGTCACACTTCTCTGAAGTCTCTCAGCCCCACTCACCTCACAGAGTGTTTGTTGTGGGGGAGGAAGGGAAAGGAGAATGTTAGCCGCTTTGAGACTCCTTCGGGTAGTGATAAAGCGGGATATCAAATCCAAACTCTTCTCTTCTTCTTCTCTTCTAAGAGCATAAGGCCAATGGCCCATCTAGTCTAGCATCCTGTCCTCATAGTGACCAACGAGATGCCTGTGGGACACTAGCAAGCAGGGCCTGCCGTTTTCAGCATTCTGGTATTCTAAAGCATTACTAGCCCCAGAACACTTTTAGCTGCTGCATTCTGGACCAGCCAAAGTTTCCAGACACTTTTCAGGGGCAGCCCTACAGAAAGCAGGTAAAACACGGGTGGTGCTGTGGTCTAAACCACCGAGCCTCTTTGGCTTGCCAATTCTTAGGTTGGTGGTTCAAATCCGCATAACGGTGGTGAGCTCCCATTGTTCTGTCCCAGCTTCTGCCTACCTAGCAGTTTGAAGGCATACCGGTGCAAGTAGAAAAATAGGTACTGCTGCGGTGGGAAGGTAAACAGTGTTTCCGTGCGCTCTGGCACTTGTCATGATCCTCCATGAGCCAGTAGCGGTTTAGTCATGCTGGCCACATGACGCAGAAAAGCTGTCTGTGGAAAAATGCCAAGATGAGCACCGCACCCCATAGTCACCTTTGACTGGACTTAACGGTCCAGGTCCAGGGGTCCTTTACCTTTTACAGAGAGCACATTGTAGTAATCCAACCTTTCACAACTGGGTGTCAAGAAGGGCCAGTAATCAAGAATGGTGGGAGTTGTAGTCCAACAACACCAGGAGGGTACAAGATTGGAAAAGGATGCCTGATCCCATTTGAGACATCACTGTGGTCAGATTGGACCTCTCTAGGGTGTTTCCTAGATCCATCACATCCAAAGACAGACACCTTCCTCACCTACCCCAGAAGAGATTAAGAACTTCAGTAAGCCTAAACCTCACCAGGTAGCAAAGTGTCTACCTAGATCACCATCTTTCCATCCAGAACAAACACACACAGATCCAGCACAAGTCCTGGTACCAGGCAGGGCCTGAAATAGACTCATCATTTGCCACAGATGTCATGAAATCCTGATCTATTCTTCTGAGAGTGCAACCTTAGAACAGATACTGAACTCCCCTAGCCACCAGTTTAGGGGATCTCATTACCATGCCAACACCACCCCTAAGCAGACCTTCCACTGTTAGAGGCTGCTGAACAGACTTCCCCAACCAGCAACTTATTTCTTCACTGTCTTTGCAGTAGTGGTGGAGTTAGGGGCCGAAAGATATGCAGAAGCAATGGCAGGGGCTGTCTTGACTAGGGCTGACGGGATCTGTGGTTCAAAAGGGCTGTGCTAGCTGGTGATTGGAGTCCAAAATAGCCTGTCAAAACATCTGGAAGCCACCAGGTTGGCCAAGGCTGCACTAACCTCACATCTGCAGCAACGCAGCCAACTCTTAAGGGTGGGAGGGAAAGGAAGAGGGGAGGGCAAGGCAGAACAATGATAAAAGGCTTTCACTCAGTTTGGGGCTAAGATAGGATTTAGTCAGGCCTCCTCACCCTCATCTGGAGGCATTAACCTTTTAAGACGAAGAGGGTAATCAAATCTCCTTCTCCAGGGTGTAAGCCGTGTGCACCAAGGACTGTGGAAGGAATTACTGGACCGTCCAGGCTGGCATAACTGAAGGAGGATTTCTGTCTCCCTCCCAACACATCAAGGTACCAGCCGCTTCTCCAGCCGGTCGGCCAGGCCCTGAGGACCAGTGGACTGATCTGCAATGGCAAATCCCCTCTGCAAATCCCTGTAATGTCATTAGGGACTATTACAGGCTCGGCATCCTTGCCTTTGGCTTCTGCCAACTCTCCCAGCCCAGTGAAAAACCACCCGCTCATGTCCCCTGCAGGAGGGGCAAATCCAGCACTGGAATAGGACATCATCTTCAATGACCCCTCTTGACCAGGGACAGCCCTGAGTTTCTGGGATCTCTTGCTGATAAGCACCACTGTCTTATATCTTGATTTGTGGAGATGATGTGGATGCTTTTAGAAAACACAGACTCCGGAAGCCTCTGTCCTTCTGCCTTAACTTGTCCCCCTGCCATCCCCAAGTCTCTAGAAGTTAAATCTCTTGACAGATGTGGCAGATGCATCATGACCCCAGGCCCAGGGTAACCCACATACAGGAGATCTAAGGCACAGGGTTGGAACCAATAAAGTTAAACTCAGAGGAGACCTAAGTTAGCCCTGTCCATTGTTTTCAATGGGCCTGTTCTGAGTAGGAGTAGTACTTGATACAACACACAGCCTTCCCACTGCATGGTTCATTTTGTGCCACTGGTAAAGTACACTAGAAAAAAAATATGCATGCTTTCAGGGCGCTTTGTGGAGTTTGTGCTGGTTTTGCACCACTGTCCTACATCTGTGCAAAATGGGCTACGGCGGAATAAATGAGTACAGTGAAGGCACATACATTGAAGGCACATAAATACACCTGCCCAACCTCAGATTCTGATGGTTTGTGTGAGTGTAAACACACTGCAAGGTGGCAATAGCTAGTTGTTATGAGGTTTTCCAGGGATGCGGGTGGCGCTGTGGGTTAAACCACAGAGCCTAGGACTTGCCGATCAGAAAGTCGGCGGTTCGAATTCCCACAACAGGGTGAGCTCCTGTTGCTCGGTCCCTGCTCCTGCCAACCTAGCAGTTCGAAAGCACGTCAAAGTGCAAGTAGATAAATAGGTACCGCTCCGGCGGGAAGGTAAACGGCGTTTCCGTGCACTGCTCTGGTTCGCCAGAAGCAGCTTAGTCATGCTGGCCACATGACCTGGAAGCTGTACGCTGGCTCCCTTAGCTAATAAAGCGAGATGAGCGCCGCAACCCCAGAGTTGGCCAGGACTGGACCTAATGGTCAGGGGTCCTTTTACCCTTTACCTTTATAAGGTTTTCCAGAAACCTTTAGAATGCTTTCAGTACTCACTGAGAACCAACCACATGCAATGTCTCCCATGGGAACATTTCTGGCTCTAAAGACACTGCAGTAAAAGCAGGCCAGCAGGTATGCGAGTCCAGCACCTTGCTGAAATTAAGCAGGTCTGTATCTGGCCAGTGCCTGAATGGGTGACTGCTTGGGGACAACATGCATACCACTTTGGGTTCTGTGACTGAAGAAGAGCTGTAGACAAATGTAACAAAATAAATAATAAGCCAGGTACTTTAACCTGCTAACCTGAAGAAGCCTCTCTAACAGATCTTCCTTCAACAGCTCTCTCCTGCAAAGCTTAGCTGCACAAACAGCAGCTCAATGGAAAGAGATGAGAAACAGGCAATCGATTTGGCCCTGCACTCTGACACAGGATGCCTCCCCTCCTTCCTGACGGGATTGTGGAACCTGGACTCAATCAAAGCCCCCAAAGAACTGGAAAGTATTTTCCATTCACTTTTACTGCTTCAAATAACCATGGAAAGACATACATCCAGCTTGTCCTTGGCACCTAGCGCTGGCCTTCCCTCTGTTGCAAAGCATGACCACTCCAATAAAAAGTTCCAGCAGCTTTCTTAATAATAATTGCTAATAGGAAGTTTCCTGCTAGCCTTACAAAAACCAAACCAAACAAAATGCTTTGAACAACTGGGATGCTTCCACAATTTCTTCTTCTCCTCAATCACCCCTTCCCCCACCATTTTTTGTTTTGTTTTTAAATATGCTTTTATTAAAATATTTTCTTGGGTAACAACAGTACATGCAGAGTCTCTGTTTTTAAGCCATAGTATCCTTCAAACAAGTCAGTCATATTCAGAGTGAGACGTTACTGTTACAGGCAAAATGGCTCCCCCAAACTTTTAAGAAGTAAAACTCAAAAGACCCGTTGCTTCAAAGGGAACAGGAAAACCACTCCAACTGAATTTGCCTGCCATTGTTTGTTATAGGCAGCATAATGTCCTGTTTGGAATTAAATGCACTGAAAGGGGTGTGTAAAAAAACCAAAACTCCCCACCAAGAAGACAGCTAGAATAGGATGCAGGACTAAGGCAGGGAAGAATCTGGAAGCCTGCAGTTCCATTCTTACCCTTGCCTGGAACTCACTAGGGAAGCCCCCTCTTCCCCTTAGCCTCATACTCATATTGCAGACAGGAATAATAGAAGCATAGAATCTTAGAGTTGGAAGGGACTCCAAGGGTCATCTAGTCCAACCCCCTGCAATGCAGGAATCTCAGCTAAAGCATCCATGGCAGATGGCCATCCAACCTCTTGTTTAAAAACCTCGAGGAAGGATAGTCCACCACCTCTCAGGGGAGTCTGTTCCACTGCTGAACTGCTCTTGCTGTCAGAAAGTTTTCCCAAATGTTTAGTCGGAATCTCCTTTCTTGCAACTTGAAGCCAGCCCCCTCTTCCCCTTAGCCTCATACTCATATTGCAGACAGGAATAATAGAAGCATAGAATCTTAGAGTTGGAAGGGACTCCAAGGGTCATCTAGTCCAACCCCCTGCAATGCAGGAATCTCAGCTAAAGCTTCCATGGCAGATGGCCATCCAACCTCTTGTTTAAAAACCTCGAGGAAGGATAGTCCACCACCTCTCAGGGGAGTCTGTTCCACTGCTGAACTGCTCTTGCTGTCAGAAAGTTTTCCCAAATGTTTAGTCGGAATCTCCTTTCTTGCAACTTGAAGCCATTGGTTCGAGTTCTACCCTCCAGAGCAGGAGAAAACAAGCATGCTTCCTCTTCCATGTGATGACAGCCCTTAAGATATTTGAAGATGGCTATCATATCTCCTCTCAGTCTCCTCTTTTCCAAGCTAAACATACCCGGCTCCTTCAAGCGCTCCTCATAAGGCTTAGTTTCCAGACCCCTGAACATCTTGGTTGCTCTCCTCTGTTCCAGTTTGTCAACATCCTTCTTAAATTGTGGTGCCCAGAATTGGACACAGTATTCCAAGTGTGGTATGACTAAGGCAGAATAGAGTGGTACTATTAGTTTCCTTTATCAGGACACTATACTTCTGTTGATGCAGCCTAGAATAGCATTAGATTTTTTTTGCTGCTGCATCACACATTTACTCATGTTAAGCTTGCGGTCCACCAAGACCCCTAGATCCTTTTCACATGTACTGCTAGTAAGCCAGGTGTCCCCCATCCTATATTTGTGTATCTGTTTCTTCCTAAGTGCAGAACCTTACATTTGTCCCTAACACCATTGCCCTACCGCACGGGGTAGTTGTACTGAGAACTAGATCATGCAAAATGCCTTTAGCTCTCTCAAGTGCTGCATGAATGCCACACGAGATCATTATTAGGGCTGCCACTCAACTGAAAGAAATCTTAATGGAAGAATCATGTGTGTTTTAATTAATTTATTCAATAATAAATTTGCAAATGACGAAATGCTTCCATGATGCAAATGAAGAAAGCTCCATTTTTTATTTTAAAAAGGCTTTACTTTGATGGTACATGCACTTGCTGCAGCAGGCAAGTCAGTTTCTCTCCTGTATGTGAGAGAAGGGGGCAACGGAGGGCAGGAAGACAATGCCTCGTTCAAGATGGGCACCCTTCATGGATTTGTCCATGTAAAAATAATAAACAATTTAATTTGGAAAATGTCTATCTGATTAGTTTGGGAGCACCTTTTTTAAGATTTTAAAAATCACGCTACGTTGATTTATCAAGTAACACCCCTAATTATTATTACGAGGGATGAACACAATCAGCAAAAAGACAGACACCAGCACAGGAGGCAAGGTTTCCACCCAGGAGATTTATTAGGCTCCTTCCCTTGATTCTTCAGTAGGCTTGCTCAGCTCTGAGTTTTGGTTAAACTAGGAGAATTTCTGAAATGAAAATCTGGAATTGAAAGAGTGCCAAGTTTGCTGCAGTTTCCAATTCCTTCAGCTCAGTTCCTTCTTCCATTCTGCTGTTAGTACAGAATGCAGTCACAAGAATTTATTTTATTATGTGACACATATTCTATGGAATCTATTGTTGCTGCCTATATGTTACCAGGCCCACATCAAAGTGCTAACATTAACTTATAAAGCCCTCAATAACTTGTGGCCTTGATATTTGTCAGAGTACCTCTTTCCACATCAGCCAGGTTGGGGCTTAAAATCAAGAGGTGGGGGCTGCTTCCAGCCCAAGTAACTGATGCTGCCCATCACGGGGAACCTGGAGCAGGGCCTTCTCTGTGGTAGTGCCCCATGAGTGGAATTTTCTCCCCTTACAGGCATGAATGACTACAACACTAAAATGCTTCTGATGCGTGGTGAAGAACCCCTGGAAACTGTGTCCCAAAGCTGTTAGATTAGCCACGTGTAACTTAATGTCAGCCTTTAATTGACTTTGCATTTTCATATAGAATGTTGCTGTCATAGCGGTGTTTTAATTGTATTTCATCTCTGTCACACAAAGCTACAATTCCCAGAGCTGAGAAAAGGGATCGATTGCTAAAATACTCTGGGAATTGTAGCTCTGTGAGGGGAACAGGGGCCTTCTAACAGCTCTCAGCACCGCTAAGAAACTACAGCTCCCAGAATAGTTTGAGGGAACCCATGAGTGTTTGAAGTGAAATCATAGAGCTTTAAATGTTTGATATGAATGAGGCCTAAGTGGTTCCTAACCTTGCACAAGTGCCTTGTGGGGTGGGGGTTGAAACTGTGAGGAAGAGGCCTCTCTAGATAAAGAACAACAACAAACAATTCATTAACACCCTCCCAAAGCAGCTTGACAGAAGTCCTTAACACTAGAGCTTGCCTTTGTACATGTGAATGTGGCCTTCTCTCTAACCACTCACTCCTGCCCTTGGGCTTTGTCAACAGTGGAGTCGAGGGGAAGGAGGGCTGGTGTTTTAATTTCTTGAAATGGGATTCACAGCTCGCTCTCAGGTGTTTATTAAAACAACCTCAGTCTGCATCAAGGGGCCTTTGCCAAGAGAACAGACCTGCTGGGGAGCTGGAAATCGAACTAGGCCATCTGTCACATGGGTTAATTTTAAGACCTCACAACCTTGAGGGTGGTTCCCTGAAGGGTAGGAAAGTATTTGCCGCAGCAAATTTGCTGCCTGCCAGAACAATCCCTCTGCTAGCAATGGAACAGCAGGTACCTCGTTCCATGTTGTTGTTGTTGTTGTTGTTGTTGTTGTTAACAGTCCTCTACCCCACTTCAACAAGCATGGTACAGAACACTATCAAGGCAGGGTGCGGAGTTTTGGTGCTAAGAAGAAATTGGGTTTTTAAAAAAGCCTTCCGGATTTTCAGGTCACCCCTGAAAACCCCAAATCTGCTTGCTTTGGGGTAGTCGCTTTTATCCTTGCTTTAAGCATGCAAGTTACAAGTCCTCATGGTGCAGTTAACAAACAAGGGAGTTGAAGGAGGCCAAGTGACCCTGGCCAGTGGGAAGCAGATTGGAAATTGCCTAAATGTCATGTTCATAAAGACACAGCATTTTTGTTATTGTATCTCCTGGTTTATAGCCTGTTGCACCCCAAGGACAGAGGGTGAGCTAAGAAGCACAAAAACCCAATTAGGGCAATTGTATTGCCACTCAAAAGCCACCTTGAATAAATATATAATCAACTGAGCTCTGATTCTGGAAGGTGGACCTCCAAGGTAAGGAAATTGTAGGGTTTAAGTAGGCACAGATTCCATCCTAGGCGGGGGGGGGGGGCACATTCACACCATATATTTAAAACGCTATGGTGCCAGTTTAAATAGTCATGGCTTCCCCCAAAGAATCCTGGGAATTGCAATTTGTTAAGGGCTACAATTCCTAGAGTCTTTTAACAATCAATCCCTCTTCCTAAAGAACTTTGGGGATTTTAGCTCTGTGAGGAGAAGGGGACCCATCTAGTCCAGCATCTTGTTCTCACTGTGGCCAACCAGATGCTCCACTGGGAAGCCAGAAAGCAGGACATGAACAGCTACTCTCCCCACTCACGTATCCTAGCAACGGGGGTTGAGAGGCACACCATGTCATTACAGGAGCAGCCTGCATTGTCTTTCCAGTGCCTGTTGTAGACCTTTCTTTCCCCACTTTTTTTCAACAAGCCTTTTAAATGAAGGTTGTTTTTATCCCAGTCTGTATCTGCATTGGACTTGAAATGGTTTCTGTTACCAATGTTTTTATGCATTAGATATTTTACCCAGTCTTCAGCAGAAGGCCCCAAGGCAGGTTACTACTACAACCACCACCACTACTACCACTACTACTACTTTTCTTATTATTAACTGCAGTTTTATCCTACCCTTTTCTCTAAAGAGCACAAAGTAGCTCTCGCTTATTTAATCCCCAAAACAAGCCTGTGAGGAAGGTTAGGCTGAGAGGCACTGACTGGCCCAAGGTCACCCCCAGTGCGTGGGGATTCGAACCCTGGTCCCTGCCAGGTCTTAGTCCGACACTCTTACCACGGCACCACACTACACAAGCAGGATATTAAAATCAGTTAAAACAATTTACCATCAGAAGAATGGGGGAGGGGGTCTAAAACACTATGATATGTTTTAAGGGAAGTAATTTGTAAATGAAACAAATAGATAAACAACACTAGCCACCAAGGCTAGTGGTCACTGATGGCCTTATCCTCCATGAATCTATCACCCCCTTTAAAGCCATTTTAGTTGCTGGCCGCCACTGCATCTTGTGGTAGCCATATTCCTGGCCACTGGATTCATTCCTGATATTTTAGAAGTGCAGGTTATGAAGAAGCGGCTGAAAGAGCCTGGGTGATTTATTTCAGCACTTGACAGAGATGGCGTAGATAGCAAAAACCCTCAAGCCAAGCATGCCTACCACCACAAACCTTTGATTCTGGGCCATGACTCTGAGATGCCTGTCCTTCCCCAGTGACCTTGACAAGGAAAAATAAAGCTGTGAGGCTTCAAGCTAGACCTGGCAACATACTGATGACTGTTTTTCGGGGAAGATAGTGGCCACATTAGCAATACACATGTAAAGCACTATGATTTCACTTTAAACCGTCATGGCTTCCCCCCCCCCCCCAAGAAACCTGGGAGCTGTAGTTTGTTAAGGGTGCTGAGAGTTGTTAGGAGACACCTTTCCCCCTCACGGAGCCACAATTCCCAGAATTCCCTGTGAAGAGGGATTGATTGTTAAACCACTCTGGGAATTGAAGCTCTGGGAGGGGAACAGGGCGGTCTTCTAACAACTCCCAGCGCCCTTAGCAAACTACAGCTCCCAGTACTCTTTGGGGGAAGCCATGATGGTTTAAAGTGGAATCAGGGTGCTGAAAATGTGTCGTGTGAATGCGACCTCAGTGGTTTCTGGCAGGAAGTTCCATCCCAGAACACACAAGACCCCTGATTTGAGGCCACCCCACATCTTTCCAACGACAATTTTGAATATTGAAATCTATGGAAAGCATCAACTTGCTTTGCTGTGCGGGAGTGACAACAAACTGTGGTGTGAACTGCTCCCCAGATGGGCACATAACTTCCAGCCTTTGCTCCCTGGCCTATAAGACCACACTCTGTAGTTCCTATGCTTCATCCACCTTCACAGCTGCTCAGATCCAGAGCATCTGCTTGGCATGAGGCCCCAGCTTCAATCCCAATGGCGCCTTCAAGGAGGCTTGAGAAAGACCCTGCCCCCAGCCTGGAAGACCCTGAAGAGCTGCTCCCAATCAGTGTAGACAATACTGAGCTAGATGGGCCAACAGTCCAACTCAACATAAGGCACCTTCCTCTGTTCCATCCCAGTCTCAGGAAAGAGACCTGGAAACCCAGCTAGGCTCCCAAGCAGCTCCAAACCACTTAATTGATGCACCACTCACAAGAGTCTGTGCTACTGAAAAGCACAGGTTCAACTTCAGAGTCAGCAAAGTTGAAGCACAAAGCAAGGGAAAAGTGACATCCCCTTTGGAACTCTGCAGAAATGGCAAATGCTCCCCACCACCCATAGCACCATAAAGAGAGAAAAATGATGATGTACAATTTCTATCCATTTAATGCAAACTGACCTGCCGGTTCCTCTCGTCCGTAATCCTCTGGATCTGGATCTTTTTTCTCCCCATCTTCTCCGGAGATCCTCACGGTATGGGGCGGCTTAATTTTTTAATTTCCAAAAATTAAAAAAAAAGGAAAACACCTTGTTTTTCAAAGTGCTGTCATCCAAAAAATCGTTTTGAAAAAACAAAAAAAGTAGAAAATCACAAAATAAAAAACTAAGCACAAAAAAAGGTTTGTTGCCGCTTTTTCAGTTCATGGTATTCCACTTGTCTGTGCAAATCCAGATGCGTTGGGAATTTGTGATGAGGTTTAATAAAAGAAGCCTACAAAAAAAAGAGGGGGAGAAAAAGAATTAACACTATTGCTTTTTTCTCTTGTTATGTGGTACATTCAGAAGTACCTTGCAGGACAGATTTACATTGAGAAAATGGGGTGGGGTGATTAATCTGCATACATCATAGACACACTTCAGGGTTCAGTGGAGCCTGATTTTAAATGAAAGGTGGGGGTTCAAAGGTCTGCATGTGTCAGACAGAAGAGTGTATCAGAACCCTGCAACCTGAGATGCTGCCTTTCTACCTACAGGGATAAGTGTTAAACATCATATGCTTTATGAGGAATGTAATGTTGGAACAGCTGCTTGGAAGTCAGGTCTTCCCTAGAAATGATATTATTCCCTCCATAAAGCCTCATATACCTTGTGTTCCCATGACATTACCAGTAGTATTTTAAAGAATAACAAATATATTACGGCATAATTTAGCTGCAACAGACAAGGTCAGCAATACTTTAGGAACCTGTAGAATTTGAAAGCCACTTCAATCCCCATTTGACCATGATAGTAGTAGTTCAAAAAATTATATTTCACGTTCATAAAAATGTACAATAATGGGTGAAAATGGACAACATGAGAAACTATTGAAATGTATATTAAAATGGCAAAACAGCACCATTTAAGGCAGCAAAATGGCACCAATCTGTTCTGTCCTAAACGCAAATGAACTCAGAAGAACCCAACAGCTCAGTTCTGGAACACATTTTTCTGGAGCCCTCCCCCTTCCCCACCCCCAGGGAACACCTTACGGAAAAGTTTCCACACAACACTTTGTCTTAGAACAAGTCCTGAAAGTGTCAAGGCCATAAACAGGAAGCACTCATTGTACACCTGGAAGACCCAGGGACAAAAGAGACATAACAAACAACTGAATCATTTTCCCCTTTTGCAACTTCGAGAAAAGCAGCTCTTTTAAAGAAAAATAAAGAAGGGGGAAAGCATCAGTTGCTTGACTGCACATTCACAGCATACATTTAAATCATTATGGTACTACTTTAAATAGCCATGTCTTCCCCCAAAGAATTCTGGGAGCTGTAGTTTGCTAAAGGCACTGAGAGTTGTTAGGAGACCTCTCCCAGAGCTTCAACTCACAGAGTGGTTAACAATCCATCCCTCTTCCCAAGGAAATCTGGGAATTGTAGTTCTGAGAGAGAGGAGAGTGTCTCCTGACTCAGCCCCCTTAATTATTGCTCCCATAATTCTTTGGGGGGAAGCCATGACTGTTTAAAGTGGTAGGATGCTGCTTTAAATGTATGCTGTGAATGTGGGCTCAATGTGGTATGGTGGTTATTACAATGGAGATCAGAGTTCAAATCCTACTTGGCCCTAAAACCCACTGGTTAAGCATGGACCCCCTAAGCCTAAACTACTTTAAAGGATTTCCATAGGGGCATCTAGTGTTTACATGTCACTTTGCTGGAAAACTAGCAAAGACTCTTGTGGCACCTTAAAGACTACAGTTCACTTCATCAGGTGTAGGAAGTATTATCCTGGATTCAGGTACACGTCTACAAGGTTGGGGGACAGGGTTGTAAACCAGAGGGAAACAAGTTTTTAAAATGTAAGAACTTAAGAATGTGTTGGATCGGCCAAGGGCCCATCTACTTCAGCATCCTGTTCTCACAGTGGCCACTCAGATGCATGCGGAGAACCCGCACACAGGACCCAAGTCAAGAGTTCTTTCCTCTCCGGTGGCTTCCAGCAACTGATATTCAGAAGCATTGCTGCCTCTGACCACGGAGGCAGAGCACAGCCATCATGGTTAGTAGCCTTTGATAGCTTTGCCCCCCATGAATTTGTCCAATCCTCTTTTAAAGCCATACAAGTTGGTGGCCATCACTGCCTCTTGTGGGAGTGAGTTCTATAGTTTAACTCTGTGCTTTGTGAAGAAGTGCCTTCTTTTATGAAAAGCATGCCGAAGAGTTCCGATGCTATCACTTGTGGATCGAACTGGGACAAAGGATTTTTAGCATACTGTATGTTTTCACTGGCTTACTGATGCCAGGACAGTGTGTGTCATCAAAAACTACTGGGTGATTTACCGCTGCGAAGAAGTACGTAATTATCTCTGCAAACTTCTCTGCCTTTCATTTCCCTCTGATCACACCCCGTAACAACTCAATCAATGTGTTGGGGGTGGGGTAGGGAAGAGAAGTTGACCAGGGAGTTCAAAGCCTATAATTTCTATACTGCAGCTGTGAGCCTTCCTTATATTTGCTGGCGAGAAACCACTGGCTCACTGGGACCTTTGCACTGCGATGAAACAATTCTGCAACTTTCCAGGATTGATGGCTCAACACAATACAAACTGGCAGCTTTTTGGAAAGTGGGGAGGAACATGTGGAAGTGTGGAAGCTGGAGCAGGAAAATGGTACCCTCTACACCCCTACTAGCAAGAATGAATTTTTGATGGGAAGAAATCACTTATTTATTTACTGTTATTAACAACAACAAGAAGAAGAACACTAGACTAGACTAGACTATTGCAAGTCTACATACATTTTAAAGCAAAGTCAGAAAACAGAAAACATGGTTTTTTGCTTCTCCCCCCACAATCCTTTGCTGATTTCCTACTTCCTGACCCTGCTTCCTTCCCTGGCCCAGCCGTCTTCTGAAATTTCACCAGCATGGTGTTGCTGCCCACACTTTGGCGCCTGCCTCTGCTGTCTTGAGGACTAGAAGCTTTTAATTGTTTGTTTGCTTTTTTAACCACATGAACACCTTTGTGGCATTGATGATGCCAAGCATTGGCACAGCAATTCAAAGGAGAAAGGCCGGACGAAGATGTCCTCAGAAACACTGCGGCCTTTGGAAGCCCAAGCAGCTCAGGACCATCATTAATGCATGCCCTCCTAGTTGCTGGACACTAGATCCTGGGCCACCCAGTGAAATATGGACAATTCTCACACTGTGGGTATATAAACGGTAGAGTCCCCCAAAGATCAGTATTGGGACTGGTGCCTTTCAGCTGCCCTAAAACAACCTGGAAAGAAGGAAGAACAATGAGAAAGCCAAATTTACAGATGACTGGGCAGGCGGAGGATTTGACTCTGAGATCTGGATTTCCTATCTGTGGTTTCAAGTTGCTTTAAACTGTTTTTAACATTGTGTTTCAATTGTTGCAACCTAGCCTAAGGGTGAAGGGAAGGTAAATAACAAGATAATCGACAATAATTTGTTTAATGATATCTGGAGTCGCAAATGGCTTTACATGAGGGGAGGCAGGCGTCTCTCCAGCAATGAGTCTCTGGTATCCCTGCCAGGGGAGAATGCCTCTCCTCACCTCAGCTAGCAAACTCTCTTTCTTTCTCTCTCACCCTAAATTGCTGAAAGACGTAAGGGGCAAAACAGAGAAATAAAGATGTAGGCAGCTGGGATGCATGGATATAGATAGAGAGGTCACCATGGTAACCATTACCATGCAGCAATTCTTCTCTCTCGTATATACAGTGGTACCTCAAATTACAAACGCCTCAGGTTACAAATGCTTCAGGTTACAAACTCTACTAAACTGGAAGAGTTACCTCGAGTTAAGAACTTTGCCCCAGGATGAGAACGGAAATCGTGTGCTGGCAGCAAGAGGCCCCATTAGTGAAAGCATGCCTCTAGTTAAGAACAGTTTCAGGTTAAGAACGGACCTCCGGAACGAATTACGTTCGTAACTAGAGGTACCATGGTGTGTGTGTGTATTCTCTTTTTCAGCCTCCTTCATTCCCTTTCCTCTCTGCACACTACATAGAACTAGCATGGTGTAGTGGTTAGAGCATCAGATTAGGACCTGGAAGAGACCAAGGTTCAAATCCCCACTCGGCCATGACACTCGCCATGGGCCAGTCATTGCCTTTCAGCCTAACCTCCCTCAAAGGGTTGTTGTGGGGATTAAATGAGGAAGGGGACAACCACGCACGCCATCTTGGGACTCCTTCGTAGAACAGGTAGGTTATAAATGCAATAAATAATAGTAATAACACAGAGATTTGGCAGCACCAGGTTTTTGAAGGGGTGGGGACTCCTTCAAATCACAAGCTAAGAGCCACTTCATTACACTCTAAGACTTTCAATGAGCCAGAAGATATGACCACCAAGCAACTGAACAATGCAAGCAGAAAACCGTGTAAGGTGCACAAATCTTTCTCATTGCCCTTCATAAACTATTTTGCCCGTTAGACCCAACAAGACCAACAAATTAATGCAAGAATCAGGGAATCCGCAGAATACAGGAACCTCAAAATTTACTGCAGTGTAGATGTGGCATAGTGGACAGAATGATAGAGTAGGACTGTGGAGACCCATGTTCAGCCATGACCTTAGGATGAAGGGCGGGCAATAAGTAAATAATGAAGATCACTGGGTGTCTTTATGCCAGTCACTGCCTAACCTACCTCAAAGGGTTGTCATGAGGATTAAGGTGGTGGAGGGTAGAACCTGGTATGCCACCTTGAGATCACTGGCATGTGATTAATAAATACATCACACAGAATGTAGCATCCCTCTGCAAAATTTTAAAGCACACAGCAATGTGTGTTAGCAACAAATGTTAGCAATGACCATATTGCTCTGTCATGAACAGATCAGTGAGTCTTCACCACCTCAACTCATTCTTTGAAGGAACAGGAGCAAGCAGTCAAGCGCAAAACTGCAACCCTGTCTTTCAGGCTCAGATTCTTGAAGGACAGGAACTTGCTACTTTGATTTTGGGTTGGGAAAGAGACCAAAAAGAGGCCACTGGGGCAGCCAGTGTGGTGCAGAGGTTAAGGGTGTTAGACTAGGACCTGAAAGACAAGGGCTTAAATCCCCACTCAGCCGTAAAGCTCACTGAATCACTCACTCTCAGCCTAACCTACCTCCCAGGGATGTTGTGAAGATTAAATGGGGAGGGGAGAACCATTATACCACCCTGGAACTCCTTGGATGAAAGGGCCTTCTTGGTAGTGGCACCCACCTTGTGGTACGCCCTCCCCTCAGATGTCAAGGAGATGTTTATACGACTTTTAGAAGGCATCTGAAGAAGAGCCCTGTAGAGGGAAGCTTTTAATGATTGTGTTTTTATAGTTTGTTGAAAGACACCCAGAGTGACTGGGACAACCCAGTCAGATGGGCGGGGTACAAATGTTGCTGTTGTTGGATATAAATTCAAGCAGGGACTTCAGACTGTAAGTTTACAGTAGTACCTCGGGTTAAGAATTTAATTCGTTCTGGAGGTCCGCTCTTAACCTGAAACTGTTCTTAACCTGAAGTACCACTTTAGCTAATGGGGTCTTCCGCCGCTGCACGATTTCTGTTCTCATCCTGAAGCAAAGTTCTTAACCCAAGGTACTATTTCTGGGTTAGCGGAGTCTGTAACCTGAAGCGTCTGTAGCCAAGCATCTGTAACCCAAGGTACCACTGTATACATTTAGTGGAGAAAGTGGATAGAGAAAAGTTTTTCTCCCTCTCTTATAACATTAGAATTCACAGATGTCCAATGAAGTTGAATGTTGGAAAATTCAAGACAAAAGCAGTCTTCCATACAGCGTGTAAGTTAAACTATGGAACTCACTTTCACAGGAGGTAGCGATGGCCGCCAGCACGGATGGCTTTGAAAGGAGATTAGACAAATTCACGGAGGAGGAGGCTATCAAAGCTTATTACTCATCATGGCTGTGTACTTCCTCCAGTCTCAGCCTCCGCCTGCCTCTGAATACCCAGTTGTTGAGAAGTACAAGTGGGGAGAGTGGCTGTTGCATTTGTATCCTACTTGTATCCTACTTCCCAGAAGAGACACCTGGTTTGCCACTGTGAGAACAGGATGCTGAATTAGATGGGGCCCCCTTTGGCCTGATCCACCTCTAAAGTTCCTCCTGGATTCTTGTGCTAATCTGATGAACCAGGGGGCAGAAGCTCTCATGGATCAAGAGCTGAACCCCAAATGGTGCTACCTGGGATGTTATGGGTCGAACCTGAAAGAATCTGGAGTTTGCCGAATCACTCAGTTTTGGGGTAGGGAGGGAGAGGAGTTGCAGTGCAAAACATCTAGCAGGCAACACATTTGCCAAGACTGGTGAAATGGTTGAGATGGGGGTGTGTGTGTGTGTGTTTTTTGCAGGCTTCGAAAATGGAAGAACTATCCAGGTCTGTGCCGCCCCCCCCCCCCCCGCTGCAACCCGCGCCTGAGCCAAGCAAGCTACCGCCTGGTGCACGGCACCACAAACCTTCTCTGTGAAAACCATTATGCACAAAGTATGATTATCCCAGCAATTAGCAGTCAAGTCAATTACATACAAGCAGGTGCTCGTTAGCACTGTGCCTTGTAATTCATACCCGACTCCCAATAAATTGCCTCAAATTGAAGAGGGGGAGAAGAGTTTGCTTTCTGCAGTGATGGGGGGGGTGGCGGGGGGGAAGCGAGTGAGAATTAAATGAAGCCTGTGTGTGTGTGTGTGTGTGTGTGTGTGTCTGTGTGTGTCTGTGTGTGTGTGAAAAAAACCCCACCCTCTTTTGGAATACACTTTTGCAAAAGCAAAAAGGGTGGGAGCAGCAGAAGTGCTTGGTGTGTGTGTGTGATTTTTTTTTTTAATTGCAGCATTAACCATGAGGAACCATGTGAATCCAACCCGGGAAATCTGAACTGGGAGTGGGGAGGAAGGGAGGGAGGAGAGAAAATTCCTTCACCAGCTCCATTCCTGCCATCATCCAGACCTTGAGCCAGGAGCACAATCCAGACATGTCCCAAGGGGAACATCGACATGTTTCCACTGCCCTGTCCAGATCTTTTGTGACCAGCCCTTGCCCAGCTGATCCCGTTTCCCTTTCTGCTTAAGAAACAGGAACGCTCAAAAGAAACAAGGGGCAAGCTTTTGCCAGTTCCAAAGGACTACTGGCCAGGCCCTTCCACCTGGGAAAAACAGCTAGAGTCCCCTCACTCAACACCAGCAGGTGAGTTCTACCTGCAGGAAGCTCAAATGATAGGACAAATTCCATCAGGTCCCCTGAGGAATTTAAGTATGGGAGGGGAAAGAGAGAGAGAGGACACACACACATATATATGTTATATTCCTGACCCAGATTGAATCATTCCCTGGAGATTATCAGGTGCCAGCTGCGGCTTCACAGCCCCTGCCAAATTCTACACTATGCAGGTTGGGGTGAGCAGGAAGGGGAGAAGTGCAATCCTTAATATGTCTCTTTAAAGGGGGGGGCAAGAGGGAGGAAATTGGGCAGGGGGGGGGGAGGAGAACCCTTTTGATCCTGCCACTGCTCATTCTGCTCTGCCCTAAACACAGTTGCTAGGGGTGGGTCCAGGAAGACTGCCCCCCCCATATTTTCCCCAAGTGTTTCCAGGTAGGTAATGAATTGAGGAGGGAGAAGACAACTGAACTGGGAGGTTGGTCTGGGTTTAGGGGGTGGAGTATTAATTTGCGAGATCGCATTAATTTCAGATGACTTCATCTAGACATGATTTAGGGGGGATTAATTAATGGGAAGGTGGTCGAAAGGCAATTGATGCAGGCTTCAGAGGTTTTGGAGTTGGGAAATTTATTGGGGGGTAAATGAATCAAAGCACAACTGATTTGATCTGGGTGGGGGTACAAATTAATTGCAGGATTTTTTCTGGTGTGAACTGGATGGGAAGATTAGTTCCCTTGCCTTCTTAGAGATTTGAATTCTAAATGCCCATGTTTGTGTGGGGAGAGATAATCTGGACACAGAAATTTTTCTGCAGTGTGTGCTCCCCTCTTCTTTCCCCAGTATGGCCCACCCGTCCCCCGCTCCCAGGTCATCTTTCTCACAAGAACTTCCTCACTTTGTAAAAATACTATCACTTTCTTTTATCTGTTCTAACTCTGCAAAAAATCCAGGCACAATGAAAAAGAGATGCAACATCAACTCCTGCGATCAGCAGACGGCACATGCTTCTGGACTGTCCAAGTCATAAGTGGAATGGACATGCAGAAGGTTCTGTGCATGCCTCAACTCGGGATCAACTCAGTGATCATGCTCTGGAACTTTCCTGCTACAAACCTGGCAGACTGAGCTCTAGATCTACAAGTGCACCACCTAGGCTGCAGTAACAGCCTTCTCAAGCACTTAGGCCCCATCCTCACTACACATTTAAAACAGTTTAATATCACAGTCATGGCTCCGACCCAAATCCTGGGCACTGTAATTTGTGAGGAGTGCTGAGAGTTATGAGGAGACCCCCTATTTCCCTCACAGAACTACAATTCCCAGGGTTCCCTGGGAAGAGGGAATGACTGTTAATCCCCTCTGGGATTTACAGTGGTACCTTGGGTTACAGACGCTTCAGGTTACAGACTCCGCTAACCCAGAAATACTACCTTGGGTTAAGAACTTTGCTTCAGGATGAGAACAGGAATCATGCGGTGGTGGCATGGCAGCAGCAGGAGGCCCCATTAGCTAAAGTGGTACCTCAGGTTAAGAACAGTTTCAGGTTAAGAACGGACCTCCAGAATGAATTAAGTTCTTAACCCGAGGTACCACTGTATAGCTCTATGAGGGGAGCAGGGGTTTTCCTAATAACTCTCAGGTTCTTCTTCTTCTCTGTTCAGAAATGACTCCAGGTTTCTCAAACTGCTAGCAGAGTTTACCTGTGCAATCTCAAGACACAGACCAGCAAGTCCCCTGATCTTTGCATCCCATTCTTTTTAAATGGAAGAAGGTGATCACTAATCATTTACTTATCCCTTATTGCGGGGAGGAAGGGGAGTTTAATCATGGCACATTTTACTAAAGCATTTTAGGGGGGAAATCAGGTGCCATAGCAACAAGCTGAGAGCAGCCAAGCGCCTGTCTATGCATGGAACTTCCAAGTTTTTGCAGAACAGAGAACAGGCACCTGTTCCAGCATACATTTGGGCAAACTAAATTAATAATACGAATAACATGAAAATAAAATAAAATCATCATCATCATCATTCATCTTTGCTTCTACTGCCCAGGTAAAGGCATTCAGAGCAGCAAGCTGAACCAAGACAATTTGGCCATGATGGTAACACAGAGGAAGGCTTTTCCACTGCTGGCACCATTCTTGGGCTGGGGTAATGTTTAGTAGGATTTTCTTGGGGGGGAGGTGCTGCTGTTACTGATATTAATTTTTGTATCTTTAGATCTTCTTATGATTGACGTGGAAATTGTTCAGTTTGGTAGTGTACTTTTTAATATGTTTTATTTATTGTTTATGACCATTTTTGAAATGTTTGTAATTATGTACATCTTCTCATGTTGCTAGCTGCCTCGAACATGGTTTCAACTATGGAAAGGCGGCATACAAATACAGTGGTACCTCGGGTTAAGTACTTAATTTGTTCCAGAGGTCCGTTCTTAACCTGAAACTGTTCTTAACCTGAAGCACCACTTTTAGCTAATGGGGCCTCCTGCTGCCGCCGCGCCACCGGAGCACGATTTCTGTTCTCATCCTGAAGCAAAGTTCTTAACCTGAAGCACTATTTCTGGGTTAGTGGAGTCTGTAACCTGAAGCGTATGTAACCTGAAGCGCATGTAACCCGAGGTACCAATGTACAACGATGGTGGCAGTGGTGATGTCGCAGAATGCCCTCTCTGATGAAATGCAAGAGGCCCTATCTCTGCCTCCTGTGGGAGTGAGTTCCATGGTTAACAATGCCGCTGAGTGAAGATGTGCTTTCTTTCATTTATCTGCCCTCAATTCCATTCCAACAAGTTCTATTTGCTTTCTCCATGCTAAGCATCATTTCATAAACTCGCCTCTTACTCGCCTTTTCTCCAAACTAAGAAGTCTCAAATGCTGCAACCTTTCCTCCTGCATTCCTGCCCTTCCACTCCCCATGGAAGGGGGAACTGCCAGCTGGCAAGGAGGTTACTGACTGCTTGCCAGAGACGGTTTTCTCACCCTGTATTAGCCCAGGAAAATGTAGAGTGGGAGAGGGAGAACAGAGAAGGTTAAGGGGGAAAAGAGAGGGGGGGGCTTTATAGTCTCAGGGCAAAGGAGGACCTGGAAGCAATTATGACAAGCAATTTCCCAAGGAAGCAGGGGCCATCATCAAACGTCTTCAAAGTGATGGCCCAGGCCCAGGCAAGTAGGAAAAAAGAGAGTAAGGAAACAGCTCAAGAAGCATTATCGCATGGCTGGCCCATGCAACCCCTCTTTCCAGCTTCAACATAAAAAGGGACAAATCAACGCAACACTACTCAATATGTGGTGGGGGGGACACACACAGTTAAGCCACAAAGGAGCTGAGCTGCTGCTGGATTAGACCAAAACCACACTGAGTCCAGCATTTTGTTTCAAACATTTTTGCTATCTCTGGAAACTCCCTAAAAGGCAATAGCACCCATTGTTGCTTGTCCCTGGCCCCCAGAAACTACTGTTCAGAGGCATCCAGCTGCTGAATATGGATATGGAAGTTCTCTTTAGCTATGAGAGCCAGTGTGGTGTAGTGGTTAAGAGCGGTAGGCTCGTAATCTGGTGAACCGAGTTCGTGTCTCCGCTCCTCCACATGCAGCTGCTGGGTGACCTTGGGCTAGTCACACTTCTCTGAAGTCTCTCAGCCCCACTCACCTCACAGAGTGTTTGTTGTGGGGGAGGAAGGGAAAGGAGAATGTTAGCCGCTTTGAGACTCCTTCGGGTAGTGATAAAGCGGGATATCAAATCCAAACTCTTCTTCTTCTTCTTATCCTGTCTACCAACAGTTAGTCCTCTCCTTATCCATGAACTTCTCAGCTCCAAAATAAGTTCCTAACTACAGGCTGACCTGTACAGAGGGAGAGAAGGGGCCTGCATCAAGTCTGCTGAGAAGCCAGCTGCCCCAGGTCCCTCCTTCCCATCAAGTGGGAAAGGAATTAAAGAAGGGAAGCAGAGCCACAACATCAGCACAGCTGAGACTTTTAGGCCCTCTTCTCTTTGTGCGGCTTGTACAACAGAAAATCAAGATTTAAACAAGACTCCTTAACGTCCACAGGTTACTGAATCATATTCCTGCACTTTGGGGGCTCTCCCTCAGAAAAAGAAAAACCAGATATTGGGGAGGTAGCAGAACAAATCCTTACTTAACAAAGGGTAGTTTCTATTGTCATTCACCAGTGGACTGAAGACCATACCACCCTCTCTGTATCTGAACCTACAGCAGACCTCTTGAAACAACTGCCTACATCTGCCTTCTCCATGCTCTCCACATGTTTGGGGCTACAACTCCCACCGTGGCTGTGCTAGCTGGGGCTGATGGGAGCTGTAGTCCAAAATATATGGAGTTGAAGCAGCCTGGTCTGCATGGACACGTTTGGGCAACTCCGCTGGATAGGGGCCAATCCACTTCAAACCTCATGGGTATTCTTGCTTCTTTTATTCTGTGAGCTGAATCCTTTTCCTCCGCTCTCCATTTTCCCTTCCCTTCTTCTGATTTTGTTGCTCTTGATGAAAGAGGTATGAAAACCAAAAAGCTCAATAGAAGCTTACATTAAGGGATAGGGGGAAATATTTCATTTCTGCCTGAAGACAAACAAAAAAGGGTGGATAAGCAGCAGCTGACTCAAACAGAATCCAAAGTTTCCAGGGATTTCCTGTATGATATACCATAACCCCGTGGTCTTCCTACTGCCACTTTTGGTGTATCTGAAACATAGTCCAATACTTATTTATTTAATTTCATGCAATTTATACACCACTAGATTGTAAGAAAGAAAGAAATTCAGCTTCATTGGATGCTCCAACAGCCCCTGGCAGCACAGGCAATGGACAGAGATGATGCAACTGGTAGTCCAACAATGTCTGGAGGGTGCCACATTGCCTACCCTGATGTAAGAAAATAAGACTGGGCAACTGCCAGTGAATTTCTCTATTTCATCTCCAAGGAGCATTCCACCATCAATCCAAAAGTACCAGCCGCAAGCCAGGTGATTTGTGTCCCTCAATCAGCCTGCACTAAATAGAACTTCCTCTTTAAATGGAGGGAAGTGAGGGGCCATTAAGCTTGCAGCCTCCGCCCACACGCCTTTCAGCACCCTGCAGGGCATGAAATAACCAACTGCCATCTCTCTCTGCAAGAAGATGGTGCTGGAAGATTTTCTCCCTGTCACTAGCCTCACAGTGGAAATTCAGATCCCTGATAATGAGGAGGTTCAGCATGGAGGATGAGAGGTGTCCTCATTAAAAGAATTACTAAAGAGAAAAATGAAAACCTCTGCTCCTCCAGGTTACCTTATCATCCTCAGCAGGATTTTGCTCTCAAACCACCACCGGATTTTGCAAAAATAGTGCAAAAAGTTGCATTGGCAGGAACAGGATTTTTACAGGTGTTCAGTTAGCATGAAAGCAAATTCTGTGAACCTGGCAGATGCAAAATCAGATCTGGAAGGGGTCGGTGGAGAGGGGGAGCCCCCTCCCCAACCTGAGCTGAAGCCAGCGAAGTGCATGGAGAGGATAATGGACAATTTCCATCAGGATCAGGCCTAGGTTCATCCTGGAAGGCTGAGCCAGTGTGGCATAGGGGTTAGTGTGTTGGGCTACGAACTCTGATATGCCAGTCACTCCCCTTTTCCTCCAGCACTCCCCTGCTTCCCAGTCTTGGATCCATGGACCAGGCAGCCCTGGCCACAAGGGACGGTTAGAAGGAGCCAGACAAGCAAGGCCAGGCTGGCTTGTGTCCAGGAAATGACCTGGTCAAGGCCGGGAAGTATTTTCAGCCAGGGTGTTTGGGTGCGCAGGGTCAGATTGCTCTAAAAACACAATATGATGTTTCAAGCAGCTGCGTGATGTTTTCCCTCTTTTGGATCAGGTCTCCTCGGGGCCAAAGAGGCAAGGTCTTAGCCGACTCCGCTGCTTCTTCTGGGTCTCCATGGAAATGCTGTAATGCCTGGTAGCAAGGACAGGGCACTTCCCATATGAGGAAAGGTTGCAGCGCTTGGGACCTTTTAGTTTAGAGAAAAGTCGAGTAAGAAGTGGCAGGATAGAAATAAATAAAATTATGCCTGGCACGGAGAAAGTGGAGACAGAAAAGGTTTTCTCCCTCTTTCCTAACACTAGAACTCAGTGACATGCGGTGAAGTTGAATGATGGAATATTCAGGACAGGAACAAGAAAGTCCTTCTGCATGCAGCACATAAGACTGTCAACCTCACTCTCATGGAAGGCACAGATGGCCACCACTTGCATGGCTTTAAAAGAGGATTAGAAAAATTCATGGAGGACAAGGCTATGAGCCATGGTGGCTATGCTCTGCCTCCAAAGTCAGAGGCAGCAATGCTTCTGAATACCAGTTGCTGAAAACTACAAGGGGGAGAGATGCTCTTGTCAGGGGCTTTTTACCCATAGAGGCTAGTGGCGCGAGGCGCCAAGTTCTGGAGGGCGCCAGGGAAGAGGCGGAGACTGGACACGGCGCCTCCCAGCACCAGCTCACCGCCCTCGCCCGCCTCCGCCATGCCGCGCCCGGAGTCTCCGTCTGCCGTGACAACCGCGGCACAAAGCGGCCAGCAGAGCCGGGAGGCGCCACAGCCAGCCTCCGCCTCTTCCCCACCAGAGGAGCGGCCCTCCAGCTGCTGCCCACCTCCTCCAGCCCCACCATCCTTCCTAAAAAAAGGTTGACAACTCTGGGAAACAGGGGGGCGGGCGCCAGAGGGAGCTTTGCACCATGGCGCCGGGTATGCTTAAGACGGCCCTGGCTCTTGTCCTCAGGACCTGCTTGCAGGTTTCCCACAGGCAGCAGGTTCTTCTTGTGTTCCAGAGCTGGGGCCATTTTCCTCCCAGACCCAGACCCAGTCTTCCCTCACCATACTTTAGTCAAAGCCGTATTCACTTCCAGGCAAACCTCCAGCGCTCACTTGCCAGGGGTCTGCAGGGTCAGAAGGAAGTAGGCGGAGCAACCCATGTTAATTTTATCTTCATACAAAAACAGCCCTTCTCTATACACACAAACATCTCTCTCCCAGGCAAGCAAGACAAATTACCAGACTTCAAGTACGCATTCTAATCCAGCCAAAAACACTCAAGCAGGATGCAGAGCTGAACTGGTATGGGGGAGTGGCCTGGGGAGAGTCCCAAGGGCCAGGCAGAGGGTCTTGGAGGGCATTCAGCCCCTGGGAGTGAGTTTCCCCATCCCTGTCTGTGCCGCTCTGCACACACACACCCTTTCACTTGTCATCAGGATTGGCCCAGCAAACATGTTTTGAGGAAACACTGTAATAATTATGCACTGCAGATCAGAGAGATAAGCCAAGGAGGAGAAGCTTAAGGCCTCTTTACAAAAGACGAAACACCACCAAGGGCAACTAGGTTACACATCTTTCCCCTAGAGGTGTCGCCCTGAGGTCAGTCCCTGAGACTTAGACCCTCAAAGGGCCAGTTAATACATTCTGCCTGATCTAGTGGCAAACCTTTTCCTGAGCTGCGCCATGCCACACTGTGTTGAGATGGTGGGCAGCATGAGGGGAAGAGAACACATGCTTGTGTACGTCATAAAAAAATAATCTTCTAGCAGATAGAAAACTAGCAAGTCAGGAAGGGGGCAAGATGGAACCCCTTCTCCCCCACATGCAGGGAGTTTTAAATAAGGGTGAGCGGTCAGAGATGCAATCCTCCACCTGCAAACGGATAGCATTATATTTCACACTTGACACTTAAAGGAGAGGTCCACACTGTATATTTAAAGCACACCCAATGCTCATTTAGAGCACATGACTTCCCCTATAAGAATCCTGGGAATTGTAGTTTGTTAAGGCTACTGGCAATTATAGGTGGAACGAGAGTTCCCAGGATTTGGAGGGGAAGTTGGATGCTCTAATGGATGATGTGGATTTGCCTATGATTCTGCTGAATGTTTTGTTAGACCAACCAATAAGTGAATTCTACAGCAATTCATAACTGCAAAAGTGCATACATATCAATGCACACCATAAGGACCCATCTACTCTCAAATTCATTTCACAACATTACAATCACAAACAATATTACTAATCACTCTATTGTACTGACATTCAAGTTCATTGTAAAAGAGCCAGTATATAAAACCAACAGATTTCAAGGTCAATCTTTAGAAATACCAAAAACCACATCATTTAAAAGTCGCTACACAATTTACCACCAGAAACACAGCCTTCCCCAGCTTAGTGCCCTCCAGATGTTTTGGACTACAACTCCCATCAGCCCCAACAAGCAGCTGTACTGGCTAAGGATGATGGGAGCTGAGATTCCAAACAGTCAAGATGACATGAGTTTGTAGTCCAAAATGGCAGTGTTGCTTGAGGTCGATGGGAGTTGAGAGTTGGAAATAGCTACTGTATGTTGGTTGGGCTGAAGAAAGTGTGTCATCCAAAACATTTGTAAGGCAACCAGGCTTGGGTAATCAGGGAACATCTTTCATCAGTATCCAAAACTCTTCCCATCTGTTGCCATTTTCTCACTCCAGCCCAGCTGCATCCCACCAAAACGTGGCAGAAAGGAAGAGTGTGACCCCTCAGCACCACACTCCAAAGAGCAACCCCCTTCCAATCATCTCAGAGGTCCCAAACATAGACTGGTGTCTTCTACCTCATGGAAGCCCCAGGTTTTTCATCAGCAAACCAATAAACAAAAAACTAGGAGCACATAAGAACACAAAAAGAGCCTGCTGGGTCAGATCCATGGCCCATCCAGTCCAGCATCCTATTCTCACAGTGGCCAACAAGATGCCTGTGGAAAACAGGTAAGCAGGAAGCAAGCAGGATTCAAGTATATTATTCCCTCACCAACCAGGCTACCTCCCGCATTACGCTTGGGGCCTCTGTGATGTCTCCCCACCAGAAGGGGTTGAAAAAGCAAGCCTTTTGTAAATACCCTGGAATCTGTCACTCACTGGAAACAAAACACACACACATGCACATAATCTAGGACAGCTGCTGATCAGCTGTGGCAGCACTTGTAAGGAACAGATTTTGCACATTTTTTTTAAAAAAGGAAAAGCTGTGTGCATAAAGCAAGCCTGCCTCAGTCATTCTCTCATATTAGAACACAAGGATCTGCAGCAAAGCTAAAAAAAAAATAATGAAGCTGCCTCAGATTCTGTCCCTCTAGGCCAGTGTTGTCTGTTCTGACTGGCAGTAGCTCGGAGGGCCTCAGGTAGAGGACTTTCCTAGCCCTCTTTCCTCTGCCACTAAGCTATGGGCCTTCAAATCCATCTCACCAGCCTGTAATTTGTTCATAATCCATAAAGATAATCAGATGGGGAGTAAGTGCACACACACACACACTTTGCTTTTCCAAGGGGTCTGGGCAAAAGTCAGATCCAGTGCAATTAACCTGAACCTTGAAAAGCAATAGAGCTGAAAGAGGAAGTGGGAGAGAGTGCCACTCTTCCATCTTCCTCCTTCGGAAGACCTGAAGGGCACCATGTTGATGTATACTAGGCACAGCCAATCACCTCTGGCATTTCTGCCCAAGCAGGGCTGACCCCAGAGGGCAAAAAGACCCAGAGTCCCATCACTCTCACCTTGCACAGAGTATCAGAAGCAGCAGGAATGGAAGGAATTCCATTTTGTGGAGTGAGCTCCCTGACAAGATTAGGCTCTCACCAAGGATAGGGAAGACTTTCGCAAAGGTCAAAGACCTTTCTCTCTTCCTGGTGTTTCCTGGTTATCACTAATGAGTTATTTCATAGTTCTGGCTGCTATGGTTGCTAAAATTGTGTGTTGTGGCTATCTGGATGTTTTCATTTTAATGGTTCCTTTCTTATTTATTTAATTAATATCCAACCTTTTTCTCCTAAGAGCTCAAGGTGCTGCATCTTCGCCTCCTCATTTAACCCCCACAACAACAATGCAGTGTAAGTTAGGCAGAGAGGCAGGGGCTGGCCCATGGTCAACCAGCAAGCTTAAGGGCCAAGTAGGGGATTTGAACCCTGGTCTCCCAGGTCCTAGCCTGATGCTCTAACCACTACACCACACTGGCTCTCGTTAACTTCCTTGAGATTTATAAATGAAAAGTGATGTATAATAATAAAGCAGGAGGAAATTCTTGAGTTGCAACATGCTCCCCTGCCCACTCCCCTTGCAGGGTAAGATGGGTTTCACTGTGGGCATCTTGCTCAAAGTTCTGGGGTTGTCACCAAGCACATGGTGGGGAAATGACGAATACAATCCTGGATGCTTGAAAGTCCCTGCCCTGCATCCACTCTCCTACAGCATATGTTCCAAACAGCCTGTTGTTTCACACCCTGCAACTGGTGGGAGAATATTTTGAACTGTTGATAACATATCTCAAGAGCACTGTGTTTCTTCTTACATAGCTTTAACCCAGAAAACTGTTTCCTATCAGCAGAGACTGGGCTGTTGCTAATTCAATGAAGGCAACAGACAAAGATGGAGAGGAGCCTCCAACATTGCTTCAGATCCCACTTGGCTGATCAGTTTGGGGTGGATGTGCTGCTTCTTCTAATTCAACTGGTGTTAGGAATTGTTTAAATGTACTGTTTTAACACGTCTTACAAAAATTACGAAAACGGTGAGGAACTTTTTCAGCCCAAGGACCTCATTCCAGTCAGTGGTGGGTGGGGCCAAAGGCAAAAGTGGGTGTGACAACAGATGTGACAGAAGCCTGCCATGCGAGAGTCAGCTCCCTATGCTTCCCCGTCTTCAATTCAGGAAAACAAAAGGCATGGAGGGATATGGTCTGAGGAGAATCCAAAGGGCCCAATAGAGAGGCCTGGAGGGCCACATTTGGGGGACACTTAGGTTCCTCACCCTTAAATTACTGTAAGCTGCTTGTTACTGTAAGGATTGATGGAGCAGACCATTTTCTATCAGTTTTTGCAGGTCTTTATTTTATAAGTCCATTCTGTTCCGTGGCAGCATGAATCTGAAAGCTTTTTATTATTATTATTTTTTAAACTCCCCACAAGGCTTCAAATGCATACTGAAAGGTGTTTCATCACAAAATGCACATCTAAGCATGCTTTTTACCTCAATACATGCATTTCTAAAGATGTTTAATATAAAATGCAGACTTTATGACTTTTGCTACAAGAACTGCAATACAAAATGCACAAAATTGAAAAGTGGATCACTTTACGGTCCTTTTTCTCAGTCCGGGAAGTACAAATCAGGTCAGTTGGCTTAAAAATGTGGGCCATACAAACTTCTCTGCCACCCCTGGTTTGGACACATTTATAGGGGGTGCCTCTATAGTGTAATAAAAGACATAAATAAATGCAGCTCAGGCAGTGATCCTCTGTACAAGAACTGGGGGTGTTACAAGCATGGCTCTCTTTTCCTTTATGAAATCATAAAGGCTACAGTATTTAACCCGACCCTTCTGGGACCTGACACAGCCTCAGAACATTATGATCGGCCTTATACAATATCAAGTCATCTACTTATTCACGCAGCACATAGGTAGACTGTGGAATTCTCTCCCACAGGAGGCAGTGATGGTCATCAACTTGCATGGATTTAAAAGAGGATTGGAGAAACTCATGAAAGCTAAAGGCTATCAATGGCTACTGGCCCCAATAGCTATGCTCTGCCTCCGCGGTCAGAGGCACTAATGCTTCTGAATAACAGTTGCTGTAAACCACAGGAAGGAAGAGGGCTCTTGTGCTCGAGTCCTGCTTGCGGGTTTCCTACAGGCATCTGGTTGGCCACTTTGAGAACAGGATGCCGGACTAGATGGGCCATGGGCCTGATACAACAGGACTCTTATTATGTTCTTATATTTGTTCTCTGTCCTCCGCTCTCCCTCTACATCTGTTTCCCCTCTCCAACCCCCTCCCATCCCACCCACCTACCCAAATGAAACACAGGCCAATTTTTTTTGGGGAGGGGGGGCGACGACAAGGAGAGAACCACAAAGGAACCCTGGCTAAAATACTTATAACATGCAAGGTTTGTGAAACTTCACATCAAGCAAATAAGAGGCACTGACAGGTGTCACACTACAATGTGTGTGTGGGGGGGTCATCACCCAATTTACACACAGCACCCATATTATCTCAGGCCTGTGGCCACAAATGTTGCAATGAAGGAGAGGGTGTGTGTCTAAGGGTGTATGTGAGGTGTGGGGGTGGAGAAATCCATTCAGAAATTATCAACAACCTAAATCTGGCTTCACCCACCTGACACCAGATGTTTGGGACTCCTATTCCCACCAGCTGAAGACTGATGGATTAGATAACAGTATTTATTGGTACATGAGGAAATGGGGGAAAGTCTTAGCCGGGCCACTAATCCATTTGGCTCAATGCTGCTCACGCTGACTGACAGCAACTGCCCAGTGTTTCCAGGCAGGGGACATTCCCAGGCTTATCTGGAGATGTCAGGGACTGAACCCGCAACCTTCTTCGTGCAATGCAGATGCTCTACCATGGGCTTTCAGATTGTTACTTCCTTACATGCCCCTTGACAGGGACATGAAGAGCCCAGGTGCACGAGGCTCCCGCTTTGCTAAAGTTAAGCAGGCCCCAGTCTGATCAGAGCCTAGAAGGGAGACAGTCTGGGAACCATGTATGAAATAAATCAATTAATTAACATGCACTGTTTTGGGTTCCACGGTGGAAGAAAGGCCGCATGCAAAATGAACAAATAACTTCCAACGTTTCACAGACTAAAATTGGGCATCCTTATTCTCACCCCAAGGAATTTCCCTATCCTCTCATATTCCTGAAGGCTCCAACTGCTATATGATTTTGTATCCATTTACTTTGCAGTAGCACCGTTTCCAAAAGCAACAACAAGAAGAAAAGGAAGACTTTTGGCTAAAGATACGTTTGGAAAACAGACTTTCGTCCTACAATCTGTTATCAACAGTTACTTTTAACAGTTACACAGGTGAACTTTGCCAGTGTGTGAAAAATGGCAGGCTGTGTGAGATATGCAGGTGCTACATGCACTCGAGACAAGCTGCCTCCGCCCTCCACAGTTGAACTTATATAGGTATAACACATGGGTAGGCAAACTAAGGCCCGGGGGCCGGATCCGGCCCAATCGCCTTCGAAATCCGGCCCATGGGCGGTCCGGGAATCAGCGTGTTTTTACATGAGTAGAATGTGTCCTTTTATTTAAAATGCATCTCTGGGTTATTTGTGGGGCATAGGAATTCGTTCATTTTCTTTTTTCAAAATATAGTCTGGCCCCCCACAAGGTCTGAGGGACAGTGGACTGCTGAAAAAGTTTGCTGACCCCTGGCATAACACCAGGGACCAGAAAACAGAGCCTGTTTCTTGTAAGAAGGTGTATGGGAAACCCTGTCCACACACTACAAACTAAATTAGTTTGATGCCACTTTGGTCAGGCAGGCATAGTGTCCCCCCCCCTTTGCCCAAAGAATCCTGGGAATTCTAGTCTTGCAAAGGTGCTGTTGTTCTCCATTTACAGATATCTGGCAACTTCACAAGCTACTGCTCCCAGTTGGGGTGGAGGGAGAAAACTGCCAGGCTTAAAGACTAACAAATAAATTTGTTAAAGGCTAACGAACAAATTTGTTAATGGTTCCCCAAGGTACTTTTTGCTGTAAAAAAAAGTTATCATAGAACTCAGCTTACACCCCAATAAATCTGTTCATCTTTCAAATGCCACAGGGCAGTTGGTTGCCTGTGCTGCAGCAAATGAGTGATTAAACAAGGTGAGACACGGGAGATCCAGGACCAGTTCTCCAGATCTTTCCTTTAAAAACAAACAAAATGCAGGTGGGAAGGAATTGGATCAGGGACACAGCACTGTGCGGGAGGGTTATGAGAGCAGGAGGTAATAACCCTTTCTCCCTGCACAGTTCTCCCTCTCAATCATCTAAAATACACACACATTGTTGGTCAGTATTTGTCCCATCAGGAGAGAATTATAGTTATACCTGTAAGTTGTCCCATGAGAGCAGAATAGGAGACTGTAAACTAGAAATACAAGGAACTCAGAACCCCCAACCAACTTTTCTTCTTCTTCCAAAATTGTCTAGTTTGGCCCTTATAATGACCCACCTAACCTAATATTTTCAGCTCCAGCCTCCTCCAATCCAGATGTTTGGGACTACAAATGCCATCAGCCCCACCCATTGCTGACTGGACCCGATGAGATGGTAGCTGAAGTTCCAAACATCTGGAAGGCCCCAGGGTTGGGGAAGGCTGCTCTCCTCTGACTGGCAGCGTGACTCCAAGGTCTCCAGCTGAGAAAGGGTCTTTCTGATGCATCATCAGCTATTCCATCCCTTCAGATGCTGCCAGCAACTGAATCTGGGACCTTTGCAGGTGCTCTTCTACTGAGCAACCGTTTACGTCTATTAATTAGAATATGCTCACATCAGTCACTCTACGTTGCTGATTTTCTCTTCAATTCAATTCCATTGCAAAGCATAAGGCTTAACCGAAAAATACACTCTCTTTTCCAAAGGCATTTAGTGTTCCATGTTCAGCTCCAGGCATCTCAGTTAAATAAAAGGGCATGGACAAATCTGGAAAGATTCAGTGGAGAAGCTACAGAAGGTTTTGAGAACAAAAGGATGACCAATGAAGAAAAGTCAGGACTGCCCAGTGAACTAGACACTAGCCTCCCAGTTCTGGGCTGGGCCTTAGTCACTGCTTCTCTGCTTCCAACCTGAAAAACTTCAAGCAGAGCAGGTCCAAGTGGCAAGAAACATGCGTAAATGTGTTGAAGGGTGCTGGAGTCCCACTGGGGTTGCCATTACCCCGCATGGCTCTAATCTCAGGGTTCGGTTCTTTGTTGAAAACAATCACATAAAAGTTCTAATGAAAGTATTTTAGAGTTCTACATGAAGATAGGCAAACTTCAGTTTTGGGGGGATATATTATAAATGTGAAATCCACCACCCTGGTCCACAAACCCAACAACACAACATACACGTAATATTTCCTCTTCCCTTCCCATTCCTTTTTCCTTTTGTATCATGTCCATTGGATTGAGACCCTGAGGACAGGGGCTGTCTCATGTTTTTAAAGGATGTACAGTGCTTTTGGAAATTTGATGTGCTCTTACAAATATAATAATGGTAATAGAATATTGAGCCCTGCAATTTGTTTTGTGTACAAGAAATGAGATGAACTTGCAGTCCTTCTATATCAAAACCCACTCCTGGTTACCCCAATTTCTTCATTTCAGCAGTACAATTTAGGCTGGCTGCTCAACAACTGGAGGCAATTTCATACCACTGCAGCATTGCCAGTAGGATTCAATTGCATACCGGCAAAATGCACTGGAAAGTGTTGGGTTGAAGTTTGCTTGACACTGTTTAACCTCCCCACAAACAAACCAGAATGAATATGCAATATGCAGCCTGCTTCTTATACCCTCCCTGTAAGCTCTGGGCAAACAAATATGGGGAAACGCTCAACAAACAGGTCGTTTGGAAGTGAGCAGCCTGCAAGTCAGAAACCCAGCAGTCACACGGAGCCCCTCCAGCAAAACCCAGATCAACCTTCGCCCTGAAAAAAACACGATCGGTGCGCGACCCCCCACCAGCTCGTAGCAGCAACAGAAAAACCTCCCCAGGCAAAAGCAAAACAAAAAAGTTGCGGAAAGAAACTCGGCCTCGAGTTCTCTCCGGCCCCGCACCACCTTAAAGAGCCGTCTCCAAACCGCCACGCAGCCAGCAGGAAAACGCGCCCTCCCCCACAAGCAGCACACGCCTCGGCAGGCTCTATTTTGGGAATTGCCAAAAATAAAAAAGATCCAAGAATAAAGAAAGAAATCCGTCGGAAAGAGGGGATCTGAAGCCCCCGGACAGGAAAACGCGCACAATGGTTTGAGTGCGCGCCCAAGAGCCCAAGAGCCGGGCCAAGAGGGGAGCTTGGGGGTCCCGGCTGAACTTCCCCCCAACACTATCCCTCGCCTGGAAAGGGGGGCGGGCGGGAGGCTACCTCTGCGGTTCGCGGTTCCAGCCAAGCCCGCCGGATCCCTCCCTCCCTCCCGGCCCTGCGGAGGAGCGGCTAATTTTAGCTCTCCAGTGGAAAGACTGAAGCGCAGCGGGACTCACGGCGCGGGGCGGAGACGCGCGGGCGGCGGCGGCGGCCTTTCTTTCCACGTCTGCGCCTCGACGGCCCTGGATCGGGTCCGAGAGGCTATTGCGGGAGCAGTTCGGGCAAGGCTCAGGCGCGCTCGGCTCTCGCCCTCCCTCCAAAGGCCAGCCTCGCCTCTCTCTCCTTCCTTGGCCCAGACCCTGCCCCGGGATGGTGGCCCGGCCGGGGCTGGCTAAAGGGCAGCGACAGCTGCAGCGCCGCAGAGCGAGAGGCGAGGAGCGCACGCGGGCAGGACGTGGGGGGGGGGGGCTGGAGCAGCTGCCCGAAGCCAGCCGGGGCTCTCTCGCTTCCTTTGTGGCCGAGAGGAGGAGGAGGAGGAGGAGGAGGAGGAGGAGGGAGGGCAGGCGCGCGCGTGTGCATGAGCCGGGTGGAAATTTGGCCGCCCTCTGGCTTTGGCAGGACGGGCTCCCCGAAAGGGATCTTGACATTTTGGTGGGAGAGGCGGACTCGTGGGCCCCTCAGGAGAGACGGATCCTGGCCGGAAGGTTTCGATTCCAGCGCACAGAAAAACCCGTCGCAATATCAGGAGTGCCCTGCTGGATCAGGCCAAGGGCCCATCTAGCATCCTGTTCCCACAGGGGCCCCTGAGGTGCCTCAGTGGGAAACAGGCAAACACAAGCGCACTCTCCGCTTGCGGGGGCTTCCAGAAACTAATATTCAGAAGCGACTCCTCAATGAATGAGTCCAGTCCTCTATTAATAGAACCATTAATATTAATTAATAATCTATGAATAACAATCTATTAATAATAGCCACTCAAGTTGGTGCCCATCACCACCTCCTGCAGGAGTTCCAAAGTTTAACTATGTGCTGAGTGAAGTTCTTTCTTTTATCTGTACTTCATCTTCCACCATTCAGCTTCATTGGACTTCCACCAGTTCTAGTGTCATGAGAGAGGGAAATTACAAAAAAGGATGGCCTTTCTCCATGTACACTCAGAAAACGAAAGGTGGGGGGCTGCACTTAAACAACACACCTGCTGAAATTCCACCCAAACACACCACAGTATGTCAAAGGACATGCATTGTTTTTTCTTAAATAACCTATGCCATATTCTAAAAGGGGAGGCTATGGAGAATGGGTGGGGGCGGGGTGGGTGGGGGCGGCAAGCTTTCATTACTAAACATCAAGGAATCCTCTTGGGGTGGCTACTGGATGTGGGATCGGGAACATTGTGTTTTGGCATTTCTATTCATCCCTCACTGGCAAATTCCAGGTGGTGGTACTTCCGGGGTGGTGGCGAATTATTGCTCTGCTTCATGGCATTTATGCTAGGCTGTATCACATAGATCAGTGTTGTCCTCCACTGCTGAATGCTGTATACTCCACCCATGTATCCTGAAGACACCCATCTCTTAGTTCCCTTTTTCATCAAATTCAGGGAATGCTGTTGGAAATTATGAACCAATGCTCAGCCAATAAGGTGAAACTCAGCCATGATAAGATGGAGATGCTGTGGGCAGGTGCTTTGTCCGATTTAGGAAACAGCAGTGCAGCATGTTCTGGATGGTGTTTCATCCAGACTTGCCCCTTGTGCGTGCTATTAAGACTGTCTCTACAGACCCCAGTAGCCTTGTTGGCACAAAGCACCTTTCAGCAGCTTAGGTTGGTGTGCCAACTATGGGCTATCCCAGATGAAGATAGCCTCCCATAGTATCCATGCTTGGAAACATGCTTTGACTACTGCAACATATCCAATGTGGCACTGCCCTTGAAGACTATGCTGAAATTGTAAGTTAAAACAAGAAGTAGCGGTGAGGCCTTTGGGACTGGCTACATCAAATGCATCACATCAGCCCTGAAAGGGTGCCACTGGAGGATGGAAAGATGTCTGTGGGTGCAGAAGGCCCTGACCTGTATGTTGCTGGAATGGAAAGGTAAGAATCACATCCATTTCCCCAGCCCTATTTTGGTATGTGGCCTTTGGGCTGAGAAAGTTCCATATCCTTACATTAAAGGAACTTGAGTGGTACTGCTGGGAAAATCCCATCCCACAGGCTGCCAAGCAGACAATTCTGGAGCCAATGGGCCTAGAGATGTCTTATCTCAGTGCTTCTGGCATTCCTATGATTTGCATCTCACTCATTTCCTTGGAGCAGGAAGAGCTCTCCAGTTGCCTCCAGGGTGGGAAACCTCTGGTTCTCCAAATGTTGCTGGACTTCAGCTCCCAGCAGCCAGCATGGCCAATGGTTGGGGATTATTATGGAAGTTTGGAGTCCAGCTTCAAACATTGGCTTGTTACAGCAGTAAGTGGTTAAGATTAACCACTGTTTAAGGTTTGAGCATGGGTCACTTGTGTGTTTTCTTCTAAGCGCTGTTACAGGCTGAAGGCTTAATTTCAGTTTTTCCAATGACTTTCTGCTTGTGGTTTTATGGTTGCGAACCACTTAAAGAGATTTTGTTATATTAAGCACCATATAAGTTATTAAAATGAATGAAATTAGTCCAGATGTTCTACCATCCCCATTGTACAAGAAATTAAAATATCAATGCTTTCGATTCTGACCTTGCAGGGCGAACATTAACAAAAATGACTCTGTTGAACAATGTACATTTCAAATGCATCAAGTCTCAAATACCTTCCACATACACGCCCCCCGGCCACCGCCCTCCTCCGCCCCCCCCCCCCGGTCTTAAAACCATCATGAACTTAAGATGCCCACATTTACAGCGCTGGGTTCATTTTCATATGTATATATATATTTTGTTCCCTCCTATTGATTTCTGAACAGCAGAATGTACATTACACAAAACCAAAAACCTTTATTAAATTAAAAAGAAAGAAAGAAATAGTTTTCCCAGTACTCTGCATGCCACAAATCTCATTACAGACGGAAAAGATGCTAGCGTTTACGGTAAGGGCACTAAAACAAGGATATAAATTACAACTTGAAGGAAAATATATATTTATATAAAATGTGCCCATACATTTCTCTAGCTTCACCGCCCCTACTTTACCTTACTCCCTCAGTTTTCTTGAAAGTCATGAAGATAGCTTTAGGAACAACCTGGAGAGCCAGCATGGTATAGTGGTTAGAGTTTTGGACTAGGACCTGGTCCCAATTCAGCTATGCAGCTTGCTGGGTGACCTGGGAACAGTCACTGCCTCTGAGCTTGACTTACCTCACAGGGTTGTTGTGAGGATAAGATATGGTATGGTTGCCATATCTTGAAGAGCAAAAAAGAGGACAGCCCAGCTGCTGCCAGCCCGAGCCTGAAAAACCCAGACATTTCCTTTAAAATATAAAAATATGTCCAGATGGGCACTTTGGGCCCCAAAAAGAGGGCATATCTGGGTTTTCCCAGACGTATGGCAACTCTGAGATATGGAGGAGGAGAAAATCAGTAGGGTTTTGCTCTCAAATCACCACTGGATTTCTCTCACACGAAAGTGGAAATGGTGCAAAAAGTCGCATTAGGAGTAGGATTCACGCAGGCCAGATTCTTGCAGATTTTAAGTTATGATAAAAGTGAATCACAGAAACCTGGCAGATTCAGGAATCAGATCTGGCAGGGGAAAAGGGGAAGCACCCCCCACCCCATGCTGAACTATAGCTAGTCAAGTACATGCAGAGGTCAACGGGCAATTCCTATCAGGATCAGGACTGGACCAGTTTGGAGTGCTGAACCAGCGTGGGTTAGGGGTTAAAGTGTGGAGCCATGACTTTGGAGACCAGAGTTCAATTCCCAGCTCAGCCCCAAATCTTGCTGGGTGATCCATGAGCCAGTATTAATCTCTCAGCCTAACCTACCTCAGAAGGTGTTTGTGAGGATAAAATGGGGAGGGGGAGAATTACACAGGCCACCTGGCACCGCTAGGAAGAAAGGAGGGATATAAATGTCAAAAACCAAAACCCTCAAATCTTCCATAATCGGATGGTTTTGTTCTTGTTTCCTACTTTGCCCAAGCGTATGCCTTTCAAAATGCAATTAGCCCAATGGCAGATGCTGGAACTGTGATGGCTGCCTCCTTGCTAGTATGTTAGCCGTCTGACCAGTAAAATCCCATTCCAGTGGGCTTCCCTGGGGTCTGAAAACCAAGGCTGCCTATTGGGACTGGGCCACTTCTTTCCCCACACTGGCTCTGCTCAGGGAGGTCAATATTTCCAGAATCAAAATCAGCAGTCCTCATTCTCTTTACAATGGTACCTCGGGTAACATATGCTTCAGGTTACAGACTCCGCTAACCCAGAAATATTACCTTGGGTTAAGAACTTTGCTTAAGGATGAGGGAAACAAATCGTGCAGCGGCAGCAGGAGGCCCCCATTAGCTAAAGTGGTGCTTCAGGTTAAAAACAGTTTCAAGTTAAGAACAGACCTCCAGAACGAATTAAGTTCTTAACCCGAGGTACCACTGTATTTTCAAGGTTTTGGAGCTGAAACATTAAAGTTGTGGGCTGGCAGTCTCCTGAGATGGAAACCTCAGATAGCATCAGTAATGGTATCTGACAGACCATGAGGGTGGGGTGGGAGGGAGGGGGCAGAGAGAATTTCCCAGTAGCCACTAATGGCCAAAAGCCTGGGAACATTAATTCCCTCAGATCCTGACCATGTGTCCTGCTCCCTGGGAGCTTCTCACCACCCCCTTGACCCAAGGAAGCACAAATTTCTTATTTCTTATTTTTATTTCAGGCATCTGTATGCCAAATAACCAAGTTCTCAGGGTGGCTTAGGCCGAGATTAACATCAGAGTTACAATATATGAAATAAAACAGGTCAACAATCTCTTATATACCCAACCGGGAGGGGAAAAGAGATTCCTCCCTTCTCCCAAACTCCACCCCCGCCTTTCCTTTTCTGTGCAAAGCAAAAGAAGCCCAGAGACACGGAAAAGGTTGCCAACTTTCACTCTTTTGCCTCAGTTCCTGTGGTGGTAACAACAGGCAGATGTGGAGAGACCATTTATTTGTTTGTTTGTTTGTTTGTTTGTTTGTTTGTTTCACTTTTTCCCCACCTCTTCACCATGGAGTTCAAGGTGGCACACATTGTTCTCCCTCTCCTCAGTTAATCCCCACACCAACCCTGTGAAGTAGGTTAGGCAGAGAGGCCGTGACTGGCCCCAAGTCACATCCAGTGAGCTTCACAGCCAAATGGGTATTTGAACCCTGGTCTCTCAGATCGTAATCTGAAACTCTAACCACTACACCACACTGACTCTATTGGTGAGGCTTTCTCCTGGCATGGAGGTGAAGTAATGGGAACAAGTTCCTCCCACTTAATTTTGGGGAGCGGCTGTCTGGAACAGCACAAGACAGAAGTGGGGAACCACAGACTTGGGAGGCAAATGTGCCCCCCAGGTATCCTTATCTGGCCCTCGCAATTTTCCCCATGCTACACCCCTCACCGGACTTGATTCACCCCCTCCTCAGGTGTTTTTTTTCCTTGTCGCATCATGCCCCTGAACTCCGGATAATGCCTCTTGCTTCCTTGGATGGAAGATAGGGAGGGGCCTGCAGATGTGGGCAGAAACTAGCCTGCTAGCAGAGGCAGATTTAGGGGAGCATGACCAGTTTTGTCACACTGGGGCCCTTGGAAGGTTGCCCAGAAGAGAATGTGGCCCTAGGGCTGAAATAAAAGTTCCCCAACCCCGGCATAGGAGCAGGGCTAGCAAAATGAATGGGCAGCTCTGGATGCTTGAGCTAAATTGCAGGAAAACCAGAAGCTAACAACTCGGGTGGAACAGTTTTGAACCATAACTCTCATTGGCCTGAGGAGAGGTTTCTTGTGCTTTTACCAGTGCTTTTTCAGTACTGAAAAGGGGGTGAAAGCACAAGAAACCTCTCCTCAGGCCAATGAGAGTTATGGTTCAAAACTGCTAGGGGGCACCAGGTTGGGGAAAGCTGCATGAAGACACTGAGTTCTATGGTTCTCCTCTGTAAGGCCCGTGGGCTGGCCAGCCCTTACTTGAACCAGACTGCAGTCCCTTGTCCGTCTGTCCCTTCTCAAAAGAGGAATCGGTCCATACCTAAAAATACAGGCCAGGAACTGGTCCTTCACCCTCAGTCCATCTCCAAAGGGATGATTCTCTTTGAAGCCTGTTCTTTGTGGGTGGACCACCGGCCTTGAGTGCCTCCAGACTGTGGCCCAGCCTGAGCAGAACATGCCACAAGGTGTCAATGACATGCTTATGCTCAATTTGGCCAGGGGAGCAGCTGGCACAAGTGGGTGGGCTCTTGTCAGCAAAAGCTCTTGGCACAGTAAATCAGTTGGCCTTTCAGGTGCCCGAAGACCCTTTGTTGCCTCGTTCCCCTTCCATCTGGCGTTGAGCAGAACTCTCTCTCTCTCTCTCTCTCTCTCTCTCTCTCTCTGTGTGTGTGTAATTACCAAAAAAGAAGAAGAAAAAGCATTAGCAATGGAAAATGCCTTTGCCATCAGCCTGCATCAGAGCCTGGAGCGTGAGGCACCCAATTCCTACAGACAACAGGAGCTGCAAAAGTTTTCCCGACCCTTCTGGAACAACCAAGTAATCTCCTTAGCGCTAATCGATAAGGCATGGCCAGGGTGAAGTGCCAGCCCTAATCTTACTTGTCAAACAGAAGGTGGCAAAGAATTAACCCCGCCTGGCCTTTTGTGCGCCTTGTTTATGGGACACGTTCGGCTTTTATTTTATTTTTTATTTACAACTTGGGGGCGGGGGGAGAAGACGGTTGCCTTTCGCAGCAAGCGGTTCCAATGAAAAGGCTTGATTTAACAGCAAACCATACAAGTATGCTCTCCCTCCCCGCAAAAACAACAGACACACGCGTGCACACACACAGCCTAATGCACTCAAGCTAACCAAGGTCACACCAGGTCAGCTGTTCCCTTCGTGGAGGATAGAAGAGGGCTGGCAACGGGTGGCAGGGAGGTGAATTAAAGTGACACAGCTGCGACAGCAGCTTGCACCACCACCACTCCTCAGCATCCCCATCTTTCCATGCTGGACTAACTTGGCTGGTCATGCATCACCAACAAACACAACAGATTTGCATAAAATATGCACAGGCTAATTTATCATGCACTGCTGCAGATTTAGGCTGTGTACATACACAATGTACCTTTGCAGCACATTTGAATCGCATTCTTTCCCTCAAAAAATTATGCGCTCTTAAGGTACAGTGTGTCTACGCAGCCTCAGAAATAATTGCTCTCATTTAAATAGAGACACATCTCATGGTATGGAGAAAGACTGATCAGGTGAGCTGTATGCAGGCCCTCAGTCTGCTGTCCGGGAGGTGTTCATTATGATGATAATTTATTTATATGCCACATAATGAGCCAAAATAGTTTACAAGGGAGTGTGTGTGTGTGACACAAAAAATATAAACATCCATTAAAAAAACAACTGTTGATAGACAATTTCAACATCCCGCTCTCCCTTCTTAGGGTTTAATCAAATGTGGAGCAGACTCAGTCCTTCCAAAGAGAGGACTGTACTCAGTAGGACTCTCCCTCCCCATTCAACATGCCAGATGCTACAAGCCAAAGGCAATTTTGTTCAGAGCCAGTAGTCTAAACAGAAAAATGAGTCTAATTTGATAACCATTTCATTTCTGTAAATATACCGTCAGGGTTCAAATAATGCTTACGGTATTGATTACATTGCTATTCAAACTCTCCTCCAAGGAGCTTACGGCTTCTCTCCCCGCCCTGCTTCCACTCAGTTTTATCCTCACAACAACCCTGTGAGGTAGGTTAAGACTGAGGTATATAACTGGCTACCCAAAGTCATACAGTGAGCTTTCATGGTTGTTAAGATTTCAGCCTAGGTCTCTAGCCCATCAGTTTCAATGCTACACCACACTGGCTTGTGGTAGCCCAAGGGAAGGGAAGGCCAACTGGAACACACCCCTGGACTCCACAATACTATTATAACAACCTCCCTCAGGTTCAAATGCAGCTTGCTATGTGACACAGCAGAAGCACTCAAATAAAGTAAGCCCAAAGTCCTTCTGGATTCAACAAATTGTTTTTCACAATTCTTTGGATCCAGGACATGGTCTGTAATGTTTATTCAAAGCTGGCAAAAGTGCAAGGGACAAAGAAAGGGGAGAACTTTCCAAAAGTTTGCCATTCTTTCCTTAGGATGAGAACAAGGCAGACCCATCTAGTCCCTCACCCTGTTCTCCTCAGTGACAGCCACCAAACATGTCTCCTGGAAGCCCACAAGCATGGCATTCAGGCAACAGCTCTCCCCAGCATCTGACACTCAGTGGCATACAGCCTGTGGATACGGAGGGCCCTACAGCTCAGCCTTTGCCAACCTGGCTCCCCTCAAGATGTGACAGCCTACAACTCCCATCAGCCCCAGTCAGCTAGGGGCCAATGGGAAGACAGCTGTGCTCACTGGAGGTGACAGATATTGTAGGCCAAAATATTTGGTGGGCAAAGGCTGCTAAAACCCATCATGCTAGCACCACCAGATGGACCACATTTCTCTTTCCTGAAAGTTACTAGTCCCTTTTTGAAAAATAGATTTTAGTTGTTTTGCGACAAAAACAAAACAAAGTATAGCATCATAAACATACATGCAGCATACAGTTATGAGCATTGGTTAGATCTCTGAAGCATAGTGGACCTGCAACTTACACAAGGGTTCACACGCAAAGGCAGAATCACAAAAAAGCTAGGAAGTTCCCAGAATTGTTGCCTGCACGACCATCCCTACCTATCCAGAGCTCTGGGATGGTCATAAGAAGTCTCAGATTGCCCCTTCTGACTCCCCCACCTCCATTTATTTATTTTCTTACCACTTGTCCCTCAGACCTCGTGGGGGACCGGACTATATTTTTTGGGGGGGAAATGAACGAATTCCTATGCCCCACAAATAACCCAGAGATGCATTTTAAATAAAAGCACACATTCTACTCATGTAAAAACACGCTGATTCCCAGACTGTCCACGGGCCGGATTTAGAAGGCAACTGGGCCGGATCCCGCCCCCAGGCCTTAGTTTGCCTACCCATGCCATAGAAGAAGAAATTTTAGAAAAACATGAATGTAGCAATCCACAAGCGGTGGAGAGCCTTCCACAATGTGCAATGGCGTGGAAAGCTTCAGTCAGCAATCTGTGCTAAAAGGGGTGGGGGTGGGACATCCCTATTTGGAGGGGATGTCAGATCAGGAGGGGCAGAGGTAGTTGCAACAATCATAATAACATGAACAGGATACAGCAGCAGCAGCAGCAGCAGTGTTTTCATGTGTGTGTGTGTGTGTTGCAAGAGCATCCAGGCTCACCCTAGGCCTGCCAATCCACAGAGCAATGTGACTGTTAGAACCACGAGTTTCAGTCTCACTGATCAACTTCCTTCTTGCACAGGGAGAGACAGAAGTGAAACCAACAGATGGATGAATGTTGGAAGGGCAAGAGGTAAAAACAATGTTTGTGTGTATGCGCTTTGCGGGTGGGTTGAAGAGAACAAACACCTCTCAGAGTGGCCACAAACATTAGTGGTCAGGGCGTTATTTAAGAGCCTTGTTGTAATACTGCATGCGGGGGTGGGGAGCCAAAATCCCCTTTTCTGTATCACAATTAAAAAAGCATAGGAGCTCAATCCTCTACGAAGCATCTGGTCACTCTGCTGGCATAGGCAGAAAGGACTTGTCAAGAAAGACTTAAGTGACCTGGTCAAAAGTTAAAATGAACCAAATCACGTTTTGTTGTTGTAGGTCAGAGTCCTGGACCCAGGTCACCAAAAGTTGACAACCTGTGCACTTCATATGTTTTTATGTATGGATTGCCCCTCATGTGAAATATCAGGGCAGCGTATACAGAACATCTTCAAGACACCTGAAGCAGGTTAATAGCCAAGATGCCTGCCCAAAATCTGCAGGAGAGTGTTTCTCTGCATAGGGCTGGCAACACTCAATGCCCAATTTCTAGTTGAAGTTAGTGGGGTTCCTGAAACATGGGGGGGACTGACTAACAGCACTTCCCCCAGGAGATGTCAGTGATCAAGCTGGGATATAAGAGCTTACTTAGGCAGTCCTTAATGGACCCCAGATTTCATCTGTTTGTGGCTTTCTATATCATTATAAAAACCCTGAACCTGGCCCCATAGCATATGGGCCGATATTTCTGCAGAGGTGTCATATGCTGTCGGTTGTCCGCTCCCATCAACAGTCTAAAGACAAAGATGAATCCAGGAGTACCCCCAAGCTACATATCTGCTCCTTCAGCGGTAATGCAACCCTGTCTGGAACAGGCAATTGGCCTATCTTCTGGACACAGGAGCTATCTACCCACCTTCCCTGGATTGTAGCTCAAGCAACTTTGCCTTCCTGAGAAGAGCGTAAGAAGAGCCCAAGGCCTGAGGCAAACAGGGATCTTTCCTTTGCAAAAGGGAATACCTGATCAAATCGGCACACACAGCACAGTTGTTGTTTGAAGTTCACTATCTAGTTCTCCCCCCACCCCACCAACTTCCCACCGCGAAAGAAAACTGGGTCATAAAAGGATGCTTTTCACCCAGGGCTTGGGTTTAGGATGAGCAGGCGGCGCCCCTCAGCCTAGTAAACAACAGAGGACCTGCATGTACAGAAGCAGCCACATAAGACAGATGGAGTCTGGGGTGCGTTCCCCACTTGGAGCAGACACTTTTGCCCTTCCCAGGCCAACCTTCTGACCTTCAGGTGCTAGATCACACCTAATCCTAGTTCACATCCCCTGGCGCCAGTCCCAGCAAGCACCTTAGGCTGGAAGGCACTGTCCCCAGCTCCAGATTTGGTTACAGACGTCGTTGTCATCACCCCCCTTGCCACTGCCACCTCCCAAGCCTGTCCCTGGCAGCATCAGAGGTGGCAAAGGCAGCCTCGCTCACTCGCCAACTGCGCTCACGTTCCTGCCTGCCAAGTCTCCGCGCTGCCCTCCCGAATTCTCATCTCATTTCTGACCTACTTAACGGCAAAGATTGCAACGGCATTAATGATTTAGAAGCCTCCGGCTAAGCGCATGCCAAGGTAGGCTGCGGCGTTATATAATACTGTCGTTATCTGCCACGCAATGGCACCTACGAGGAGGGAGCTGAGCTGCGCACCCGCTGGATTTACAGGTCTTTGGTTGCTGGTCTGGAACAGGCTTGCCTTACAGATGGCCAATTCCCACGTAGGCGGAGGTGTCACTTCTCACATATCACAGAGTGAACCTCTTCCCCCACCCTAGGCCACTGAACACACTGCAAGCAAACAGACAAGAACAGTGAGTGAGTGTGTGTGTGTGTGTGTGTGTGTGTGCATGTAAAAATATCCCAGGAGGTTTGAAGGCATGGGAAGGAAGCCCTCTCCCATTTGGAAGGTGGGTGTGGGAGGTAGCAGGTAACCTCAAGCAAAGTTTTCTTTTCCAGGTACCTGAGAGCAGAGCTGCAAAATTGAAATAATGAACTTATTCTGCATAACAAGCTAGATTTAGCAAATTACAAGTTATGTATATTTATTTAGCTTCCATCACATATCATGTTTGATAGGAGGGGGTCCAGCAAAGAATTATGTCTTCTGTCCCTTTCTGCCAATGCTAGTGTCCCTACTTTGGCTTCAGAGAACACAGCAGGTGCTGCTCATATGTTTTTTGAAACTTCTAACAGCATCCATGAGGGCTAAAACCTTGCTTGGGTTCTTTCAAATGAAAGGCATGATTGTCAAGCTGCTGAAGTGGGAAGCTATTGCAAGAAAAGGAATAGAGGTTAAACTGAACAAAACCTGACAAACACCACCACCACAAAAAACCCCATAAATGGGAGGTATTATTTTGGGAAGGAAAGCTGTGTATTGATGCTGGTCTCCCCCTCCCTGCTCCTTTCAAAGCGGGAGAGAAACCCAGCAGGTAGGAGATAGCATCCAGAGATGGTCAAAAGGGGCTCAGGAAGTAATGATCAAGCTATAGATCTTTCCTTCCTTCTCTGGCTCACCTACACACAAACACACACTTGCCCTTCACATGAGTCAGCAACTTTAAAGAAAGAATTCAGGCAGCAGGCCCCCACGCCTCCTGCGCAAACACCCTGCTCCCAGGTTGAGTGACAGCTGGGCCTGTCATCGTCCCCATGGAAACCAAACACACACATACAGAGAGCTCCCCAAAAACTGTTTGAAGCAAACCTCTCCTGGCTGGGGGGCAAAACACACAAGTTCAAGTCCCTCTCCTCCAAAGTCTTTGAAAACTGCCAGGAGGGGCAAACTGCTGGATGAGGTTGGAGGGAAAGCAGAAGGGTGGACATAGCCAAAAGGAGGCCACTCCAAGTGGCTTACTTATGGACACAAAATGTGTCCTGCTAAATCGGGCCAAAGGCCCACTGAGCGCAGCATCCTTTTCTCACAGCGGCAAATCTAAATGCCTCTTCTGGGAAGCTCATCATTCAGGCCGGAGACTGAGATCCACCTTCTGGCGGTTCCCTTGTTGCAAAATGTGGTTACAGGAAACCAGACAGAGGGCCTTCTCGGTAGTTGCGCCCACCCTGTGGGATGCCCTCCCATCAGATGGCAAGGAAATAAACAACTATCTGACTTTTAGAAGGCAACTCTGAATAGGGAAGTTTTTTTTATGTTTGATGTTTTACTGTGGTTTGATAACTGTTGAAAGGCGTCAGAGTGGATGGGAGTACCCAGTCAGATGGGCAGCATATAAATTTATATTATTATTACCCAAACAACAACTCTCCCAAGGACTATAGTCACACTTTACATTTAAACCGCTATGATACTACTTGAAGTGGTCATGCCTTCTCCCAAAGAATTCTGGGAACTGTAGTTTGTTAAAGGTACTGAGGGTGTCTAGGAGCTCCCTATCCCCCTCATATGAAGCTAGAGTGGCTTAAACAATCAATCCCTCTTCAACGGGAACTCTGTGAATTACAGCTCCATGAGGGGACTAGACGCCTCCCAATGACTCTCAGCACACTTAACAAACTACAGCTCCCAGGATTCTTTGGGGGAAGCTACTACTGTTTGCAGGGGAACCACAGTGCTTTAAGTGTATGGTGTGAATGTGGCCAAGGTGCGATTCTCAGCAACTGAAATGCAAGATAGCCACTTCCTCCATGAATTTGCCTAATCCCCTTGTAAAGCTATCCAAGTTGGTGGCCATCATTGCCTCTTGTGGGAGGAGGTTCTGTAGGTGAGCTACGCGCTGGGTGAAGTTGTTCTTTCTTGTGTCTGCCTGCCATCCCCTCACATGCCCCATGCAGTGGTCATTTCACCTAACCCAGGAAGTGGGGGGTGGGGTGGGTTATTTGCTTTTAGTTTTAAAGGAAGGGTTTCAAAAGGTTAGGCGAAAAGGCCTTTGGAGGAGAGAGGCAGCAGCTGCTAGCATTCCTGGGGAGGGGAGCTGTGAACATGAGCTGGGCGGCTCTGAATCACCTCACAGCTTTTCTAACCACAGCCTATCCACATTGCCAGGGCCCGGCAGTCAGGCACACCTGCCAAGCCTTGCAATTGCTGCTCAAGCCACAAAATGGAGCTGAAACAGTGGCACCAGAATTTTTGGGCAGGCGCAGAAAGGGTAAAGTATATTTCTGGGTGGGTGAGTTGTGTACCATGTGTTAAAGCTTGGGTAGGCAAACTAAGGCTCCGGGACCGGATCCGGCCCAATCGCCTTCTAAATCTGGCCCACGGAAGGTCTGGGAATCAGCGTGTTTTTACATGAGTAGAACGTGTGCTTTTATTTAAAATGCATCTCTGAGTTATTTGTGGGGCATAGGAATTCGTTCATTCCCCCCCCCCCAAAAAAAATATATAGTCCAGCCGTCCACAAGGTCTGAGGGACAGTCGACTGGACCCCTGCTGAAAAAGTTTGCTGACCCCTGTGTTAAAGTAACAGTATACAAGTACAAACGACAATTATTTTGCACACGTCCAACTAATGTGTGACTGCTGACGTGTGTGGGGCCAGAAATGGAGTCCCCATGCAAAATGGTTGACGCCTGTATGTTAATGCCAAGAGTCCAGCAATGGGGGGCAAACTCCTTGTTTTTTTTGGGGGGGGGCATTTACCTCCTGCCCTGCCTTTCGGTGCTGCCCATGAGCTGAGGGGAAGGCAATAAGGGGAACTGGCACAACTAGCATTTGGGGGCCACTCTAAATGGTCCCCTCCTCCCCAATTATGTACAAAACTTGTGCCAACATAACTGTTCCTACTATTCATACTTGCACAATATACTGGCCCCTGGAAAAATCAAGTGTCCTAACCACCAGGTGCAGCAGTTACATTCAGAAGTGCAGGAACTTTCCAGGGCTGCATTCACACTGCAGTTTATTCCATTTCCCTAACTGCTAATTTCCACACCATATTTGGCCTTTCACATGGCACAAAAACCACTTCTGGAAAACTAAGGGAATATAGTGCACGTTTATCACGCATTTCCATGTTATTCGGTCCCGGGGGGGGGGGGGAATCTGTTTGGAGCCCACTTAAACTTGGAAAATCGAAGGGATAAAATGGCGAAATTTGGGGCAGTACAACAGCATACAGTTCTTTCCTGCCGTTTCCAGAGAATCGTAGAGTTGGAAGGTACCACCAAAGGTCATCTAGCCCAACCCCCTACAATGCAGGAATCTCAACATGACAGATGGCCATCCAACCTCTGCTTTAAAACCTCCAAGGAAGGAAAGCCCACCACCTCTGGTGGGGGAATCATGGGGGAACAGAAGCAGGCATGCGCAGAAAGGGTGTGGGAGTAGCAATGTTGTCCAATGACATTCATTCTTATATCTCAGCATGGTGTGAATGAAGTTTAGTGCATCACACTGGTATATCAGTCAGAAGTACAACTGGGGCCATGACTTTAAAGTTTTGCGGGGCTTTTGAAGGGAAAATGTTGATGGTCATTTCTATAACTTTCCTCAACCTGCTTTGGAATCCAACACGGGAGGGGAGTAAAGGAATGTAGGATACCATGGGATCATTTCCAGGTGTCAGGATGTGGCTGTGAGCTTCGGTTTGATTCCTTGGTGTCCGCAAGGGGCCCACAGCTATATATTTGCCTGAGAGATTCCGCTCTTCAAACGATACTTCCTAGAGCCCCGGCATAGCTAGTTTTCCCTCTTGATCAAACCAGTGCAATAGCTCAATGGCAGAGCATCTGCTATGTGCGCAGAAAATCCCAGGGGTTGATCCGTGGCATCTCCAGGTAAAGTTGAGAGAGACCCCTGCCTAAAACCCTGGAGAGACGCTGCCTAACAGTGCAGACAGTACTGAGCTAGATGGATCAATGGTTTGACTCAGTATAAGGGCAATTTCCTATAATCCTACATCTCCTGCCTCTGGAATCCAGTCCTAAACTTCCAAGCTACACTCCCTTACCTGCCAGGAATCACCCTCTCATTCCCAGCCTCTGCTTCTTGCATCTGAGGGTCTGAGCTTCCAGAAACTTGGCAACCCTCCTTTACAGGAAATCAGCCTTCTCTAACTTGATGCCCTCCAGTGCTGGTTGGCACTGATGGGAACCGGAATCCAAAATATCAGTACAACTTCCACCAGTCCCAGCCATTTTTGGACTATAACTCCCATTAGCCCCGATACAACTCCCAGCCAGCATGCACATATTTTGCCTGGGGCTGACAGGGTTGCCAGGTCGGAAGTATGCCAGATCCTAAGATTTCAGGGCCCGAACCTGAGACTTAAGAGGCCACCTTTAGTGACATCATGGAGCGGGCTCAGCAGATGTAGGTTAATTGGGAGAGGGAAGCAGAGGAGGGCAAACCCCCCCCCCCAAAAATTGTCTATGCTATAATTTGCAGCCAGCTCTTGCTGGGCTGAAGCTTGCAATCTGCATGTACAGTCTTTTTTATTTTTATTAAAGGCACTCCTGGCCACCTGGAGATTAAAGCCCTCCAGCTGCCACCTGGAGGAGGCCAGGAAAACCTGAAGACTTCAGGTCAGACCTGGAGGTCTCACTTCTCTAGCTGTCATCCAAAACATCTGGAGGGTACCAGGTTGGGAAAGACTTCAGTCAATAAAGAAGAGGGTGCAGGGAGGAGGAATACAGAATGAAGGCAGACAGTTTTCTTATGGACTTTGGATGAATGAGCCAAGATGGCAACATTCATAATGTGCCAACCTGCAAACCTCAGAGAACTGGGTTTCTATCATTGGGAGGGGAATGAACCTTTTTCATGATGTTCCCCCTCCAAAAAAAGCCTCTCCTTCCCAATTTGTTCAGTCCATGATAATCACATCAACCTGGGGGGCTCTATATGCCCATGATGTACATTTCTGTTAATGCCCTAAATGGAGATACTACAACCCACGCCATTTATTTCAGTCTTTTCTGCCGTTGCTACATGACTATATTTATCCCTGTTTTCTCACGTTCAAGCCCTGCAAGGGAGGTGGGACAGCTATTTCCCCCCCGATTCTGGATGACATCAAGCTTGCAAACAACATTTGCCTCATTTGAGGGCGGGGGCCTAGCTCCGTGGCAAAGCCTGAGTCTTATACGGATACAGAAGGTGCCAATCCACAGCGTTTTCAGAGGAAATAATGCTAGGCTAGGATGTGCTTGTGGGAACAGCCTCCCCTTGAGACCTCAGAGAGCCAGCGGCAATAGAAGGCTAGAGATGCACCAATATTCTGATTCCGAATAAGGCAGGTTCATATGTTCACTCATTGCTAGCAAGCTAACAGAGTGAACACCCTCATACATCCAGAAGGCCACTAGTTTGCCATCCCTGTGAAAAGGTGGATGTGGTAGGGGAATGCCTCCACCCAGGGGCGTCTTACTCATAGAGGCTAGTGGCGCAGGGCGCCAGGGTACCACGTTCTGGAGGGCACCAGGGAAGTGGCGGAGGCTGGATGTGGCGCCTCCCGGCATCAACTCGCCGCCCTTGCCCGCCTCCGCCATGCCACGCCGAAGCAGCACCGCGCCCGGAGCCTCTGCCTGCCGTGGCCACCACGGCACGAAGTGGCCAGCTGAGCCCGGGAGCTGCCGCGTCCAGCCTCTGCCTCTTCCCCGCCGGAGGAGCTGCCCGTCTCCTCCAGCCCCGCAAAGCTGGGCGCATCGCCCGCAGCACCGTCCTTCCTAAAAAAGGTTGGCAACTCTGGGAAACGGACGGGGGGCGCTGGAGGGATCTTTGAACCACAGTGCCGGATATGCTTAAGACGGCCCTGCTTTCACCCCCTACAAAATAACTGGGATGGTCTTCAGATGAGCATCAGGGCTCTGCTGAAAGGGCTATTTGCCATCTGTGAAACTTTGGAGGAGGTGGAGATATTCCCCACCCTATAACTCACCCGCGCTTCCCCCCCCAGAAAGTAGTTGCACTATGAGTCAACAGAACAAGCCCCTTTTCAACTCTTTCCCAAGTTGTCAGGCTGCCGTACTTTGTCCCATAGAATTCAATTGAAGCAAACCAGTCCCCATCTGCACAACCAGGCTCCTTCCATCTGTAGTTTGCACCCACCCACACCATCCTGGGGTTTGGTTAGAGTTGATGCTTGTGCATGTCAGAATGGAGGCTTTTAAGAGCACAACAGGAAAGAGAATGAAAATGCTGCAAGCCAACCAAGAGCGACTCACCTATAAAGAGAAGTTGCAGTGTTTGGGACTGGATCACGGCCATGGCCCAGCTGCCCTAGCATCATGCTCTCACAATGGCCAACCAGATGCCTGTGGGAATCTGCAGGCAGGGCCTGAGAACAAGAGCAATTCTCCCCCCTCATGTGGTTTCCAGCAACTGTGGAGGCAGAGCACAGACATTGTGACAAGTAGCCATCAATAGCCTTCTCCTCCATGAGTTTTCCTAATCTTCTTTTAAAGCCATCTGAGTTGGTGGCAAGCAATGCCTCCTGTGGGAGTGAGTTCCATGTGCTGCATAAAGTAGTACTTCCTTTTATCTCTCCTGGGTCTTCCAACATTCAGTTTCACTGGATGTTGGCCAGTTCTAGTGTTATGAGAGAGGGAGGAAAAAAACTCATATTTGCCCTTTCTCTAAACTAAAAAGTCCCAAACACTGCAGCGAGCTGATGGACTATATGGAACTGGCGGAAATGACTGGTAGAATCCGTGACCAGGGAGAAGAGTCGGTGGAGGAAGATTGGAAGAAATTTAAAGACTATCTTCAGAAACATTGCAAAATTAAGGAATGTTAGAGTGATGTTGGACTGAAAATAAGCGGTTTCCAGCTGTACAGGTTAAAGCTAATGATAGACTAAGATTAAAGATTAGGATTAAAGATGTTTAAAGAAATGGAAATTTGATATTAAGAGGAAAAATTTTAACGTTATATGATACTAAGACCAAAGATCAGGTTTAAAGAAGTTGAAGTTATATATTTTAATATCTTATTAAAGCTAAAGATTGGGATTAAAAAAAGTGGAAAAGAAATTGCTGGACAAACAATTTGGATTGGAATACAAAAGAGGGAGGTATGAGGAAGTCCAGAAAATAAGTAACTAAAAAACGGAAATGGAAAAGAGATATTGTTTTTAATTGTTATGTTTCTTGTTTCTTTATTGTTGAATTCTGTTTTGTTTTTTGTGTGTGTTTTTGTTATATGTATTGTGTATGCTTTTCTTTTTTTTTCTTTGTTGTTTAAAACTTTAATAAAAATTATTTAAAAAAAAAACAAACAAACACTGCAGCGAGCTGCTCCATCCTCTTTTATCATTTTAGTTGCCCTTTCCAACTCTACAATATCCTTTTCGAGGTAAGGTGACCAGAACCATACACAGTATTCCAATTGCAGTCACAGATTTGTATAACAGCATTATGGCATTGGTAGTTTTATTTTCAATTCCTCTGCTAACGATCCCTAACATGGAATTCACCTTTTACACAGCTGTCACACACTGGGCACAATATGAAAGGAAATTTGCTGTGAACTGTACCACTTGCATTTGCACTGTGCCCAATGACAATTTTCAAAGGCAATTTTTACACACACACACACACACACACACACACACACACTCCTCTTCCTTCTTTCCTATAATTAAACTTGGCCGCTTGCCATTCTGTACTCTGCAGTCCTGGAAAGGGGGTCAGACTTTCTGCGTGCGTTCCAGCCCTAGGAATGTAGCAAAACTTTCTCAGCCAGAAAGAAAAGAACACTGTGGAGCTTTTCATCGAGATAAGAAACCCCAGGGACAAAATCCTCAGCCTCACCTGCCTTCACGAAATACATTCCCTTTGCTCCTTTCTACTCACTAGTTGGCAGGAGGTGAGTGGGGGAGTAATCTTTACATTATTGCATGTGCCCTTAAAAAAAAAACAACTATGAGAAAAGGCCAATCTGAAAGGAATCTTAGAATAGCCCAGCCTGGCCAACAGTGCCAGTTTACTAGCCTACAATGATGATGATAATAATAATAATAATAATAATAATAATAATAATAATAATAATAAAATATGCATGCACAACTGCCAATACATACCTATATTGATCATTTGCACCACAACAGCCTGGGAAGGGAAGAATGAGGAGGGGGAAAGGACCGACTCTCTTCCTTAATTACAGAAGGTTCCTGTCTGTTCACCCAAGAAGATTCTCTCTCGCCATAGGCGAAGGTCTATTTATAGAATCGTATTGCTCTCTTGCCAAACTATGCATGCCAGCCTGTAACTAAATAGGCTCAATTTGCAACACTCATCTATAATATTGGGGAGAAGACGCACCTTTGAAAAGAATCTCATTTTTAAAAGGGCCAGCAAGCTATGTGCTTGAAAAAAGAAGAAGTAAATAAGCAATTTGTAAAATAATAATAAAAAAACAGAACATTTCAGCTTGGGGGTCCCCCTCAATATTTTTGTTCAGATTTGCTGACTTTTGACAAGCTACCTGCCACTCTTTTGTGGTGGATCTTTGCTTTTATGATGCCCCCTTTATAGGGGGAGGAAGTAGCATACCAGGCTCTTGAAGGAAGAGAGATATTCCCCCATCCCCACAATCCGGAGTCTCTTTGCACAATTAAAAGCTCCAAATGTGTAACTGAGAAGCTCCATCCCCTTGGGAAACTCAATCCAGCCGGCAGGTCTGCATCACACAAGGGAATGACACTTGCTGTCACTTTGTGTATTTACCTATATGCCCAACCTGGCACAGTATTTGCCTTGCTGGATGAAACCTGGAGCTGGCTTATTTTCTTCTTCTTCTTATTATTATTATTCACGATATTCAAAATTATGCCAGATCTCAAGAGTGATCAATGCTTCTCAAATATATAGTAAACAGGGTGATGGATTTTCTGGCTACAGATTCCAGCTCAGTCGGGGCATAGATTTCAGTGGCCCTAGAGCAGCCTTCCACAATCCAATGCCTTCCAGAAGCTGTTGGATGTCAAACTCCCATCAGCCAGCATGGCCACCTGCCAGGGATCAAGGGTGTTGGAGCTGGAGGGCACGAGATTGCAGGAGGCTGCATTATGCCATTACACCTAATTGAGTTATCCTCTATGAATTTGTCTAGTCAAGGTGGTTCTGTAAAACCTCCATGCTAAGAAACAGTCTAGCTCTGAATACCAACTGCTGCGGAGCAACAGTGGGGGGATGTCTGTTGTCTTCCTGTCCTGCTGACTGACCTACCAGCTACATCCAGTTGGCCCCTGTGGGAGACTAGAGACGCCCACCTTGGTCAGATATAACTAATACAGAAGTGTGTGAAATTATGGAAAAAAGGTTTTCTCCAGTGTTTGAAATTCCCATTTTGTGCATTTTGCGACAGGGAATTTCATTCCCACGAACAGTTTCTGAGCTCTGGGCACAGCACTGCGCCTAAGGTTTCAAATTAAAACTGCAGAGTGGAAGGAAAGGAGGGCCTTTTTCTGCCTCCCCACTTCCAGGTACTCTCTGAAGACTGAAGAAGAGACCCTCTTAAGAATATTAGGGGGGTGGGCAAGGGAAGGACTAGACCATGTGAAAATGAACATAAGATTTTAGCTGCAGTTCTTTCATTTCTAGCTTTGTATTCTTGTTACAAAAAAGTGCACCTAAACATTCTGTTGTTGCACCCATAACCTAGGTTTAAGGTGCCATTTAGAACCTAGCTTTCATATCTCCGTTTCTAACATTGGTTTTCTCCCTCTCTTATAACACCCGAACTCAGGGCCATCCAATGAAGCTGAATGCTGGAAGATTCAGGACAGACACAAGAATGTACTTCTTCACATAGTGCATAGATTACACTATGAAACCCGTAGATCTAGAAGATCTGAATGAGGCATGTGGTTAAATGTAAATTAGGTGAGTGATTCTATTTGTCTGTGACCCAATAGCAATTACAAAAAAATGGGAATAGTACAAAGACCTACAATCACAAATTTGCATTGAATCTAAACCCCCTGCTGGGACAACCACCAGGGAAGCAGGGACAAAACATAGCACCAATAAAACCGCTAATATATAAAGCTAATAATTATCAATACAAATTGAGAGTAGCAACATCAATATAGTATTGCAGATGGTCCTTTTTGCAGTCCACAACAGACATCTTTAGAGAATTGCAGCATTTTTCTTTCTTTAGCTGCAGCTGCAAAACTGTAAATTAGGTAGATTCTTTAGCACAGAAATGGGGAACCCTTTTCAGAATAAGGGCCACCTTCCCTTCCGAGCAAGCTTCCAGGGGAAGCAGGATGCGTGTTCAGAGTTCAAAGACAAAATCCAGCCTGGCAAGGGCCAGAAAGATAAGTTCAGAGGCCGGCATTTGCACCCTAGGGCAGAGATTCTCCACCCTTGCTTTAGCAGGAGATGATTACAGATCCCACCACACTGCAGAATGTTAGACAAGATGGTCTCCACAGTGCCTCACAGCGCTATCCTTTTCATTTAAACACTGAACAGTTGCAGACAAATGTGTGTAACACGATAATGCCAATCTCAAATGCCAGGTTTTGGAAAAAGCGAGCCTGTCACTCGTTTCCACCTCCATCTGTCAGAATACCAGAAGTCCTTTCGATTCCCTTCTGGAATATTACCTCTCTCAGGTTTTAGATCCTGGAACAAAACCTACAGCACGAAGGCTGCTATCCTGCCGCCAACTCCACTAACGCCTGCTAAATGGAACTCATAACTAGATAACGAACTTACAACAAGATGCTAATTAAGGATTAGCAAAACAGCACAGGGAAGAGATTAATGGCTGGCCATTTGCGTCCAAACACTTTTGAGACAGGCAGCCAGGTGAAAAGCAGCCAGGCCTTCAACTCTGAGGAGGGGGCACTTTTATTCCAAGGGGACGCACAGTGCCACTTCCAACCACAAAATGCATTTAATTGCTGTGCCCTGCTGCTTGCCCCTCAGCAGCCAGCAATTCAAGGCAGAAGAAGTCTCATCATGGAGTCTCCATTCACCGCTGAAATATCCAAGATCAAGATTTGAAGAGAAGGTGAGCTGCAGTCACCTACAGGAGTGCAAAAATGAGCTGTTATCCTAGTAAAGGTCCCACTGGGAACATGATATCTTCAGGCAGCTCCTCCCCCTTCCTGGTCACCTGCTGGCTCCCAGGGTCATCTCCTGGCTTCTCCCTGCTCCCATGTAGACCCCAAGAATAAAGGCCCCTGGTGGTCAGATGAGCTCTATACTCCTTCCCTGAAATGACACCATCTGCACCCTGAGGAGGCTGGCAGTGAAAGGGGGTGCTGCCGCTGCTGGCTTAGCGTGATACCAGGTTATTTGAGGTCTCCTGTTCTGCCAGAAGCCACCCTTCACGAGGTCCCTCCTCTGCTTTGAGGAGATTCCCCCAGGGGTCCTGGTCAAGCTGTGTCACCACTATGCTGCACTGCCATTTTCGTATCATTCTACCTGCCTCTCTCTAATGCTAGGAGATCCTCTTTGGAGATGGGGTGAGGTGACCAGACCTAGACTCTGTTATCCTTAAGTATGGTTTGTATATACAGTGGTACCTCGGGTTACAGACACTTCAGGTTACAGACGCTTCAAGTTACAGACTCCGCTAACCCAGAAATAGTACCTCAGGTTAAGAACTTTGCTTCAGGGTGAGAACAGAAATCACGCAGCAGTGGCGCAGCAGCAGCAGCAGGAGGCCCCGTTATCGAAAATGGTACCTCAGGTTAAGAACAGTTTCAGATTAAGAACGGACCTCCAGAACGAATTAAGTTCTTAACCCAAGGTACCACTGTAATTGTTTCACAGAATCTACATAGAATCATAGAATTGTAGAGCTGGAAAGGACCCCAGGGGTCATCTAGTCCAACCCCCTGCAATGCAGGAATATTTATTTCCAATCCCTTCCATGCAACACAATCCAAACAGGTTGGCCCGTTCAATATCTTGGCCTTTGAAGTAACATATATTTTCTACCCACAAAGAACTATCATGGGACTGGAGTGTACAAATGCCCACAATCTCTAACAGCTGTGGCCTTATGCAAAAAACAAAAACAAAACAAAACCCCACGAAACCACTACTCTCAAGTCCATAACCCACCCACCCCAATGTGTTGGACTCAAACTCCCACATTGCCAGTTTGGACTCCCATCAGCCCGCACAGCTGGGGCTGAGAATAGTTTCCCTCCAAAACATCTGAGGGGCACCATGTTGGCAATGGTTTCCATAATACAACAGGTGCAATCAAAACGGAAGGGAGAGGAAAAAGACTGAAAAGCTGCAAAAACTCTGCAGCAAATGACATGAAGAAGTCTGAAGACAGTCCAGCTGTTTACTGGTGACGCAAATGGGTGTAGAAACAATTATCTTGAAGGAATTAATTCCCCACCCACCCTGCAAAACCATCCTTTTCTTTCTTATCAAATCGGGATCCAGGACAGGCTGTTCCTCCCTCGTTCCCACTGACCAACTGAAAACAAAAACAAACAAAAAAACCTTAAGAAAGCCAGATGCAAAATACAATCACTAGGAATTTAAGATTTTAATCTCATTAATCAACAGGCATTAAGGGCCGAAAGCAATAACTGCTCTGAGGACAGGAGAGAAGAAAACAGTGGGGAAACAGCACACTGTTGTGGGCTGCGCCTGTTGAGAGGCTCCAGTATTCGTCGCCCGTCTAAACAGGACAAGGGCCATTAGGATGGGACCTCTTTGCACTAAACATAAGAAAAGCCTGCTGGATCAGGCCAATGGCCCATCTAGCCCAGCATGCTGTTCTCATAGTGGCCTCTAGGAAACCCACAAGCAGGATTTGAGAACTCTCCCCTCCTGCCAGCAACCAATTCAGAAGCATTTACAGTCTTCAAATGTGGAGGCACAGAATGAAAGTTGGCTTGTGTTTTAATTAGTTTTTAGCTTATCACTGATTCTAATTATGATTTGTATGTCTTAAATAGCTGTTTTTACAGATGAATTTATTGTTTTACACTTTTTTTGTAACCTGCTTTGAGGTTTGTTTGTTTTTTACTAACAAGCCACATATAAACTTTCTGAAATAAACAAGTAAAAATTAATAAGTATCCCCCAAAGGGCAAAAATAGAGAGAGATTTTTTTCTTCCAAGGACAGGAACCAGAAAACCTCACACACTGTACAGGTCAAAATGCTCATCATCAGCTTTCAAACTGAGAGAGGCCTGAGGCCCACACAGCTATCCAGCAGGAGAGGAAGAACAGGCAGGTTAAGGGCAGTGCCTCCCCGTAGCCACAGGATCCAGCAAATATGACGACAACCACAAGTGACATGTGCACAGTAGTGCCAAAGTGTGACCGTTGACCCTCTCCTTCCAGGAAAGGTTCTCTAGCACAGGGTTGCGTTGACCCAGCAGGAACACACACACACCCCTTTGCAAACTGGGTTTCTTCCTGGCCCTGCTCAAAGCTGCAAATATTTAGATGCCTCACTGCAACTGTTAGGAGAGTGTGTCTCTCTCCCTTCTGATGTTTTAAAGATGTGCAAGACATGTCTGAGAAATTCCCCATGCCTAATCAAAACTGTTGTTGTTGTTTAAATCTAGTAACAATCAAGTGATGCAACAGAAGACCTCCCTCAAGTCATTTCACTAGCCTTGATTTAATTATTTGAGCTTCTCTCAGAATTGAGGGGGAAACCCCAGATTTGGCCTGGATTTCTCCATAAGGGCAATTTGGGTGGCAATAAGCAGCTCAAAGATACACCAGCAGCCTGGTGTACTTTGTTCCTGGATCTGACCCTGAGAACAGACTCAGAAGGGCTCCCCATGGCTTTAGAAGCTACACCTTGCTCAGAAAACAGACTCACTCCATGAAACATCACCCAGGTTTTTGGCTGGTAGGCCTATACCCCATTTTAGACACCCAAGTCATCAGGGCATAGAGGGAGGTTGAAAACAGCAGCCAAGCTAGTGTTGTTATATAGAAACATATACATGACACACACAAACAAACAGAAATATAGATAGATATGGGTATCACACAAAAATACATATGGATAGAATTTAATTTCTATATTTATTGCATTGGTATGCCACCTTTATCTCCAAGGGGCAAAAGCTGGCATACATGCTTCTCCCTCTCCCTGTTTTCTCTTCACAACAACCCTGTGAGGTAGGTCAGGCTGAGAGGCAGTGACGGACCCAAGGTCACCCAGTTAGCTTCATGGTCAAGTGGGTATTTGAACCCTGGTCTCTCCCAGGTCCTAGTCCGACATTCTAACCACTACGCTACAACTGGATATCAATATCACAAGAGCGTGCATGCGCACACACTTTTTTAGTAGGTTACTATTCAAGAGTAGCCAACCAGAACAAAGAAAAATATTTGTTCGGGAGTTTTTACAGTTGGGAAAAAGGCATGAATACTGAGGGAGGAAGATGGGTTGGCCCTGGAGATGAAGGGGTTACACTGAAAAGGAAAACAAGAAGACTCATTGCTTCCCTGAAAGCCTATAAATGCCAGTCTAAGCTTGGCTTGCCCTAAACTTAGGCAGGAACAATAAAACCTTATGGCTACTAGAGTAATGACTTGGTTGCCACCATGACCCATCAGGCATCATCAGGAAACCTGGATTCTCACACTGCCTTGAGTAGAGAAACGTGTTCAAACTCAGCTCCGCACATCAAAGGGATGTTGTGAGGTAGATAAAAGAGCTGAGGCACTGGCCCAGAGATGCAAATTTGCCAGCGCTAATTGAGATGTGTAGATAGCACATTTAGATGTTAAACGTCTCAGAAGGCAAGGCAACTAATCTCCCACCCAAATGGCCTGAGAGTTCTCCAGAGGGGCACCAGTGAGGCTCCCAGCCTCTATGTGTGTGTGTGTGTGTGTGTGTGTGTGTGTGTCACACACACACACACACACAGGCACGTGGGAGGGGGTGTGCCAAGCTGAGTCCTTGACCCTGGTGAAATAAAGCCAAGTTTTGCCCCTGGCTATGCTGTACTTTCACCCTTAGAGGCAGGAATGCTTCAGTTGCTCCACATCTTAGGAGGGGAGCGTGCTCTTGTGTTTAAATCCTGCTTGCGGCGTTCCCACAGGCATCTGGTTGGCCACTGTGAGAACTGGAGGGTGGGCTAGATGGGTCAGAGTGGACTGATCCACCAGGCTCCTATTTATCCCAATACATTCAACAAATTCTGCTCCACATCAATTCAACTTCCATTCAATGACCACCTTTCATTATCCCCAAATCATCTCAAGTTGTTTTTTCCTCTACCACCAAATTGGTACCCTACTCAGTAACCAGGATAAGCCTCTCAACTCTTCCCCCACACCCTGATTCATGACCATCCCAAAAACTCTTGGGGCAGCCAGAAAAAGATTTGAGGGCCTCAGCAACCTCCTTGACCCCTGCACATGATAGAAAGCTAGTTTAAGGGCTCTCTTGAAACCTACGGCTTTCTACGTCTCTGTGCTAGGGTTGGGCGATATCAGCTTTTCAACACTGCGGTATATCACCAGCCAAACATACCACGATGCTGAAAAATGAAGCTGCATTGGCCTCAGCCTGCAAGGTGTCGGGTGATCCACCCCACACATTTAAAGAATATTCAACCCACAATTAAAGCACACAGCTTCCACCCCAAAATCTTGAGCACTGCTGTTTGTTAAGGATGCTGGGAACTGTGATGGGGAAACTACCGCTCCCACTGCTCTTTGAGGGAAGCCATGTGCTTTAAATGTACAATGGGCAGGCTTTAAACATATAGCATATGTCAAGGCCCTCTCCACAATGGCAAGACACATTTCTATTTAAGTGAAAGTCATTTGTTTTAAATTTGCATCTATACACAGAAATCAGTACTTGCAAATGTGCATCCTCTTTTTTTTGGGGGGGGGGAGAGCAGACCCTATTCTTTTTTGCAATGGGCAAGCAACCTCACAATGGGACCATCATCCCTCATATCTGAAGGCAGTAAGCTGGCTTAGGGGGCACAGAACAGGCCCTGTGTCCGCACAGACAAACAGACACACTGCTCCATACCTGGACACCTCATTACTGCTCCCTGCCGCCACCATCCCTGCCAGCATCCTCTGCCGAACAGGAGGACCGAACAGGCTGTGGACTGGCCCTTCCACCCACAGCCCAGCATGAGCCACAATGGCTACTCTCTCCTTCCACGGTTGGAGGCAGCAATGCTTCTGAATACCAGTTGCTGGAAACCAAAGGAGGGGAGAGGGCTCTTGTACTCGGGTCCTGTTTGATTTACTGTTGTTATTTGCTGTCCCCTGCCCTTAAGTAATTCGGGATGTTACCATATAAAACCCCAAGCCAAAAATTACTCAACCCTCAGTGTGCTTATAAACACAGAACATTTGCTTCATTGCTACATCAATGTCCCATTCTTCATCCAAGGATCTCAAGGCTTCATGCATGATCCCCCTCCATTTTACCTTCACACCCACCCTGCAAGGTAGGTTAGGCTGGGAGACAGAGTGACTGACTGTTCCAGTGCCCATCCTGCAAGCTTCATGGCTGAGTGAGAGTTTTGAAATTGGGTTTCCTTAGTCCAGGCCTTCTGGTTATTTGGACTACAATATCCATCGGTCCCAGACAGCACAATTGTATTATTATTATTATTATTATTATTATTATTAACATCCTGCCCTTCCTCCCCAAGCAGCCTAGGGTAGCAAACCGACATTTGAAAGAAAAACAAAGCAAACTTTCAATAAACAATTATAATTAAAAACATCTGAAACCAGTTACAGTTCGAAACATTCTAAAAGCCGTTAAAAAAACTGAAAACATTCTTCCATCCAATGGCCTTTGGGTTGTCTAGGACAGTTTTCTTCAGCCACCAAACGTCTGAATAAATAGGAATGTGTTCAAGTTCCTCCTGAAAGTTATCAATGATGGATACAGCTCTCCTTCACTAGGGAGGGCATTCCACAAGCGGGGAACCACTATTGGAAAAAGCCTGCCAAGGGTCAGCACCAACCAGGCAGCCCCAGGTGGCAGCACCACTACAAGGTCCCACTTGCTGACCAGGTCATAGAGGCTGATGGAAGTTGTACCCAAAAACATCTAGAGGGCACCAGGCTGGGGAAGTCTATGGGTTGTGCTTCCAGATGCCAATGACTAGCCTTTCACGACAAAAAAAGGGAATTAGACAGAACGGAAGAGGGGGTGCATGGCCACACTGGGAGAACCACAACCTCCAAACTCAGAAACTGAACCGTGATAAACTTCTAATTTGGCCAACAGAACCCTAGCCGGGTTGGCAGACGTTCCTTCCCTACGTGACATGCTTATAAACTGGCAATTACTGAGAGACCAAGCATCACTCATTTTTTTTCAAGCACTCCCAGTGTAGCATCATAGTTAAGAACATGATGCACAAGGTTCCCAGTTGAAAACTCAGCCCAGCCACACATTTATTAGGAATGCAAGAAGCTGCCTTTGTCACTGACCATGGGGGTGCATGTAGCTATGCCTTGCTTACACTGACTGGCAGCAGCTTTCTAGGATTTCGGGCAGGGGTCTTTCCCAGCCTCACTTGGAGGTGCCAGGGATTCAAACTGGGACCTTTCCCATGCAACCACAACGGCCATGCTCTGTCTCCATGGTCAGAGGCAGAAATGCTTCTCAATACGAGTTGCTAGTTTCCCACTGGCATCTGGTTGGCCCGTGAGAAAAGGATGCTGGACTAGAAAGGCCACTGGCCTGATCCAGCAAGGCTCTTCTTATGTGCTTAACATACATGAAGGATCCTGAGCACTTAGCATTTGTACACGGCTTGTTCTTGTATGAGCGTTGCATCTGCAAAAACAAACCCCAACCACAGTACAGTATTCCAGCATTCGCATTACCAACCCCGCAAGGTTATTAACCATGGCATTTACATAGGATGGAAATCTACTGGAGAGGTGAGGTTAGATTGTCCAGCCATTTCCTTGGGGGGGGGGCAATCCTCTAAAAATAAATATCCAAAATAAATAAATAAAAGCGCAACAAAAAGTTTCCCTCCCATTTTATTTCCCCTGTGGCCAAACCTAACTGCTGTGAGTAACTTTTAGAAGGAAGGAAAGCAAGAGAGTTGGGCGCTTTGCCATCCACAACAGCAGCTCTGGGGGTGTGGAGAAAAACAACAACAGTGTGTTTATTTGTGTGGAGGGAGGAGGACACACAGCAGTGCCTAAACCACAGCGGCAACCCAAAATATGCTGCCTTAACACATGCAATGCTGCACCAGAACCGTGGCTGCATTGGGGGCGGGCAGTGGGAAGAGGGAGAAAGATTCCAAATATATAAAAGGGTCTGTTCAGATATTATGGGACGTCCAGACATACAAGGTGATGTCAGGGACTCTGGGACTTCGGAAGGCAGGAAGCTCCATGTCAGGCATAGGCAAACTCAACCCTCCAGATGTTTTGGGACTACAACTCCCATCATCCCTAGCTAACAGGACCAGTAGTCAGGGATGATGGGAGTTGTAGTCCCAAAACATCTGGAGGGCCGAGTTTGCCTATGCCTGCTCTATGTTCACCTAGTTTAGTATCATCGACTGATTGCATTTACATCCTACCTTTTCAAGGTGTGGCAAACATGGTTCTCCCCAATCTCCTCATTTCATCCCCACAACCACCCTGTGAGTCTTATAACCAAGTGGGATTAGAACCCTGGTCTCTCCCAAGTCCTAGTCCATGGGTAGGCAAACTAAGGCCAGGGGGCTGGATCTGGCCCAATCGCCTTCTAAATCTGGCCCGCAGACAGTCCGGGAATCGGCATGTTTTTACATGAGTAGAATGTGTGCTTTTATTTAAAATGCATCTCTGGGTTATTTTTTGGGGCATAGGAATTTGTTCATTATTTTTTTTCCAAAATAGAGTCCGGCCCCCCACAAGGTCTGAGGGACAGAGGACTGGCCCCCTGCTGAAAAAGTTTGCTGACCCCTGTGAATCTAGCCCAACACTCTAAAACTGCAGCACATTAGCACTTCTTTAACCTGGTACCCTCCAAAGGTTTTGGAACACAACTTCCACCATGGCAGTGCTATGTTACAGTGCCAGTTTCAAGCGAGAACAAGACCCAAGAACATCTGATGGGCCCCACGATGGCTACCTCTGAATTAGAGGAAGGGTCTTAGCTCCCTAGCAGAACACCTGCTTTGGTCGCAGAAGGTTCCAGGTTCAACCCCCAGTATTTCCAGTTGCTGGAAACCACAGGAGGGGACAGGGCTCTTGTGCTCAGGTCCTGCTCATGGTTTTCCGCACAGGCATCTATCTGGTTGGCCACTGTAAGAACAGGATGTTGAACTAGATGGGGCATTGGCCTGATCCAGCAGGCTCTTCTTCTTAACATCTGGAGGGAACCAGGTTGGCAAAGGCTGGCATAGCATCTTTCTGGCTGGCATGCTGTTGGGGGGGAAGGATCCATTTCTTAGTATCTAAAAGTGTCCCTGGCATGCAATGAGGCAATATTACTTTCATCCCTATATCGCTTTGCATTTTCTGCCTGTTTGCAAAGTGCAGCATTTAGAATTCTGAAAGACAGGAGAAGGGGGAGAAAACCCAACCTATTCTCTAGCTCCCTTCTTCACACCTTTCCTGCCTGATCCCCCCACAATGAAAACATAATCCCATGACTTGTCTGGATGCCTGGCTTTAAAGAGGGTTGCCATGGGAACCAGCAGGATGCTACAGAATCAGCACCAGCTATTCTAGGGCAGGAAGAGGGTGGGAACAAGGAGGGAGAATGAACCAGGGTAGAGGATCTAGGAAAAGGAAATTAAATTACCAAAGTATCAAAAAGAGAAAGTCAACGGCTGTTACGGTTTTTGAAGCGGCAGGGAGACGCCGCCATTGCAGTCTGTATGACTGCTTGCAAAGGGGTTGGCAAGGTGGGGGGGGGGGGCAGGGAGAGTCATCTGCTCTCATCTCTGAAGCAAGACTGGCTTCGCTTCAGCAAGCCGCGGCTGTAGCTTCCTTGGGATTCTGACTCCAGGCTGGGGGAAAGCAATTTGAAGGGTGACCTTAGCCAAGGTCACCTGCCGCTTCCTCACTGCCTCAGTTTACAAGCTCTCTCTACATGCACCATCATCACGGCACTGACCTTCTTTCCTTAAAGTGCTCCGAGGTCCTTGACTAAAAAGCCTTACGTAAGTGAGTGAGCGGAGGAGCGAGCGAGCATTACCTATTATTTATGATGTATACTTGAGGGTGCGAGCAGCTCTGAAAGGAGGCAAGGTCAGGCCAGGGTAGCCACACCACCCCAGGGCCCTTTGGAGAGAGTGCTCTGCTTCATCTTAAGAGGTCAGATCTCCCCGGACGCCCTCTGGGTCCTACAGTGGAGCTCCTTGCTCAAATTGGAGGCGGGTGGCTGCTCATGCTCTTTACCAGAGCATTTACTGTGGGGGTGGCTAGGTTTCGTGTAGGGATTCTAGCTTTGGGCTAGGACCTGAGAGACCTGGATTCAAATCCACCGAAGCTCCGTGGATGACCTTGAGCTCAGTCAGTCACCGTTTCTCAGCCTAATCCACTTTGCAGATTTGTTGCAAAGATAAAACAGGGAGCCCACCTTGAGCTCTTCGGAGGAGATGCGGGATATAAATTTAATAATCAATGAGTAAGTGGCAAAGGCTTTCAACTTAGGAGCAACAGCCACCAGCACCAAAGTCTACTGCGTCTTGTCACTTTCAAAAACAATCTCCGCAAGTCGGATGTACCCTTTCCAAAGCTGTAATATCTAAATTGCCTGCCCCAAGGAGATATGCTACCGTGCTCATGAGAAGTAAGTTAGTGGCATAATTTACTAAATGGAAACCTGTTTGTGAAATAATCTCCCCTTGCAGGTACATCAAGCAGAGACATTGTCATCATTCCAGCACCAAGTGCAGACATTCCTCTTGACTCCAGCTTCTTGGATTCTTAATTAGGAACATAGAAAACCAATTTATACCAAGTCAGACTGGTGGTTCCTTAACTCAAGACTGTCTACACTGACTGGCAGCTGCTCTCCAGGGTTTCAGGCAGGGGGCCTTTTCAAGGCCTTGCCTGGAAATGACATTGGGGTTTGAACCTGGTGCCTTCTACATGAGAAGTAGGAGGCTTAGCAGCCAAATTATCTGCCCCAAGAAGACATTCCCTGTTGCAACTCATTAGGTGCCCTCATGCCAAACCCCAAAAGCTCTTCGAGCATGAGAAAGGCTTTTCCTTCAAGATCCATTCAGAAACCCAAGTGCTGCATGAACACTGGAAATTTGGAAAACACTACAACACAGTTCCACAATACAGCCCCCTCCTACAACGCACGTACAGTTCCATTCAAGCACAGCTGAGCTATCGTGAAATCCCAAACACACCCCTGAACTGTGAGAGGGCAGGAAAAAATTAAGAAGACAAGCACACAAAACCCCTTGCAAAGAAAACTGCCTAGCCTGTTCAGCAAAGATCATACAGGAAGCCAAAGGTCTCCCGTTCCCATCAATGCCTCAGCCCATTCTCCCTTGCAGTTCAGTCTTTGAGCACCTACATCAGTCTCCACCAACCTCATGTCCTCCAGATATTTTAGATAGGGTTGTCATAATCCCAAAAGTGAAAATCCGGACAAAGTGGTTGAGCTTTCTTTTCTTTTTGTCAACATCTCCAAAAAACATCTCCAACATCTCCATTTTTATTGCTGTAGTTGATATTATTATTATTGTTATTATTATTATTATTATTATTATTTCATTCCTATACTGCCTTTCCTCCGAAGAGCTCAGGGTGGCAAACATGGTTCTCTTTCTCCCCATTTTCTCATTGCAACAACCCTGTGAGGTAGGTTAGGCTGAGAGACAATGACTGGGCGACCCAGTGAGCTTCATGGATGAGTGAGTACTAGAACCCTGATCTCCCAGTTCCTAGCCCAACCACTCTAACCACTATGGCACACTGCCTCTCTTTATTGTACTGTTTTCATATTTTTTCTTTCATATTAATATTCTGCTCACTGCTTTGGGGGTGCCTTTGGGCCAAAAAGCAATGTATAAATAAACCATGACCACAAGCATTATTGCTCCTTTTATTTACTGCTCGCTCTTCGTTTAAAAAATTCCAGAGGGGTTTACAGTACTAAACTAATAAAACTAAGCTAAAATAAGAAATACCAAACTCTGCGCATCATTAAAAATGGCACGGGCATGAAACAACAAATACATTTAATAATTACACTAAGCAGCAGAAAAGCAGAATATAAAACTGCACTACAGACTAGAAAGAAGCCCATTGATAATATAAGGTTGCATATGGGTTTTGAGAATACTGTACTGTGACCTACTTGAGAGCATTTTGTCTTTGTACACTGGTGACATTGTATAAATGGGAACCAGTGCCACATAGTGGTTAGAGCGTCAAACTAGGGCCCAGAAGATCAGGGTTCGGGGTGTCAACTTGAATAACATATTAGGGGGTGCAGATTAGCTCCGCTCCACATAAATCAATCACATGACGCAGTGTGCACACGCCATTTGAATGGCGTTGCCCATTAACTTTGGAGGGGCCCAGCTACCTCAAATATTTTATTGGGGGAGGGGAAGGGACCTTGGCCCCAAGGAGATGGCTCCTATGCCAGGGTTTGAATCCCTACTCTGCTATGAAACTCAATGGTTTGTTGTGGGAATTAAACCATATACGCCACCTTGAGCTCTTTGGAGAAAAAAGGTGGGATATAAACACAAACATTAAATAACACTGCAGAGAGGGGCAGGGGAATAGTGACCGTTGTCTACCTGATCACCACCTAGCACAGCAACCTCCAACCTGGAGCCCTCCAGATGTTTTAGATGCAACTCCCAGTCTCCCACCAGCTCCAACCAGGGCACCCTGTTGGCCTAATGATCTAGGCAGTGGTTCTCAACCTGTGGGTCCCCAGATGATGTTGAACTACAACTCCCATCATCCCTGAGCTCTGGCCTTGCTAGCTAGGGGTGATGGGAGTCGTAGTTCAACAACATCTGGAGACCCACAGGTTGAGAGAGGCTGCTCTAGAGCCTTTAAAACACTTCTCCTAATCCTTACAACAGCTTTGTAAGATAGAATGATCCCTCAAAGGGACAGAAGACAGACAGGCCAAGGCAGAGAGCAATGGCTGCATCTAGGGCCACCTGGCAGGTTCACAGCAGAAGCAAGATTCTTTTGCGTTGCTTAGTCTCTCAGCTAAGAGGCCTAGCAAGCAACATCCACCCTCTCCCACTCCAATAAATACTCCCTGGTGGGTCCCCACCTAGATCCAGTGACTCAGCAGCGTCAGGCCTTGACAGAGCCAAAAATATTTCTGCTCCCCACCCCCCTCCCATGTCCTTCCTATCCAATTGTGAGTTTGCTTTTCCCAGCTGTCTAGATGTGTCAGAATAAGGTTGTACCATCATGGGGAGGAGGCTCTGTTTATGCATTTTCAAAACAGGAAAGAAGGGGAGACATTTAAAATCAGGGTACACAAAATGAAATTGAAACAGATTGCTGCAGAGGTTCATATATGTTTGTCTGCATACTGATAAAAAATTGGGACAGCGGGGAGAAGAGACAGGGATTGGCTGCGTAGGAGGGCAGGTGCTGGTTTTCAAAGGAGACAAAGGTCGCAGTTTCCTGACATGACACTGAACTTGCTGGCACCTTCCTGGCCTATTGATTTTGCTCCCTTCAAGACAGCCTGGGAATTTACAGGGGATTCCGCTCTTAATGTAAATTAGAGACTGAAAGCATTACAATTTCCAGTAAACGGGTTGGCGAGAGGCAACTTTTATAGCTACGATACAGCAGAGCTACACAAGACAACTTTAATATACGTGGAAGTCTAAGATCTCCAACAGGCACAAAATGTTAGAAGTGTTGCCATTAGGGTACCAGTGCTAAAGCCTTGCCTCTCTTGGCTCTTAACATCCAGCGGAAGAATATCATCTAGCTGGATCTAGGAAGTCACAAATGCCTTATTATTAGAGGAAGAGGCCATGGTCAACCTGGAAAACACTGTTGAAAGAACATCTCTCTGGACCAGACTTCTCCAACCTGCTGCCTCCAGATGTTTGGTACTACAAAGCCTCACCCAGCACTGTTTTGTTGTTGTTTTGAAAACTATCATTACTACTGGGGGATTTTTCAGTGCCTGTTCAATAATCCACACACATAAGAGCAACTGTGATCAGATGTATGAGTGCAAAGTTATCACTGCTGGCCACACAGTCCAGCAAAAAACATCTAAGTTTGTAAATTACTTTTACTTATTGCATTTCTATCTCACCTTTTCCTCCAAGGACCTCAAGGTGGTGTACATAACTCTCCCCCTCTTCATTTTATTCTCACAACAACCCTGTGAGGTTGGTTAGCCTGAGAGTGACTGGCCCAAGATCATCCAGTGAGCTTCATTATGAAGTGGGGATTTGACCCCTGGTCTCTCAGGACCTAGCCCAAAACTCTACAACCACTACACCACACTGGCTCTTCTAATTAATCCTAAAACAGCTGGCCTGCTGGCCTCAGATTTTCCTAAAACTCCTGAGACAGCCTTGGAAGCTTCTTGTTCAGCATCATCTTTGACATAAGAGATTTCTCCCACCACCCAATATTTTTTCTCTCTCTCTCTACTACAGGGAAAACTTAACAATGAAATTTGGCCCTCAGAAACATAACCAGAGAAATCGCCACCCTTGGGAAAACCAAGATTCTCAGTGTGTGTCTCAAATGCCAGCGAATCTTTTTGTGTGTGCCAGCCCCAAATTTAGCAATATCATAAGCAAAGTCATAATTTTAAAGGCGAAAGCTGTGCCAAAACTCAGCCCGCAAAGGAACTGTTTCTCTGACAGTAGCCTGGGCTGCAATTGCAACTCATTCTAGGCCTCTGATCTAACGTGACCACTTCTAGCCAGGTTATTCCTGTTTTTTCGCAGGAGGGGAAGGGAGGGGAAAATGGCAAATAAGAGATGCATCCTACCCCTTGGAACTCTCCCTCTTCCTTGCAAAAGAAAATCTCATTTCCCTCTGCCTTGCATCTCAGCAAGTCAGGAACAACCGGTATTTAAAAGGATAAAACAGGTCCCAGACATTTTCCAGGAAATCAGGAGGCAGGGTTTCACTGCCCGGCTAGAGGCCAGATCTTGAGTCGAACTGGCACAGAGAATTTAATAATCTGCATGGTGCTTCAAGAGTTGACCAAAAAAGCAAGAGGGAACAAAAGTAATAAAACAATATCGCTGTCAATTACACACAGACAGAGCAGAGGACTGCAGAACACAGGTATTTCAGGGATGGTGCTCAGCCCCTGAATTCTTCCATGGAAATTGTCCCTGCACAATCCAAGCATATCTTCACAACCATAAGGACTAGAGACTTACTTTTTAAAAGACAAAACAGAAATGAGGATTCTTGGGAAGCTGAAGTATGTGTCCAGCGCCACCCACCAGCATTCGTGGCCACTGGCCACCTCTGGTAGGGCCCCAGACAGACTTATTTTCTTAATCCAAATCAAGTTACTCCTCGGATTCTGTCCCTTTCCTCTGTTTTCAAAGAACCAGCAGAGCTGCTGAAAGTCCAAACAAGGCAGATGTTCCCCCAGAACACATCTGCTCACTTTCACCACTAAACTTCCTGCACCCTCCCAGATTTTGTGCAAAGTGGATCCTGCCACCTGAGGTGGCTGTCTCACCTTGCCTCATGGGGGGCGGGGGCAGCCCTGGAACCAGCCTTCAACCAGGGCTCGCTGGGGGAACCAGGGGAAGACCTAGGTTCAAATCCCTACTCAGCCTTACTTCCACTCGAGAGCTTTTCCAGAGGCACCTGCCTGGCCACAGCTGGAAACAGAAGACTGGACCAGATGGACCCAGCCTGATCTGACCCAAATGGGTGCTTCTGTTGTGCATTCAACCAGACTGGTGCTCTGCAGATGATTTGGACTACAACTCCCATCAGCCACAGTTGGGAGTCCAAAATGGCTGTGCTGGCTGCGAACTGATGGGAGTTGGAGTCCTATAACATCTGGCAGGGTACCAGGTTAGCAAAGGCTGTCTAATAATAAAAATAAGAATATGATTTGATTGGGATTCAAAGTTCTCCCTTTAAAAAACTCTCACCTTAAGATTTTGTACGGTACAAATTTATTTTCTTTGCTTGGAGAGTATTTTACAGCTTACAGCTTAAAATCAATCATTTAGGAGGCAATTTATAATCAATTTCTTTTAAAAAGCCAAGCAGTTGCTATTGACTGCCTGAAAGGTCACTCATAACCACTGGTGTTCTTACAACACTGGCTTAAGCATTAAGGCATTTGCTTTGACCCCAAACCCCTTCTATTAACCTCATCCCAAAATAATTATATCATCTATGCCAATAATAAAAGGTCTGACTGGTCCTCCTTTTATAGCTTCTTCAGCAGCATCCTCAACATAAACACTTCAGAGAGAAGGAGTTGAACTTGAAAAGACATTATTATTACTGCAATCCCTTTTACTCTTACTTGGGAGTAAACCCCACCAAATACACCTTGAGTGGACCTGCATCAGGGTTCAGATTCCAGCTCACACTCCCCCTGACTAGTTTGTTTCAGTATCTCATCCACAAAATGGGAACATTATTACGGCCTACCTTGCAAGGGCTGGAAAGACGAATGGCATCAGGCTTGTAAACCAAACGCTACAAGTGCTGAGTAAATGACTAACCATTAATTGGAGCAGTTCAACTTGTCAACATGTTTAGTTAAGGCCCTACATCCTAGAGATGTCTCAGCCAAGAGAAAAATTAAGTCTTGCTGGACCTCATTGCTTTGAACTGGTTGAAAAGCAAAGACAGTATCTGTCCTTTCAATTAAATATTATTACTTTATTATTACTTGTTAAATTTTTTAGACCACCCCTCATCTGAGCATCCCAAGATGGTGCAAAGGAAATATAGTAAAATATATAGTAAAAAATCAACAATAAAACCATACAATCATCACACTCAAAAATCAGCTCCAAATACATCATTCATAGTGAACAGAAAGGAGACCATCTCATCAGTCCCCAACAGCCAAACAGAGTAAGTTGTTGTTGTTTTTAATAGATGGCAGAAACACCTCAGTGAAGGCGGCAGACTTGCCTCTGGTGGTAGAGAGTTCCATAGTTGGGAGCCACAAATAGGGCTGCCATATGTCCAGATTTTCCCAGACATTAATGGGATTTCAAAGGCGGAATTGACGTCCAGGGGGCAGGGATTTCCAAAAGGCAGAGCTTTGTCCTGGATCTTAGGCCAGTCAATCGAAAAAATGCGTAACAAAAACCTCAACTAATTTTGGTGTGTCCTGGTTTTACTTTTTGAAATATGCTCTGTATTCTTCCTTTAGGCCCCCTGTCATCTACCTACCCTACTTACCAATCCTCCTCTTACCCTCACGTGCCATTTCAATCCCAGTCAAGCAGACAACTGTCCCTTCCCTCACAGTTTCCAAAACAAGACCCAAACATTCTGTGCCACCACAACAGCTCAGCCAATCTCCATTGGGGCTTCAAATCCACAAGGATAGTACAGGCAACTCCCCATTTACACACGCTCAAGACACGTGCGCACACACATCGCTATGAACCTGGAAGTAGCACGAAAAGGGGCAAAAATGACCCTAAAAGAGTGTAAAAACGGCAAAAATACCACATAAACAGTGTCTAGCAATCCCACACAAGCCTTTGCAAATGCAATCCCAGGAGCCTTTGCACCGACCTTTGAGGCCTGTGGAGAGTTGGAGTTTGAGCAAGGAGATTTGGAGGGTGTTTACAGGCTTTTTCAATGGTGTTCCAAAATACATGCAATGCATGGTGCCTTGGAATATAACCCTGCATAAATGGGGAGTTGCCTGCACAATATTATATAGGCCTGCCGATGGCTACTGACCATGCTAGCTAAGCAGAACCTTGATGAAGAGACTGCTTGATCAGGTCTGTGGTGCATCTTCTAGATTGGCATGCTATCAGTGGCCAACCAGATACCTGCGGGCAATTTGCAAGCGGGACATGTTAGCAACAGTGTTCTCCCCACCTGTGATCCCCAGCATCTGGCATTCAGAAGCATTGATGCCTCTGACTGTGGAGGCAAAGCATAGTCATTGCGGCTAGCAGCCACTGATAGCCTACTCTGTCATGAATTTCTTCAGTTCTCCTTTAAAGCCATTCAAGTTGGTGGTCATCACTGCCTCCAGTGGGAGAGAGTTCCATGGTTTAACTATGCACTGCATGAAGAACTTTTATCTGTCCTGAATCTCCCAACATTCAATTTCATTGGACAGTCTCCACTGTCTCTCCACTTTCTCTCTCCACTTTCTCCATGATAGGCATAATTTTATTGTAGCCATTCTCAACTTCCAGGTTAAGATTGTTTCCTTTAGATGTTTTGGACTACAACTTGTGCTGGCTGGGGCTGATGGGTATTGGAGCCCAAAACATCTGGAGGGAACCAGGTTAGCAAAGGCTGTCTTATTAATATCAAACTTGGAACCATTTTATCATACTTGACTCTAGAGGGCTTACACATTTTAACAACAGATAAAGAACAGGAACTGATGTGGTGCTTTAATGATTGACATTGTCTATTTGTAATGAATTTAAAATGTTACAAAGCTGCAATTATGACTGAAATGAGGTGTGCTTTTATTTGGATTGCTGTATTCTGTTTTGAAATTGATTGGTTAAACAATAGACTGTTGTGATGACGCTTTGATATGCATTGCTGTTCTTGTTCTTGATTTCCTCGTCTTGTGAGCAACCATGGACACACTCGTGTAGAAAGATCGAATACAGATTAAAATAATGAGAACTTTAACAGGACACCTGTGGCACCCGTCTGCTGACTTCCTGGAGATTTGGGCATAGAAACAGGAAACTGGACTAGGAGGCCTGATCCAGCAGGGGTGTTCTTCTGTTACAAAGAAGGGAAAATCTAGCAATACACACTAACCAAGTATTTCATTCACTTATTGATAATTGAATCAATAGGTTGTTTCATTTATTTAGATTCCAAGACCCACTTCATCAGAAAAAACAAACTTGATTTTATGTATTCCACAGTCTTTTTATATTAATATTTTAAATAGATTTTAATTGCTGATACTGGTTTTAATTGGCTGTGGGAACAGTGTTGAAAAGCAGTATATATAGAGAGAAGATAAGGACAGGCATTGATCAGGGATGAGGTATCTAAAATCCACGTCACAACCATTGCAAAATAGTTTGAGCAGGTGGAAGTCCTACTCTGTAAGAGGGTTTGGGGTGTCCCCAAGACCCAGCAACCCTGAACAGTGGTAGGCCCAAGCCTTCACTCAATTTGTCCCACTCTTCAACTCACTGTCAAGGAGGAGGAGGAGGAGGAGGAGGAGGGCAAATTAACTTAACTTCCCCCTCCAAAAAATTGGTATCAACTGCTTGATATTCCAGCCGATGGGCTTCATCACTGTGGTTTTGCAATCTTTTAAAAAACCTTTGAATCCTATTTCGCAATGTAAATCAAAACAGATCCTCACGCATACTTAAACTGTTGACAACACACAAAAATTAGTAATCCCAATTTTTTTTAAAAAAAAAATATTGCAAAAGAAGACAAAAAGGGAACACTATGGTGGTTTTCAAATCCTCCCGATGTTTTATCAAAACACATCCCAAATTTGCTATTGCCGTGGCCAATTTCCCCCAGATTATTTGCAGATTTTCTCCCCCACCACAGATTTCTCAACAGTGTCATTGGCCAATAGCTGAACAGAACAGCCCTTTGCCAACCTGGTGCCCTCTCTAGACGTTTTGGAATACAACTCCCATCACGCCTCACGAGCACAGAGCTGATGGAAGTTACCACCATTCTTTTTCAAAAGCTGGTTGCTGCTTTTCCATATAAATGCGCTCAAAGCAGCTCACACAAAACAGAACAAAAAAGGCCACATCGACACATCATTACAGTAACAATCAAATATGAAATCATTTCAAAACACAAACCAGCGGGAGTTGTCGCCCAAAACCTCTGGGGTGCAACGAGCTGGCATGGTAGAGGAGGGGAAGGAAGAACAAATAATGTTAACCATAGCACGACCCCATGTCGGAATTGAGCCACTCTCCCCCAACATAACCTACCTCACAGGATAAAAAAAATAAAATCCTTCCAGTAGCACCTTAGAGACCAACTAAGTTTGTTATTGGTATGAGCTTTTGTGTGCATGCACACTTCTTCAGATACCAAGTGTATCAGATACACTGCGATTAGGCTTGAAAGAAGCATCCTGTTGTAGCCAATGTAAGAGGTTGAGATGTCTGTCTGATTGCAGCGTGTGTATGTGTGTATAAGGCTTGTCTGAATTCTCCAGGTTTTCCAAGCCCCCTCCAGGTGGCAGGAGGAGAGCTTGAATCTCCAGGTGGGGAAGACTGCCTTAAATTTTATTATGAGGATTACTTATGATGGTGGTGGTGCCAGTTAAGAAGACTGTGTATGCAGCTTACAAGCTTTAGCCTGGCAGGAGCCAGCTACAAATTACTGCATAGCCTCTCTGAAGTCCTCTGTCCTCCTTCACTCTCTCCTTTTAGATTAAATATTCCCTACCTAGGCTCCCTAAGTAGGTGAGAAGGATCTTAAATTCCAACCAGCAACATATTTGCTCACTTGTAATACTTTTTTATTCTAATGACAAGCCCTCAGTGACTGTGGTTAATGCTTAATGTGTCACGCTTAATAACATCACCCCTAGATCTCAGGTTTGGGCCCTGAAATCTCAGGGTCTGAGCAGGCAACTCGTGTTTGTGTGTGTGTCAGAGAGAGAGAGAGATGCCCACCACAATTTCTCCCATTTGCAAATGTGCCCATGGACCCAACTCCTATTACAGTGGTACCTCTAGATACGAACGGGATCCGTTCTGGAGCCCCGTTCGCATCTAGAGGTAAACGTAACTAGCGACGGCATGTCTGCGCGCCGCTTTTCGCCGCTTCTGCGCATGTGTGTGATATCACTTTGAGCATCTGCGCATGCGCAAGTGGCGAAACCCGGAAGTAACGGGCTCGGAGCGCAACTCGAACGTACTCAACTCGAAGCGTATTCAACCCGAGGTATGACTGTACTAGATTGACCGTTCCTATGGAACCAAGACCCTCTTCCGTCTTGTCTGGATTCAGTCTCAGGTCAGTTATCATTATCAGCTCCAGACAGTGGTTCAGAACCCAAAGACCGTCAACTATCATCTTAATATTTTTTTTTACAACAGGTTCTTTGATGCTGACGATAAAGTGGGGGGAGGAAGGAAACAGGAAGGGGAAAGAGCAATAAGCCCCACCGCACAGCGTTAGAGACATGGCCACAGGCAGGCAGTTGAACCAGCTGGTGGAAGGAAGGAAGAAAAGAGAGAGAGGGAGGGAGGGAGAGCGAGAGAAAATAAAACTTGAGAATGAAGGCAGAAAAACAGAGTCACCTGCTAGAGACACATTGGGCAGCCAAACAAAAGACTCAAACACTCAGGAACCCCATTTTCCCTAAGGTCATGTGTTGAAACCAAATCTGGGTGTTTTGCGGGTGACCCTTGAAAATGGCTATGAGTTTGGCAGCCCACACAGATGAGCAATTCAAGGTGTTGATTCTGGCATATGAAGCCCTGAACGACTTGGGACCCTCTCCAAACACTGTCCTGCCTCTAAGTGCAAACCAGCTAGCGAGGCTCTATTGGTAGCTGTACCATTAGCAAAGATCGGATTGTCCAGAAAAAAACAGAACAACAGTGGCACCCCATACCCAGAGGACTCTCCGCTTTCATATTAGACAGGTACCCATGACGGGCAGGTTCCAACACCAGGTAAAAATGTTGCTTTTTCATTCTGCCTCTGACCGGCAGGAAGGATTTATTTATTGTGCCACCAAATAAAGGAACTGAACAACAATATTTTCATAGGTGTAAAGTGTTTGCATTGCTGAGTAGTATTTGTGATGCAATGTAACCTGCCCCAACAGCATGTTGTGAAAGACAGGATATAGATTATCTTAGTATATAAATAAAAGTGTGCTCTCTTAGTAAAGTCCATCTCTATCAGGAACAGAGGCCAGATGGACTAGTCCTAAGAGGAATCCAACAAACCTTGTACAAGCAACACTGTCCGTCAAGACATCTAAAAACACGCCACCTTAATACAGCCTTTCCCAACCTGGTGCCCTGACCTCCAGATGTTTTGGACTACAGTTCCCCTCAAGCCTCAGCCCCAGTCAGCAATCATTTTGAACTACAATTCCCATCAGCCCCAGCTGGCACCACATTTGGGGAAGGCTGACTTAAGATGTTTCTAGGCCATGAAGAAACCTGAAATCTGAGAGAAAGTGTGGTATAGTGGTTCAAATGCTAGGCAAGGACCTAGGGAACCAGGGTTCAAATCCCCACTCAGCCATGAAGCTCACAGGGTGACATTGAGCTCAGTCACTACTTTTCACCCTGACCCACCTCACAAGGTTGTTGTGAGGATACAATGAGGAGAGGAAGAACCATGTTGCCATCTTGAGCTCCTTGAAGGAAAGACAAGGTATAAATGCAATAGTAATAATGATGATAGGGACGCAGATGGCGCTGTGGGTTATACCACAGAACCTAGGACTTGCCGATCAGAAGGTCGGCGGTTTGAATCCCCGTGACGGGGTGAGCTCCCGTTGCTCAGTCCCTGCTCCTGCCAACCTAGCAGTTCGAAAGCGCGTCAAAGTGCAAGTAGATAAATAGGTACCGCTCCGGTGGGAAGGTAAACGGTGTTTACGTGCACTGCTCTGGTTCTCCAGAAGCGGCTTTGTCATGCTGGCTACATGACCCGGAAGCTATACGCCGGCTCCCTCAGCCAATAAAGCGAGATGACTGCCGCAATCCCAGAGTCAGTCACGACTGGACCTAATGGTCAGGGGTCCCTTTACCTTTACCTTTCATAATGATGATGATGATGATGATGATACAAGTATCCCAATAGGATATTTTTATATCTAACCATGCAAACTTGGCGTATGAATTTTACATAATAACAGAGGCCAACATCCCTGCGGAGGGCACATCAAAGCAGTAATGGAGTGTGATACTGGGCTGAGGGTTGTGGAGCTCCCCTTTCTCACACCTGCATAGAGTTTGGATATGGAGAGAGGGACTCTTAACAGCAACCAAAACCGTGCACCTCTGCTTACAGAAGTGAGCCTATATTAACTTGAGTGAGGGTGGGGTGAACGTGTGCAATGCTGGTTTATGCCACTGGGCCACATCCCAGCCTGCAAAACGGCTCAACAACAACATTCATAAAAGTGACAAATTATAACAATAACCATAGAAACCAGCAAAAACAACAGGAGGCAGTAAGAGTGCGCACAAACCGGTGAAAAGCAGCCAGCTTCATTACCACAGATTATCCATCTGGAGCTGAACTCAGCCAGGCCTAGATTAAAGGGCAGGTGAGCCAGTTAACATCCTGGGGAAACAGGCTGACGGCTTCAAACCCCAGGCTCTCCATTCTGCCATCCCCTCAACTGTTCAAACAGGCAGCACCAGCAACGGTTTATAAGACACAGATAGCTACGGATCCTGTTCTGCCCATTTATAATCTTCTGCAACAGGGTTGGCGATAAATCATACATGCAAATCATACACCTCAAAGTCTTGAAATGGGGATATGCAAGGAATTTAAAAAAAAACCCAATTAGCCATTCAAACGTCAAACAAACAGATCAAGCACTGAAGACACAGGCCCTGAACTGGCATCTATTTATTTTATTTATTTTATTCACATCATAAAATCTATATACTGCTTGAAACAAAAAACAAAAAATCAAGACACCTCAAAGCAGTTTACAAAAGAATAAAACAATGAAATTATTAGTAAAAACAGCTATTTAAAACATTCAAAAATAATTAAACCGGATGATAAGCTAAAAACAGATTAAAGCACACATCCACATTCTTTATATCTGGGAAGGCTTGTCTAAACAACATTGTTTTTAGCAGGCCCTGAAAAGAGTAGAGTGAAGGTGCTTGCCTGATATCAAAAGGCAGGGAGTTCCAAAGTGTGGGTGGTGGGTGTGAGGAAGGGTGTTTCATAAACAGGGCACCATCACCAAAAAGGCCCTTGCTGTAGACATTACGTGCCTCATTTTGGAAGGCAGGGGCAGACAGAGATGGACCTCTGTCGCAAAGACAGAGAGAGAGAGAAAGAATAAGCACCATGCAAACACTGGATGTCAGAGGCTGACTTCGGCCAGGTGAGAAAAATGTGCGTAAACGCACACAAGAGTCAGTCACAAGCAGACAAGTAATATAAGGGGGAAAGGGTCCAACCGAGTGACAAACACACTTGTACCACAAGGGAAACAGCTATGAAAACAAGAACAACAAAGTACATCAAAGGTAGTGCTGAAGTGTGTGTGATGTTTGTGCAAGAGCACAACTAAGATGGCAAACAGAAAGAGGGGGTGGGGAAGATACCACTGCCACAAGGAAAACGGAGGATGTTTGGTGTGCAGATGAATATGGATTGGCTATAAGCCAGGTTGGGAGAAGTGACTTGTTTCCACTCCTTGGCTGGCAAGCCATCTAGACAATTGCTCATCCTTTTTATAAAAAAATCCAGTCCCCACCATCACCCGGCACATCACAAGGATTCTGCTTTCACTCCTGGCAAAATTCAAAATACCCGTCTTCCCTGCTGTCTGAAAAGGTACTAGTACCCAGTGGATCAGCCCAGGAGTAACAGCCTTCCCTTCCCAAAAGGGTGCCCAGAGAGACGCAAACACCCAAAAACATGTCAAGAACAATTTGACACTTAACACAGCTGCTGCGGATGCCCCGCCGCCCTCTTCCGACAATCCTCTGAGAGCCACCATCATCTCTCCTCTTCTTCCCCCATGGAGCCTGTCTGGGAAATGGCCGAAGAAGTCCAAACAACCAGCTTTTTCTAGGATTTTAACCAGATCCAAACAACCAGAGCTGGCAGCCTCCACAAAGTAGGAAGTCAACAAAGCCCACAATTTCTGCTTATCAAGAGCATCTGCCTTTGGTAGTCCAATGTGCTTCACTCCTCCAGCTGTAAAAGCCAGACACACTGCCCTCTCCAAACACAGGCACCAGTGTAAGTATTGCTTACACACATACGCACACTAATATTTCACCAGTGCAGCCTTTGCAAGCTGGTGTCCTCCACTCAGATGTTTTGAACTACATCTCCCATCAGCCCCAGCCAGCTGATGGAAGTTGTAGTCCAAAACATCTGCGAGGAGGACATCAGCTTGCAATGGTTGCACTAAATGACAGCAGCAGCAGAATCATCACCCATCAGAACAGAGCAAAGTAGGTCAGCAATGGGGGAACCTGATGTTGCTGGACTACAACTCCCATAATCCTTGCCTATTCACAATTCTGGATTTGGGGAAGGGACAGTTTGCTAAATATAACTACCAGGCCCCATCCACATAGCATATCCAAACAAAACAAAACTGCTATTAACATTGACACACATATAAAAGAGTATTGGGAAATATTTTAAAAACAACACACACTGGTGTGAGAATCTGGAAGGCTTCAGGTTATGCACAGCTCTTCGTTCTTTTCCAGCAGAGAATTCTGTGTAATACAAAGGCTTGCACAGCTGTGTTCCAAGAGAATCAGTCCCACTGGAAGATGGCACTTGGCCTAATTCGAGCTCCGAATTACATCTGAGGCCAATGAGGTCATAAATAGTTTGTCATATAAATGTCTGTTTGGAGGTTTGGGGTAGCGTAGCAAATCTAATATTACTGCCATAAATCTCTCTCTCTTAAGCACTCAAAACTCTTTACATGCCCTGTGATGGTAATTCTTGCAACGAGGCTGGCAAGAAGGCCAGTATTATGAACTCAAGAATTGCCTTGCTGGGTCAAGTCAAGGTGGGTCCAACAAATACTCCCAGGAAGGCCATATATAGAGCACAGAGGCAAAAGCCCTTTCTTCAGAATCTAGCGGTCACAGGTACCCTGTCTCCAATTTTGGAGGCTCTATTTGGCTCACCATGGCTAGCAGCAATAATTATTTGCTTTGATCAAGACATATGGGGGCAAGGTGTGTGTGCTGAGGACTTGGCAAAGGGTATCTGGGGAGGTCATGGCAAAGGTAGTATCTGAACCCGAGACTTCTTGGCTCATACTCTTGAACCAGCAACAGCAAACATCCTAGAGACTTTGTGATGCTTTAAAATAAAGTGCCTCTGTGAATCTTAAGCCTCCAAGCCAGCCTTCACAAACCTGCCCCCTTCCAGATGTTTTAGACTACAACTCCCATCAGCCCAGGCAGCACAACTGAGAGTTGTAGCCCAAAACTTCTGGAGGGTGATAGGCTTGCGAAGGACATCTCGTAGGGGCATAAAGCAATTCCTCACAGTCCTACACACAACGCACAGGACAACCCACAAATCCTGTGTGGCTGCTCTGTTGATTTGTGCTTATGTTGATAAGGACAGTGAGCTGCCAATGAATATCCGCACATAGAGACACAGTTTTCAATTTGGGACAGCAACTGAGGACCAACATAAAAGGTCCTGAGAAGGGCTGTCCCACAGATGATGGAGCAGATTTATTTGCTGTTGCTCTAGAACCAATGGATTCAAATGACAAGACAGGGTTTGGGGTTTTTTACTAAACATCAAGCATACTGACTTAGGAACAGCCTTCCTTGGAAGGTGGTGGACTCTCATCTCCATTAGTGGCTTTTAAGCAAACTTAGGCTGAAATACTTTATGTGCTTAATTCTGAGTAGTAAGTGCCATCGAACTCAATGGGGTTTATTTCTGGGTAGGCACATACGCCTGCACTGCTGGTCTCTCTGGGCCTCAGTCCTCCATTTGTCAAATGTGAACACTGTTGACTTGACAGGACGTCAAGATCTAGAGAGGCTACCACATTTTAAAGAGCACCAGTTACATAAAATAATAGTTGGCTTTTTTGCTCCAAGATGCTCCCCTTTAACCCTTTCCCCCCCACAAACCCTTTCACTTCCTGCAGAATTGCTTTCCACCAGTTCCTTCCACATCTCAAGAAACCATTCCTCCAGTTTCGCATGATTCTTTCCCTTATATTCTTCAGCCAGACTGCATAATTTCCTTATTATCCTTCCTCTTTCCTTTCTAACCATTCACTCTTCCCAAGTCAGTGGGGAGGGGGGTGTATTCTTCCCCTCCTCTCTACAAATGCCGTCTCATAACATCAGAATCTAGGCACCCGAATATTTCTCCCTCAGTTCTCATCATTCTCTTAAAAAAACAACGCACACTTAGAATTATTCTTCCAATGCACTTTTCACCCCAATCCTTTGACTACACACACCATAATGAAACCTGCATTTCAGGATAAGCCCAAAATACATTATACTGGGACAATTTCCCTATCTATCTTCTATTTCAAAGTTCCCTGTATCTCTCCCTCCCACCTCTGAAGAGGCACCCAAACACTATGCACCCTACTTTCCAATGCACCCCATTACCTGCACTTTCATCAACAGCTCTCCCTTTCACTTCATTTTATTCCTATTTTCCAGCAACCCTAGATTTCACACCCCAACTCTCCACATCCATCTCAAGTGCTTGCTCCCTTCTCTGCCTCTCTTTTTACACCCCACCACTCCCACCCAAACACACACGGATCAATTCTCTAGCTTTTTCCACGGGAAGCTGCCCATTTCTCCCTCATCTTCCTCTCCCCACCGGTGACCCCTAAAAACACTCACACACATATCTCCCCCCACTTAAGAAAGCAGCCACTTCTGCCCTGCCTCTCCTTGGTACATCTCCCTGCTTCCTCGCTTTACAGTACTGTACCATTTTGCTGGTTTGTTTGCTTGCGGGGTGGGGGGTGGGGTGGAAACAGAAATGTCATGAGGAAATGAGCTTGGAAGAGTCCTTGTCTTATTTTTCTGTTGAGCCTCCTGCCGTCTTCCTCTCCAAACAACCCCAGGCCCCGGGAAGGGGGGGGTCTAGTCTCCCCCACCCAATTCAAGAAAGATCCTGCTTTGCACCCCGGAAAGAGGCGGGGGGTGGGGTTGGAGAACACAAGAACAACACCATCCCCAAGAAAACTGACACAACGCGTGTAAGTTTCACTTACCTTCTCCTCTCTCTGCCTTTGGCTCCTCGGAGCGCCTCCAAAGACAGCTGATCTCCCAAGAACAGGCTGGCTGGCTCAAGGGCCTCTCTCGAACAACAACAACAAAAAGGCGGCGGGGAGTGCGGGGGGGGGGGAGAAAAACCAGGCAACCTCCCTCCCCCTAAAAGGAGGACAAGCACATTCTCAGCATACAGCCCCGATGCCAATCTCAGTCCCCCTCAGCTTTAAAGTTCGTCCTCCTGGGAGCCGCCGCCGATTCTTTGCAATCCTGCGTCCTTGTTTGATTTTTTTTTTATTTTTCCTCCTCCTCTTCCTCTTTCTTTCTTCGCTCTGCCTCTCTCTCCTCTTCTCGCGCTTCTCTTCCTTCCCTTCCTTCCTAGCGACAATTCTTTTTTAAAAATAATAATAATAAATTAATAACAAGGCAACTACATTGCACAACCCGGGGGGGGGGGGGGAGAGGCTACAACGTTGCCAGAGAGAGATTTTGTGTGAGTGTATGTGTGTGTGTGCAACCCAAGTATTGGAAAAGGAGGAGGGGGCTAAGAGGAAGGAAAGCAGATGGCGACCGCGGTCCAATCATAGGGCCCAGAGAAAGAAAGGGCGGGGCCAACCAGGCCCCAAAATTTTATATATATGCATACATACACACGCACATCTCAATACACACACACACCTCCTCCTCCTCCTTGCAAACATGCAAGCTAGGTTGCAGTGCGGCCTCTGCCTGTATATCCTTCCGCCTGCGGGAAGTTGGTTCAGCTCGGCAAAGGAGCGCTTAAAGCGGCCCGCGCTCCGCCTTGCCCTCTTTTCCCTCTCCCTCCGAATTGCAACTGGATTTGGGCCCCCTCTGGGCGGCTTGGCAGAAATGGCAGCACTAGGATTTCCCTCTGCTCCTCCGCACACTTTTTCTTTTAAAAGTGTATTGCATTCTTCTATGCTACCTTTTTCTTCAAAAGGGCAGCGGACGTGGCTTTGCCGCCCCCCTCCCCCAGTCTTTTACACCAGCCCCTGCAAGACGGGTTAAAAGGTCTCGCCCTTTAAAAGATTTATAGCGTTTTAAATGGTTTTACGAGCTATTTTTCAAAGGTTTATTTGCGTTTTAATGCTACCGCTTTCTCAAAAGGGCGATGGGGCCGGTTCTTTCCACACAACAGTCCTGCAAGGCAGGTCAGCTGCGTGGAGAATGCAATGCCTGCTAGCCCCAAGCTCTAACCATTGCACAACACTGTCTCTCGTGTGTGTTTGTTTACCTTTTCTTTCGTTTCTTTGTTCTTAATCAGGCTTTTTTCCCTCCCAGCCTCCAAGAACAGCTGGACACATCAATATTCAGTGCGTTCATTCCTAAAGAAGCCATGAGGGAGAGAGAGAAAGAGAGCAGAATAAATAAGAGGGTGGTGACATTTAACTGATTGGCTGGTTAGATTAATCGCTTAAAACTGCATTTGGTCAAGACAATTCCAATACAACGACCGGCCTTATGGATTATTTTCACTCATCAAACTTGACATTTTGCTTAAAATGTGATAGAAATCAAGGTCACCTAATACATATATGCAAAGCTCTTTGAACCATAATTGGCTTTTTGTACATGAATACATTGTAATATTGTATTTATATTTCATGCTTACATATATAGAAAACACATTCTATTCTTTTGCAGCTACTTTTTTCACTTTTTTTTTATAAAGAGAACTTTTCAATCAACTAAAAAGGTAGCCAAAATGTGGCGGCAGACGTTTTTGGTGTGTGTGGGGGGGTTTGTTTCAGTTCAAGTACTATAAAAAGTACTACGGCAGACCAACATGGCTACCTACCTGTAACTAGTAATAATACTGTAATAGCAATAGCAATAATAATATTTAACGTCTCTTCCCTGTATAAGTGTGATGGGAAAACCTTGTTCGCTTCAAAGTGCCAGAATATCAAAAACACTTCTCTTTAGAGAGCTGACACTGTCCCCTCAAGGTTTGAAGGGCCAGGGAAACGTTTCCACAGGCAACAGCTGGAGGGCCTGTTATCTCTTCTAGAGGGTCACCATCAAATAAATAAATAAATTTCAGATTCAAAAAGGAGTTTTTTCCCCTTAGGAGAGGGAAGCTCATTGGAACTCAGTTCCAGCACCTTTCAGGGGGGCACCATTGCAATTCTAAGAGAATGAGGGAGGTGTTCCTGGTGAGTTCTGGCACCTCTTTTTCTGGAAAGAAAATAGCACTGAGAGAAGACCTTGTAATACATATACATAGAAGCATTTGCAAGGCCAGTTAGCACTTCTAAATAGGTACAGACTAGAATGAATGAATATAATTCCCTCATGCGCCCATGAGGAGTCTGAAGGGTTCCCCTAGGGCACTGTTTCCAAAAGTGTGGCACGCATACCCCCCAGGAGGTACACAAAAGTGTTTCAGAGGGAACACGGCAGACTTTTCTCTAGTCTAGATAAAATAATATTACTAAAACTACCCCCCAAATTATATTCGCCCGAGAAGAGGTATGCCTAGGGGATGGGCTTGAGATACCCTGGTCACGCAGCCTTTCTCAACCTGTGGGTCCCCAGATGTTGTTGAACTACAACTCCCATCACCCCTAGCTAGCAAGGCCAGAGCTCAGGGATGATGCGAGTTGTAGTCCAACAACATCTGGGGACCCACAGGTTGAGAACTGTGTGAAACTGAAAAATGGGCTTGTCTCTTCTTCAAGAAAATAGGGACGTACTAGATGATAATGATGGTGGTGGTGATGGTGATAATTTTATTATTTATACTCTACCCATCTGACTGGGTTGCCCCAGTCACTCTGCGCAACTTCCAACGTAAATAAAGACATAATAAAGCATTAATCATTAAAAAAACTTCCGTATACAGGGCTGCCTTCAGATATCTTCTAAAGGTTGTATAGTTACTTTTCTCCTTGACTGGAGTCGAATAACTCCATACCCTCCAACATTTCTCCGATGAAAATAAGGATGTTCTAAGGAAAAGCAGAACATTCCATGATCAAATCAGTAACTCGGACGGCTTCTGTAAATCTGGGACTGTCACTGGAAAATACGGACACTTGGAGGGTCTGACCCAATCCCTCTTCACAGGGAATTCTGGGAATTGTGGGTCCATGAGGGGGAAAGTTGTCTCCTAACAACTCTCAGCACCCTTAACAAACTGCAGTTCCCAATATGCTTTGGGAGAAACCATGACTGTTTAAAGTGGTATCATAGTGCTTTAAATGTACCGTCCGAATGTGGCCACAATCTTGCCTGAAAAAAAGTCGCAGGACTTGTGATTCATGGTGAAGTGGGTGAAGATTCCCGTGTGTAATTAAAGAACATTAAATGCACTTGTGATTTCGGCTTTCTTCTCATTTACAGTGCAGCTAGAGAGAATTTCTCCAGGTGCCACAGAGCAAAATCAGCCGCTTGCAATTGGCAAATCAGGAAACAGAAACCTCACACTCACACCCACTCACACCCACTCACACCTACACACACCTTACTCGCTTTCCACACAGCTGAGAGACCACTTACACCGCATGAATTCACACCTAAGCCATTTTCAGTGTCAGAGAACAATGCAACCTCTACAACAAAATATCACATTTCCAGAAGTTTAACTTAGAAACAAGGAGGGTAGGGGACGGGGAGAGAAGAATCCATCTGCGAGTTAATTGTTAAAATGTATTTTGCATGGTGAGTGATTTCCCCTTCTTCAAGCCATTTCAGAGCCTCAGTTGCTTGAGTCTGGTTTTGCAAACAAAGCCATCACACTTCAATTTTTATTCCTGGTCTGACTGCATCTGTTTGCTCCTGGAAGAGTTCTCCATCTGGATGTGTCCTAAGTATCCTCATGAAGCTACATTCTAAAAACACACACACTGACTCACAGCCAAAATAAAATATCAACCACATTCACCAGACTCATTTCCTTGTACTAATTATTTCTTTGTGTGAGTGTTCCACAATCTCCTAGATCAGCTCCAGTATGGGTAATTACATCCAGTTTCCCCAAAGAGCTTCTAAACTGGACATATTATTTGCAAGTTACCCATTACCATTGTACAACCCCCCCATGTAACTAAATAGCTCTCCTTTAGGGTGACAACTTCCTGCGTTGACAATTTGTCCACTGAAGAAGCTGTCATCTACAGGGGAAGAGTTTTGTATGTAGAAGAAGCCAAGTCTGATCCCTGGCATCTGCAGGAAGAGCTGGGAATGTCCCCTGCCTAAAATCCTGTAGAGCTACTGCCAGTCAGTGGAGAGCAATGTGGAGAACCTTTGGCCCTGTAGATGTTGCTGAACTACAACTCCCACCAGCCCCAGCAAGTGCGCCCAGTGGGATGATGGGAGTTGTAGTTCAGCAGCCTCTGCAGGGCCAATGTTTCCCCACACTTTATGTAGGCAGTACTGAGGTAGATGGGCCAATAATGTGACAGTATAAGGCAATGGAGCTATGCAGGCAGCCTTCATCTGATTTGCCTATCTTGGCCCTACAGTTCCCAGAACAAGTCACAACCCCAGAAACTTTACTGGTGATTTTTTAAAATGCAAATATTATTCCCACAATCTTTCTGAGGTTCATCTCTAAGACTTCAGAAGAAACATTTTTTAAAAGCATTTTTACTAATTAATGCACTCAAGCATTTTTTTCTTATCATCACACTGACCTTTCTGGTGTTCAAAGACAACCCTACCATGTTTGGGGCAACAAGGTACAGAGAGGTTGTGGCACTCTATCGCCCTCTGGTGCCGAGCACAAGATTCCAGGAAAATGTTGAGCCGTGCAGGTCTTATGCAAAGAAGAACGTAAAGCCCCTTATAAGAAATGCCTAATTTTTAAATGTCTTTTCCAAGTCATCTGTCAACTTGCACTCCAGATTTCCTACCTCAAAGCCTCTTCTAGCACAAAAGCTCTGGTCAGCAACAACTTTCCCTGGAAAGGTGGTGTAGAAGATAAGATAGGGGCTATGCGCCACACATGCCATCTCCTTTTGGCAATCTGTGGCAGGGGGTTCTCCACTGCTCATGGCAAATTTTGATCTTGGGGCTGTCAGTCACTGATTCCAGGTGGGTAAAATGGGTTGTCATCTGACAAGGAAAAAAGCCTGGCTTGCCGTTCTGTCTTTAATGACAGCTTGATGTGCATAAATTTTTCACGCCATGAAACTGATTGTTGCCTACTACTGCTGCTGCTGCTGCCCGTAATGAAAATGTGCTAATCAAGCCACAGTTAAGAGGGAATCAATGGGGACACAGGAGCCCAGCTCTATAATGTTAGAATCCTGGCTCATGCAATATGAGCATAAGAAGAGACGGCTGGATCAGGCCAATGGACTGTCTAGTCCAGCATCCTGTTCTCACAGTGGCCAACTACATCTCTGTGAGAAACCCACAAGCTGGATCCAAGCACAAGAGCTCTCTCTCTCTCCACCCGTATCTCCATGGCTTCCGAAAACTCATATTCAGACGCATTACTGCCTCCAAGTGTGGAGACAGAGCATAGCCATAATGGCTAGTAGCCACTGATAGCCTTATCTCCCATGAATTTGTCTAATCCTCTTCTAAAGCCATCCCTGTTTAGGGAAGTTTTTAATATTTAATGCTGTATTGTTTTTAACACTTGATTGGGAGCCGCCCAGAGTGGCTGGGGAAACTCAGCCAGATGGGCAAGGTATAAATAATGAGTTGTTGTTGTTGTTATTATCCCTACCTCTTGTGGGAGGGAGTTCCATTGTTTAACTATGTGGTGCATGAAGAAGCATTTTCTTTTATTTGTCCTGAATTTTCCAACATTCAGCTTCACTGGATGTCCCCAAGTTCTAATATTATGAGAGAAGGAGAAAAACTTTTCTCTATCCACTTTCTGTATGCCATGCATGATTTTATACATCCCTATAATGTCACCTTTTCTCTAAGCCAGGGTTTCCCAAACTTGGGTCTTCAGCTGTTTGGGGACTACAACACCCATCATCCCTAGCTAGCAGGACCATTGGGCAGAGATGATGGGAATTGTAGTCCCAAAACAGCTGGAGACTCAAGTTTGGGAAACCCTGCTCTAAACTAAAAAGTACCTGTGCTGCAGCCTGTCCTCAGAGGGGGGTCACTCCATTCCATTGATCATTCTGGTTACCCTTTTCCAAACCAATGAAATAGATGGACGACCTGGCCAATCAGAAGAAAGTCTTCCTCCACAGAATGGATACAGAATTCACCACTACAAGGTGTGTGGATGACCACCGTTTTAAGAAGGTCAGGTCTATCATTAGCTAATAGGCATAAGAGCTAAATTTGATTTTTAAGAATTTATTTATGCCCATCACCATGCATTTATGCCCATCACCCAGAGCACTTTACACACCGCTCAATACAATTAAACCACTTAATATGTAAATGCCAAATTTGAGAGATATTCTGATCTCATCCTCCAGCCCCCAAAGGCCTGTGCAAAAAGGTGCATCTTGAGGTGACATCAAAATGTGTACAATAAATTTCTTCTTCTTCATCATCATCATCATTCTGTCTATTAAATTTCTTGGCTGCCTATTACAATAAAGCATCTTGACAACTTCCATAATGCATACAAAAATTAAAACTGATCCATACAATAAAAACACAGCACTAAAAAAAACCTACAGAAGCTCATTAAAATACCCAAATCATCACGTACACAGTTATCAAATGCCAAACAGAAACTAACCATGAATCTCTCAGAAATCAACAACCAGTCCCTCAAATGCCTGGGAGGCAATGGAGCCCCCATGTTCAGAAACAGTCTACCTCTGAACGCCAATTGCTGGAGAGCAACAGCAAGGGAAATCTGCTGCTTCCCTCGCCTACCTGTCAGTTTCCTGGTGGCCATGGTGGAAAACAGAACACTGGATTTGATAAAGATCCCAGCAGCAGGCCCCTTCCGTTCTTATCTATACTAAGCTTAAACACGTGGCTTTCTCTCTCTTCAATACATTATAATTTGGGGGAAATGAGACTGGCCTACCCTACTGAGTTATTGTAAGAATTACAGAAATGAAGCATGTCACGCTTGAAATGTGCTGCATAAATGCAGAAGGGTGAGCATTAATCTAGTCCTCCAGTTGCTGCTTAGAAATATATCATCTGTCCTATTATTGTTCACACTGACCAGCAGTGTCTCTCCACAGTTTCAGGCAGCCCTGTACGGTATAATGTATTAATATTTTAAATGTGCTGCAAGACTTTTGGGTAGCATCTGACCAACAAACCTCATAACTAAATATCTGGAGGTGTTGGAGCTTGGACCTTCTGCTTGACCATTGAACTTACACCCTTTGCTCAAAGTAAAGGTTCTAACCCACATTGTTCTGTGCAAAGAACTGATGTACATAGGATGAACTGATTTTACCAAGTTAGGCCCATCTAGCGCAGGACTGCGCACACTGACTGGCAGGGGCTTTCCCGGGTTGCAGGCAGGGAACTGAACCTGGGACCTCCTGGGTACAAATCACCTGCTCTGTCACTGAGCCACGCAAAATAAAAGAAGGTTCTCACCAACATGGCTATGAATCAATACCTCTGCTGGGTCAGAGCGTTAGCCCATCCAGCTCATTTCTGTCTACACTGGCTGGCAGCAGCTCATCCGGGTTTCAGCCAGGAAACTTTCCTAGATGCCACGGATGGAAGCTGGGACCTTCTGCATGCCAAGCAGATGCTCTAGCACAGAGTCGAGGTCCTTCCTCCTCTTGAGACATCCAGTGGAACCGTTGCCAGAAAAAGTTTCACCTGCTGCCTCAGGCAGGTAAGGAAAGTTGGGGTTAGTGGCAGAGTGGCTGCGCCTGGCAGGCGCACCCCGCCCGGCCAACCTCCCTGCCCCCGCTTGCACACGCGCAGCGCTCACGTGTCCCCTCCCTGCCCTCTCGTGCTGCCGCTGCCGCCACCGCGGGCACCGTGTCACTGAGTGACAGCAGGCGAGGGATTATTTCAGGCTGGTGGCGCGGAAGGACACGCTGTTTACTGCAGGGTCTGCGACTGTGAGGAGACTGCAGAGGGAGCCCGAGCCCGGAGTGGGGGGCCCGAGGGGCGTCTCTGCACTTTGGTGCCCCCCCCACTCCCACCTCCTCGTCGTTTCTCTATTGCGCCCCTTCCCTCCACCAGAGAACCAGGAGGGCGGGGGAGCAAATCCTGGCCGGCCCTTTAATGCAAATGAGCTGACATCTCCCTCTCTCCAGCTGCCTCCTCCCTTCCCCGGCTCTAAATTCTCCCCTAGCGCCCATTGACGTCACAAGTGCGTCACCGTCTCCAGCACAACCAGACAGCACGTGGGAGAGAGCGATTTAAAGAGGCAGGCAGCTGTTTTGGCTCCCAGAGGCAGCTGCAGATGGCAAGGGGCGGGGGAGAGGGAGAGGGAGGGAGTTGGTTGCCTGCCCGCCTCGCCTGCTTGCTTGCATGCATGCATGCAGCGAGGCAAGCCAGCACGGCCTGATCCTGAGGCCGTTTGCACACCATAAGCGCCTTCAGATGCTTTGGTTAAGGGCCCATCAAGTCCAGAATCCTGTTCTCACAGTGGGTGACCAGATGCTTCTTCGGCGACACCTGCAAGCAGGAGCTGAGCACAAGGGCCCTCTCCCCTCCCGCGATTCCCAGCAACTGAGAGCCAGAAGCATGGCTGCCTCCGATTGTGGATTTGTCCAGTACTCTTTCAAAGCCATCCCTGTTATTGGCCGTCACTGCCTCCTGTGGGAGAGAGTTCCACGGTTTAACTAAGCACTGCGTGAAAAGGGACACTGTGACCAGACTGAGGGAGAAAAACCTTTCTCATCCCTGTTAGAACCAATGCTTTTTTAAAAAGAAAAAGTGCCAGAACTCACCAGGAAGTGCCACACTTTTAACCTTGGGATGGGGTGGGGAAGGTGCCGGTACTGCGTACCCTTCAGTACCAGCAGGAAAAAGCACTGGACTCAGCACATTCAGATCTGCTGGGAAATAATTACACACCAATGTTCTGCACCACCACCATCTGCTTTTATGAATTAGATGGGGAGGGGGCTGCCATCGTGATGTGCTCCTGGTGTTGTGGGCTACTACTTACCTCAGTCTCCCCCCTCCTGAAGCCATCACGGCCAGCAATATTCGGAGGGATAATGGGAGGAATAGTCCGAAAACATCTGGGTGGCACGAGTTTGACTACCTCTCTGTTAGATTCACCTGCTGAATTTTTAGATGGATGCTGAAAGCTGGAAGATTCAGAGCAGATAAAGTCCTTTTTCACGCAGTACAGAGTTAAACTGTGGAACTCACTCCAACAGGAGGCAGTGATGGCCATCTGAGGAAAACCTACAGAAGGATTGGGGCACACGCCACAAAACTGGGAAGCCTCCAAGCTTTCTCAGCCTTCTACAGGAGTTCCATGCTGCCTTGGTCCAGTGCCAGCATTTCCTTGCAGTGCTGCTGTCTTTTCCCACTCTCCCCAGCCCCCCCGCCCCGCCCGTCGCTTTCGTTCCCACACTTCACTTCCCTGATGTATATATTGGCCCAGGGAGCCAAGTGCCTTGTTCCACCCAGGAGGCCTGAGTCCCAGAAGGGATGCTGCTTATCAGCGCATGAGGCTACGAAAAGCCCCTATCTCACGGAATAAAAATGCACAGCATCTCAAACGAACCAGCTCTCCCTCCCTCCCTCCTGCAGCCGGGCCTCTACAAGTTTTCCTTTTTTGGTGAGTAATAACATCTCTCTCTCTCGCTCTCTTTTTCTGAGCTACTCCAAAGTGAAGCAAGTTCGCTGTCCCACCTAGGCACATCTCTTCAGATGCATAATGAAAACAAAAAGGGAAGCTTTAAAGTTTTACTGGGGAAGGGCTGTAGCTCAGTGGTCGAGCACCTGTCTTGCATGCAAAAGGTCCCAGGTTCAAGCCCCAATGGCATCTCCAGGTAGTTCAAAACCCTGGAGAGCCGCTGTGTAGAAGTGAGGATTTCAACAGGTGCTGGCTGCAGTTGATGGGAGTTACAGTCCAAAACATTTGCGAAGTATCATGTCAAGAAAGGCTAGTCGGGATAATTTCAGCTTTTTTAAAAAAAGGGGGGACAAATTCCTAGTCCTTAAAATGGGTTTGATAGATGTTGTGTGCTAAGACCTCAAGGTTGGCTGAAGGTCCTTCCTTGGCTGTTTCTTGTGTTCCCCTTAAGTACACCCCCCACCCCATATAATTAGGAGGCTGTTGCTCATTTGGCAATAAGTGATTTTTCCTTCAGGCTACTCAAATTCTCCCCCAAGCATCTTTTGCAGAAATTTAATGCCAAACATGGGCTAGTGGTCAGTCTGGTCTTCATTAGGTTACATAAAATTGCATTTAAGCTATTTGACATTTGTGTCTTGGGGGGAGAGGGGCAGGTTCAGGCTCAGATAAGGGAGGGAACCCTCTCCTCTGATCAGTACTCTGTGGCATGGCCTATACATGAACCCACATCTCTCTGGTATTTGATGTGGCATTGTGGGCAAGGGATGTAGGATTAACATGTCAACAGGAGGGTTTAAGATATGCAGGTTCAAATCCCACCTCACCCGTGAGGCCAGTTACCATCTCTCCACTTCGCCTACCTCACAGGGTTGCTGTGAGGCTGAAGAACCATTTATGCCCCCCTGAAAATAAAACTGCTGATATCATAATGCCGTTGTACAAATATATGGTGTGACCACATTTGGAATATTGTGTACAGTTCCAATGGCCTGACCTCAAAAAGGATATTGCAGAGTTGGAAAAGGTTGGGAAAGGGCAAGCAAAATGGGCAAGAGGGTGGAGCAACTCCCACTTAGGAGGAAAGGTTGCAGCATTTGGGACTTTTTAGTTTAGGGAAAAGGCAAGTAAGAGGCGACATGATAAAAGTTTATAAAATTATGCCTGGCGTGGAGAAAGCAGATAGAGAAGTTTCCCTCCCTCTCTGATAATGCTAGAACCAGAGGACATCGAATGAAGCTGAATGTTGGAAGATTCAGAACAGATAAAAGGACTTCTTCATGTAGCACGTAGTTAAACTATGAAACTCGCTCCCACAGGATGCAGTAATGACCACCAACCTGGATAAATTCATGGAGGGTATAAGGCTACTAGCCATGATGGCTATGCTCTGCCTCCAAGGTTGGATGGAGGCAGCAATGCTTCTGAAAACCCGTTGCTGGGAGCCACAGGACGGAAGAGGGCTGCTGTGCTCAGGTCGCCCTTCCCTCAGGCACCTGGTTGGCCACTGTGAGAAGGAGAGATGCTAGACTCTATGGGCCTGGCTTTGGCCTAATACAACAGGGCTCTTCCTATGTTCTTCAGTCTGTGGAGGAATGGCTGGATTTTAATTCAGTCTTATTTATTTGTTAAATTTATACTCCGCCTCAGGGTGGCAGATAACCACAATACAAACAAAATAAAGTACAATAAACTAGGCACAACAACAACCAGGTATGTAAAGCATCAATCAAATTTGTTAAAATAACCACTGAGAACCAATTACCACATATTTACAACTCTGTTTAATAGGGAAGGGTGTCTCTGGGTGATCTAAGCCTGGGCAAGCTCATAAGATTGAGGCGCAAAAAAAAAATGTGGGCAAGTTGAAGTCAGGGAGGACCTAAACCTGCTTTGCAGCATAGGCAAAATAAATAAAAAATCAGAGAGGTATTTGCCTGTTCCAAAGAAGCTTTCAAGTATAATAAACCTCCAGAAGATCACATCTCCTTAGAGCTGGAATGTGTTGTAAGCTCCTTTGAACTGAGGGAGAGAGGTGAGGCGTGTGAATGTTTTAAATAAATGCAGCCTACATTTTGAGAGGGAGAGAGAAAATATCTGAATTGAGTGCTATTGCAAAGATTTGTGAATGGTTGGAAGGGCAATGTGAGGCGGGACAGGGTGAGGCGTGGGGAGGCCTTCCAGAGGGGAGGCTAGGCCCAGGATAAAGTATTAGAACAGGCAAAGGCCTGAGAAAACACCACAAATGATTAAAGTAAATGCTGTTATGTGCTCCCCGCTTCCGTCGTGAGTTCCTAGGGCAGCAAAGAGCCCAAGAACAGAAGAAGAGTCTGGCTGGATTAGGCCAAAATCCTGTCTGGTCCAGCATCCAGATTTTCACAAGGACATTCTCTCTCTCTCTCTCTCTCTCACACACACACACACACACACACACACACACACTTCTCCAAGCACTTTAATGGGTATCTCACTCATGTTTTAGTATCTCGGAAACGTTGAATTACGCACATTATGTTGCTGTATATTTCTGAGGCCAGAGATCTAAGAGTTCCCATGGCCTAGCCCTACAGCAGTCTGTTTTGAATTCCAGTATGGCGATACTGGATGTGGGTGGCACTGTGGTCTAAACCACAGAGCCTAGGGCTTGCTGATCAGAAGGTTGGCGGTTCGAATCCCCGCAATGGGGTGAGCTCCCGTTGCTCGGTCCCAGCTCCTGCTCACCTAGCAGTTCGAAAGCACGTCAAAGTGCAAGTAGATAAATAGGTACCGCTCCGGCGGGAAGGTAAACGGCGTTTCCGTGTGCTGCTCTGGTTCGCCAGAAGCAGCTTTGTCATTCTGGCCACATGACCCGGAAGCTGTCTGCAGACAAACGCTGGCTCCCTCGGCCAGTAAAGCAAGATGAGCGCCGCAACCCCAGAGTCGTCTGCGACTGGACCTAACAGTCAGGGATCCCTTTCCCTTTATGGTGATGCTGACGTAGGCTAAGGAACTTTAGTCCAGACCAGCTGTGTTGGCGGGGGCTGATGGGAACTGTAGTCCCGCATCAGGATGGGGAAGGCTGGTCCATGGCATAGCAATGATGTGTAAGTCATTTCAGCTGAAAGATGGTTCTGACTCATTACTAGTAGGGAGTAAACAGACAAGGATGCTGCTCCCCAGAGAATGCTTCTTTCCTCTTAAATATCCTGCCCACATTTCATAGCTCTCTGTGCTATTTTTGGCTTCCTGTCTGCTTAATTATAGTGAAAGATCTGTCAGCAGCACCCAGGAGTGCTCCATCAGGACATCTGCCTTGACAACCTTCCCCTTCCACCAGAACAAGCTGCATGAGAGGCAGCTTATAGGCTTACAAGCTAACCGATCAGCAGCCATTGGTAGAGTAGCTGTGATGTCACAGAAGTTCAACAGACTGATCTTAAAAGAAAAGTGATTGGCCATTATGCTTGAAAGTCTCTCTCTCTCTCTCTCACACAAACACACACACACACACACACACACACACTCCCTGCACCATTTTAATTGGGGAACTTTAGGATGTTGGATGAAGCCATCACAGAGGCATTCACCTTTCAAATGTTGCCATTGTGTGTTGTTTAGTTGTACCTGCTTTGTGTGGATGTTTTCCTGAAAAGCAGGATAATCAAGTGGTATATCAATTATTATTATTATTTTTGAAATAAAGTTATTATAGTTTACAGGCAAAATGGGGTCCACATCTTGAGCATGGCCTGAAGACATTCGAGGCCACCCACCCCATGTCCCATGCTGCCTTTGGTTCCATGATGGAAGGAAGATGGAATTATTAGAGTAAGGAAATAATGCTGGACAGGCACTAGAGAAACATACTCTGAATAGGGTTTAAATAATTCTAAGCACATGCCTGCAGTTAGTATATTCTGAATCTTACTTCTTTTTTTAATGCGTAACATGCATTGTAACAAACAGTATTGATCTTTTTGTTTGTTCTTTTTTCCTTCCTCCTTTTATTTTTTGGCGACGGGGGCTCAGTTGTTTGTGTGAAGGTTAAAAATTATGGAAAATCTTCACAGGCATAAACATCTAAGTGTGATTTTCAAAACAACCTGTTTATGATAAGCAATTGTACACTTTGTACAACCCAAGCAGCCTGATAAGGGGTGAGAAACCCAGAATGGGTGGGGCCAAACATGCCCATGGGCAGGGCCATATTCTCTCACACCCTTTCCCCACTCTCCAGCTGTGACCCCCCCCCAAAAAAACCCCAAAATACACCCCCCAGCTAGAGTTAGGCCTTTAAAAAAAGCCTTTTATTGATGGCAATACACAGGACACTGCAGATGCAAAGTAATACTGAGCACTCAAATGAGGGGTGTGTTGCAGTTGTTTAGACAGATAGACAGACTCCCCCAATATATACATGCACACCTTCCTCAGCTCACCTGCAAAGATACATAAACACCACATTCGCCAACCTGGCGTTCTCCAGATGTTTGGACTACAACGGAACCATAAATGGCCGTAACCCCGCCGAAGGATCTGGCTGGTGAAGGGTGGGCAATAAATTTAATTAATGAATACATAACAATAATCAGTAATGATATGGCTGTGCTGGCTGTAGCTGATGGGAGTTTTAGCCCAAAACATCTGGGCGCCAGGTTGGCCAAGGCTACCTCTACCCACTGGTTGGCCCCAGAGGGAAGCTTGAATGTAGAGCAAGTCCCCCTACTTAGCGCTTTCCCCATGTCCTCCCAACTTCCCACCCTCACTGTGGCCAGAGGGCCAGCTTAAACATAAGAGGGCACTGGAGAGTTACAGGCCTTGGGCCGGCTGCCTCTATCCCGTGGGTGGGAGCTGACTCCTTCTCTCCACCGCCTCCTCTTTCGCCCCCCCCTCAAAAAAATATTCTCGCTTCTCCCCGTGTTTGCTAACGTGACCCTTTATTAAACTCCGCCAGCTCTGCATCGCCGCGGTTGCCAAGGCGACGTGTCGTCACCTTGGCAACCATGACAACCTTATGTTCATTAATTTTAAGAAGGTTTGCCATCTAACAAATGAAATTGTTCTAGGCACTGGTGTTGAGGGGCTGAAGGAGAAGCCAGACAGCCCCTGGTAATTATTGTGGGAGGGGAATGGGTCTCACATGGCAGACACAACTTCTTCTTACAGTCAGAATGATGCTCACCAAGTTCTTTTTCTTTCAGGCAATACAGAACTTG